TGTCTTGTTGCTTTTAATGTCTCTGTAAAGCACCACCAGCAACAGGACATAACTGTGAAAATTACAATGACAGAGAAATGCATATGTAATTTTACTGTGGTTAATATAATATGTTAGAATCTACCTTGTATGTAAAAAGAAAAAGTATGTGATTTGGAACACACCCAAAGATCAATCAATCAATCAATTTTATTTATAAAGCCCAATATCACAAATCACAATTTGCCTCACAGGGCTTTACAGCATACAACATCCCTCTGTCCTTAGGACCCTCACAGCGGATAAGGAAAAACTCCCCAAAAAACCCTTTAACGGGGAAAAAACCGGTAGAAACCTCAGGAAGAGCAACTGAGGAGGGATCCCTCTTCCAGGACGGACAGACGTGCAATAGATGTCGTACAGAACAGATCAACATAATAAATTAACAGTAATCCGTATGACACAATGAGACAGAGAGAGACAGGACAGACGGTAATGACAGTAGCTTACAACAACGTTAATGAAAGTAATAATATTATAATTATAATTCTGGCTGTTGTGGTACAATATGTTGAAAGTATATATTAATATCTGATAGTGTACATATGTGACAATAATCATACGGACTATACAGAGCATTTTCACACAAAACTCAGTCATAGGCAGGACACAGAAATACCAGGACACATATCAAAATATGGCCAGAGCCATCACACTATATTGGGCATGTTGATATTGTGATGAAGGGAAATTTTTGATATATTGTGCAGCCATACTGGCTGTTATGTCTTAAAGTAATGAGCAAAAATGTGAATTTTTTTCAGCAGGTATACAGAGTATAACCACCTCTTTTTCTAACCATTTACAGTCTACCCACCTATCAGTCAAAAAGCCACAGGAATTTATAGTAGTATACCCTATTCCTCCTTTGTAACCTACTCATCTACCTAGTACACCCATCTCTTCAACTACCACTACACCACTGACTGCAACTTCAAGTTGGCTGATCAAAGAATAAAATAGCATTCCCTTCCCTGACTGCCATATCCGGCATTGCTGTCCTGGCCACAGCTGCTTTATATCTCGTGTATTGAAACATTAAACAATAAATGTCACTGCTAACGGCTGATATGCACCTATAATCCCCCATCCTTGGAGCATCCACCTGTGGCCTCTGTTTATATATGATTCATCATCAGTGACTACTTTGGGTATCTGCATGTTTTTAACTTTAAATCCCACTTATCATAATGTATAATGGTACTGTGCGGATGGCGACATCCTTCACTTTGATTCTGAATCTTATTTGAGTGCACACCTTGAATGATTACAGATGCCATGTATTGATTTGGGATATAAAACAATGCTGCACAAAAATAAAACCAGTATTAACAAATCATTTATAAAGTTTCCATAACCAGCAGTTGCATGATCTGAATGAACAAGTTTTCCAACACGGAGACTAACATTAGACAACGACTGAACCTAGATTTTTTTAGATACGATGCTGTAGCTCCAAATAACTGGCAGAAACTTTAATGGGGATTTGTCTCCACCTAGTGCTAAATCACATTTACTCACAACACACCGGTGAGAAACTTCCCTGCCCTTACAGTACTTGATGTGCTTCAGCCAAATTCAGCCAAAGTGAAACATTTACAACTATGTCTGAATTTAACAGCAAACAATGATAAAGAGCCATTTAAAAGACGAGGTCAGATACAGAGTATGATACGAGAAATTTAAATGAGGAACTGACTTGCCTGCTGTGAATAATTTCATACATGACTGCTTGATTTTAGACTTGAAAGCAAAAGCTTGGCATGTTGTGTAGGCAAAATCCCAGAGTGATAAAAAAAAGAAAAAAAGAAAAAGAAATGAGATTGAGGCAGACCAGACCTGCACAGCCACACCTTAGGACAGGCGGACAGGTCATCACATCTACATCCATCATCATTTTGATTCAGACTGAAATATCTCAACAACTTTTGTATGGATTGCCATGAATGGTTTTGATAAGATATTCATGTTCCCCAGAGGATGAACCATAATGACTTCTGACTTTTCATCTAGCACCAGGTCAAAATTATAATTGCTCCAGTACTTTGGTTTCTGACCCAAAAATATACCTGCAAAATGAACGACTCGTTTCCATCAGCCTGAGCTTTACCATGTTTAGTGCTAATTAGCAAACGGGGTGCTCCTCTCATGTAGATAAATTCAGTGTCATCATGTGTAGTGTTAAGGCCTAGACACATCAGACAGACTTCAGAGCCAGTGGCGACAAAAGCCCCCTGCTGCATCACCTCACTTCGCTGTGTCTTGGCCAAAAAGTTGCACATGAACACACTATAAAGACTTCAACTGATGGCCAACCAGCAGGTATGTTCTGCACCTGCATGAGAGGAAATAGCTCACACCAGCAGATGGCGGTCGTCTACAATACTCATTCAAAAAGGGAAACCAGAAGTCTGTCTTGAAACTAGTTAGCAAGTTAACACATTACCAATGCACTCCAGAGTTGAAAGAACAGAGCATATTTAGTGTGAGCCAGTGAATAATAATACAAACTATCACAAAACATTTCTGCCAAAGAAAAACTCCTAGCTTCTGTAACAAGTTTGTTTCAGTCTCACTTCCTCGTGGGTTTAGCTCTTTCTTTAATTTCCTTACTTCTGTTTCTCTTCTCATTCATTGAGCTAAACTGCCAATCAGAGTGATTTCAGTCATTGATGGACCTGCAGTTGCTGGTGCTGATTCAACATACTGAATTGGCAAAAAAAAAAAAAAAACATCTAGCAAGGTTATTTTATTAGCATATTTAGCACTACAAATGGGTAAGTACATGAAACATGTGCCTGTAAAGTCTCGGATGTCTACGGTGGCCGAGAGAGGTCTCAACACACGCGAACTTATGTTTTTTGTTGAATACCGTGACCATTCGCTCGCGACTCGCACAAAAAAATCGGCGTCTCCTCTGTTTTCGAGCTTCCTCGCGAAAGCAGCGCGACTCGAGCAGCGCATAGAACGGATGTGGTGTGAATGCTCTAACCTGTTAACATGCTTGCCGAAATGAAAACGCGAGTAAACAGTGACCGCTCGCGATTGCTACCGGTGTTACACTGAAATCTGTGACCGTCGGAATTTGTGACCGCAGGCGGCGATGTTGCACATTGTCTGCGTGTGTGTGGCCATCAACAATGGCAATGGAAAGTAGATAGATGTTGTAAATTACTTTTATTATAACAACGTTTTGTGTGATAATGTATGCACTGTTTAATAAATGAGTAAACATCGACACAGTTGCTCTGTTATTGCCTCAATATTTGGACAGATGTATTTTCATTTCAAACTTCAACTGTAAAGAGCTAGATGCACAGCCATCAGAATATGTGACCTCACTGAATCTGCATAATAATGAGTTTAAACCTCAAAATAACTGTTTTCAATCCTTCTGTCATCCTCTCACATTAATATGGACACATATATTTGTATTTGGGATCATCACAGAGATAGAAACACAGAGGTCACATATTCTGATGGCTGTACAGCGGTCACAGATTTCGGTGCAACACCTGAACGCATCGCTTGCAGCCATGGAGAAAAGGAGGAGTGCGGTGCTCCACGCATCTGTTCTGTGGGATTCTTTAAGTATAATTAAAGCTTATTTAGGAGATAATTATAAGTAGCCTATTAGCGCATGGCTGTTTAAAGGAAAAGCGTGGAAAATAAAGTGAGGAGAAGAGAGGACATTTAGCAACTGCAGCTGAGCACAGGCCTACTTTGTAGTTTGGAGGGTAGATTTGTTGGTGTAATATTTTATTTATTCAGAGAACAGCGTTTTTTAGTTTTGTGTAAAGCTTTGTCAATTGTGATGGTCATTTACTTTATAGACAACTAAAGTGTACACAATGTGTAACTGTTTTGTTGTTGCCTGTTATAAATAAATGATAAATGTACAAAATGAGTGTATTTGTGTACCAGCTGCTAGGTGTATAGTATAGATCATCAGATAATCAGGCCCCTCATATGTGAGGTAGACATTTCCCCTGCACATTACTGTGCACAAATGTTCTGTGTGTACTTAGGCCTCAAGAAACCCTCTAGTGCTGGCAGATAGAAACCTCCCAGCAAAATTGTGTGCACTTTGTGTGCACACAATTTTTCATTTATTTATTTTCATCAGCATGTCGCGTGCACAAAAAAAAAAGTGAGGGGAGGCTGTTTTTTCCACTTGAGCACCTGCTCTACAAAAGTAATTATGCTTCTCCTGTTTTTCTCCTTTTGCTCCTCCCATTTTTCCATGTAACTACTGCCTCTGCATACTTTCAGCTAGAGAAACCATTCAAATGTCAAAACCTTACGCTCTTTGAGGTTTAATTTATGCTTGTGTATAACTTTTTTTCAGAGTTTTATGCCTTTAAAGTGCAAAGCATTTCTTTTTACAGCCTTGTAGTTCATTTCTAGGTCCACCTTTTACAGACTAACAGTTCACCTCCCAGCTTAGTGCAGTGTAATGCATTTATGCTTTACATTTCCTGTATTTTCAGCAATGCTTATTTCAGCTGTCAAATTTCTTTCTACTGTGGTGGCAGAGAGTGAGAGTAAGTTTACATGTCACGCCAATTCAGCAAGTTAAAATGTTGTGCGACAGAGATTCTAGTGTTTTGAGCTGTAAATGATGTTCTGTTATCAAGCTCCATGTAAAGGAAAAGTTGTCTTAAATGCACATACATAAACACCCTGCACTCTCTGTGTAGTGGTAACACTTTTTTACAGATGTTCGTATACAGCACACATTTGCACATATGTACAGAAGGGGTTCATGTTGTCAGTGGGGGACATTTTTGCTTTCTGTCAAACATTTCTAGAGAACTGAGTCCTCCAATGTGTGTCATCACTTGTGGCGAGCTGCTTGAGGGGGAGGTGACACCAGCCACTTCCCTCAGGTTTTGTATTTTACTTTTTTTCCCACATTTGAGTTATAGTCCGATAGTTTGTTTTGAATACAAAGTGGTAAAGTGATAACAAGGTATTTTTAAAGTGAGACAACGGATTTGGCTTTAAAAGATTTCGGGATAAAAGTCATACTGAGGTAACTATCTCTTCGCCATCAATGTTGATGAATGACTTTAATTTTTCAGGTAGTTAAACTATTTTGTTTGTCTTTTACAAATGCATTTCTCTTTCTTTGTTTCCCAATAACAGCTGTTACCAATGGAGCCTCGGCTGACAGATAACCTGAGGGTTGTGTTCATCTTGATCATCCTCCTCTCTACAGGTAAGACAATCACATTAGGAAAAAAAAAACCTTTATCTTAAGTTACTCTTTTGGCCACATATCATTGTCACATCTGTGTTACTACACACTGTATCCCTGCTGTGTCGACTCTTGTACGTGGTATATGTTATGGGTAGAAGTGTACAAGAAGAGACAATAAAAAGCAACATAGAAAACTGCCTATTTAAATCTTTTATATTTGTGTGCCATCCATTTTTACAGCACTTTGGTCAGCTGTGGTTGTTATTAAGTGTGCTGTATACATAAAATTGATTTGATTTGGTTTAAAAATGGCACCACATGTTTCTTCTGTAGAGTAGAGGATGATGATCTGATTAGATCATAAAGCATTTACCATGTAGCTGTTTGCATTTTTTAACAAAACACAGCGACCTTAGAGTGCTTTTACTTTATCTGTAACAGTATTAGTATTACGTAGTAAGTGTTGACATATATGTCATCAAATTTGTAATTGATGGAGTGCCCAGTGGCTCACCCAGTGGAGTACAAAGGCTAAGTCTTTGCCACACCGGCCACAGGTTGGAATCGAATGTGGCCCTTTCTACATTTCATCTCCTCTCTTTCCCCCTTTCACACTACTAGCTGTCCTATCAAATGAAGACAAAAATAACATTGTAACTGATGTCCTAATTGCCATTATATGTTACATGTTATATTTCATGATAAGTGTAGCATTGTGTGCTTTAGGCACAAGTGCCTCCTAAAACAATATAAAAGTATTTACTGACACAAGAACGCAGTTTAACTTGTACCCAGAACTGTGTGAGGGTCAGTATCTTGAAGCAAGGGAGGATATATGAGCTCCAGTGAGGGTCAATAAGATTATTAGGTTTAGTAAATGATGTTCAGAAAACATTTCATATCACATCTGTTGTGGTAAACCACCCCTCGTGAACCTGTTCAAAAACTCTGCAGAGGTACAGACTAAATCAGAATCAGAAATACTTTATTGATCCCCGAGGGGAAATTGTGATTTGTTACTGTCCCTCTGGTGTAAAGAATAGAGAATTATAGATAAGAATAAGAGTATGAAATAGAAAAATGTAAATATAAAGTAATGAAATAAAAATAAAAATGTGCATTATGCTACAATGTTAATACTAGTACTTATAATATTAAGAATAAAATATATATCTTCACTGTGCTGAGTCTGTAAATGTGTGAAAATATACAAACATGTGCACTGTGCTACTTTACACCGTATAAACTAGTATGTTACATTCAGAAATATAGAACATGTATTATGCCATAATGTTTAATACATTATATACATCAATAAAGACAAGAATAAGAATAAACTAAGAAATATGTACTGTCATGTGCATTATATGTCGAATAAATATATGCATTAGGTTTTGGTTAGAATGAGTTGTATACTTAAGAATATTGCACAGTCACTATTAGAGACATAATAGATAATTATGAATTATAAATGCAGATAGGTGAATTAAGTCCAAGTCCCAGTCTTATTGACTCAAAGCTGCTGAAACTCTGCGGGAGGAGTTATATGGGAGTTGTCGCAGGCAGGGATGACTTCCTGTGGCGCTCTGTGGTGCATCTTGGGGGAATGAATCTGTCACTGAATGTGCTCCTGTGTTTGACCAGCACATTGTGGAGTGGGTGGGAGACACTGTCCACGATGACACATATCTTAGACAGCATCCTCCTCTCTGACACTGCCATCAGAGAGTTCAGCTCCACCCCCACAACAGTACTGGCCTTGCGAGTTGATTGAGTCTGTTGGCATCTGCTACCCTCAACCTGCTGTCCCAGCACACACCAGGATCGCACTGGCCATCAAAGACATCCTCAGATGTTGAAGAACCTCAGACTCCTTAGAAAATAGAAGCAGCTCTGGCCCTTCTTGTAGAGAGCTTCAGTGTTCTTAGTCCAGTCCAGTTTATTGTTATTAAATACAGAAAGCACACTGAGAAACACCAGCATGTGCAACAATGTCCAAAATCTTACTTATTTGAGCCCATAAAAATATTGTAAAATGTGGTTTCAGTTTTCCCTCATTTTCAGGAAAATAACACTGATTCAAAGCTGGGTGAGGTCACTTTTTGTGATGAATATTTTTTGTAATGTTACCTAACCTGTAAATAAACCTTGCAGGCTCTAGTTTCGCAGACCGGGTGAGGCGGGGGCGCAGCGCACCTGCGCTTCACCAACTGGGTGTGGCCAGGCGGATTTTGCTAGTTTGGCACACCGTGTGCGCTGGTGCAGCTACTCCTCTTTCCCACCTCTGTCCCTCCTACCTGCGCAAGTCGGAAAGAGGGAGGAGAGAAGGCGTGGAGTGGGTTTTACGCACATCACACCAATCAAATGAGCCCCTCTCCTCACCCTTAAATGCGCCGCGTGAAGGCGTAATGAGAGTTTACTCAATTCGCCATGGCAGAAGAGAGCAGCAGCGTCAGACGGCCAAACTTCTCCCAGGAGGAAACTGACGTTTTGGTCTGGAAGGTCCAAGCTCGCAGTGTCCGAATATACGGAACTGCAAGCAATACTGCAAAGGCAGCCTGGGAGAAGGTCACCACAATTGTAAATCAATGTTGCGTTTCTCTCGTGCATGCGTGCGCTCTCTCTTTCTCTCTCGCAGTCTCACTCTGTTTCTTTTCTTTTGACTTTTCTAAGATGACAGATACTGAATATATACTCCCTATCTGATGCTGTGGCTGTTTGTGGTTGGCTGAGAGGGATGTGAACTCATTAGTTTGCAGCTGTGTTAATCGAATCAGGTTGAGTTTCCATTACGCGTGCCAAACGTGCCAAACGGTGCCAATCCCCTTTGATCTGACATCAGATGTGACGGGACAGTCGATATAGAGATACATTTATGTGCTGATTGCAGATAGTTGCATTGAATAGTGGTTTTTTGGGTATTTATTGCATTGTTAATGTGCCTGACATTCTGGAAACCTGCCTGTGAGGTTTTGGTGACATGTGCGCACTGTCCGCCGGTCAGCCAAACTTCGGCTTACACCGGCTGCGCTCCGCCTGCGCTGACAGTAGACCTGGTTTCAGCTGGCGAGCTTTTAGCGCACCTTCGGCGAAGCCTTTTGGCACGAAACTGTCACTGTGCCAAGCTGGATCTGTCGACACCTCCCCCTGCTGCGCCGCCACACCCATCTCAGCGCACCTTGGTCTGCCAAACTACCAAACTGAGCGCGCCTCGGGTTGCATTGTTCTAAACTAGCTCTGCGTGGGGTTCGCCACCCTGCACCACCCTGCGCTGCGCCAGGAAACTAGAGCCCTGAGTGTTTGTTTCAGTATTGCATTCACAACTGTTATTTAGACTGAATGGGCCTCATGCAGCTACAGTCTCTTAAATGTCTCTCATATTTTCTTTTAACATTATGTTACGAGCAAAAAATAAATAAAAAAGATAAATCAACTCCAAGGCCCAGTTGTTCAGAGGTAATCTGATCAGATTTCAGATATTGGATTAAAGCGGATCTCCAAAATGGTTCACTGAAAAGAAAAAGAGGGTTCTGAAATTGCATTCGATCAGGTAGATCAGGTTTTGATCTGGATCAAACCTTCAGTATGTGTTGTTCAAAACTTTTTAGTAGGATTGGTACACCAGTGTTATCCTGATTCCAGTGGGGATCAGGCTGGATTAGTTAAACTGTTACTGTGATTAATTAGATATTAGGTTAACTATGAAGCCTTCTAGTACAGTAGTACAGTACAATAGTAGACAGAAAAACATGGGATTTCCAAATCTGGATCATTCTAATCCAGATTAGATTTTTTTCAACAACTGGGTTTAGATGCATCAAACGTGCTTAACCATCCAAATCTGCTCTTACCCAAGTGTACTGAATGATGAATCCCACTTGATCATAAGTAAGATGTTAGCATAGGTAAGACCCCTTTAACACTATGGGCAAGTGTTGTGCCGTGTGCAAAGACTCAAGAACCAGAGATGACACAGATAGGCTGGAAGAAGAAGTAGGGAAATCAGTAGTAGGGAAGTAGGGAAATCAATGTACTGTTAAATAAACGTAAACAAAGTAAACGTGATGACGTGATGTGAGCGTCAGTATTGCTGTTACAGGAAAATAAATAAAAACAGCAATGACAAAACATTTGTCGTGTCATCAGCAGTGGTGATGGAAGTATTTAGATAATTTACTTAAGTTAAACTACTAATACCACACTGTAAAAAATACTCTGTTGCAAAAACTCTGCATTGAAAATGTTACGTTAGTAAAAGTATGTAAGTATGATCAGGAAAAAAGTACTCAGGCAGAAAAGTTTAAATAAATGTGTAAAAATAAAATAATTCAACGGCGCAAAATGAAAGCAAATCTTTGTATCTGATATGCTGAAAGTATGAAATGTTTTTTGCATCAAAAATTACTTAAACTGTTATCAAAATAGTTATCAATTAATTCTTAAATCAGTCAATTAATCATTTAAGGTGCTCTGTATATTTTCATATTGTTTGTGCGCAAAACTCTTAATTTTTAAAATAACTAGTAGCCTAACTAAAGTTAAATAATTGTAGTGGAGTAAAAAAAATACAACATTTTCCTCCGAAGTGTAGAGAAGGAGAAGCAGAAGGAGGCATGCAATTAGAATATTAAGTAAAGTACAAGTACCTCAGATTAGTACTTTAGTACAGTACTTGAGTAAATGTATTTAGTTACATTTCACTACTGGTCAGCAGAGGAACACACAGTAACTGAAATTACAGTAATGGGAATCAGTGGACCATGAATAGAAATCTTTTTTAGCCCTGAAATGTAGTAATCCATTAATTATAATTACTTTAAAACACAATCAAAGTTTGATTTTATAAAATGCATGCGCTTTTTAAGTGTTTCTTAAATGTCAAACTTATGTTTACTCAGATTGTGCAGCAATTTGTGGACTGTGAAACCCGCATGTTTGTCTCTTTTCTTGGTAAGTGCGCTCTCGACCACTCTTAAATGATCTCTTACCAAAAAGAGGAGCAAAAAATAAGAAAACAACAACAGCAAAATTATCCACAGAGGTCTCTCCCTCTCCAAAAGAAACAGACTTGGTGATTTGAAACAGTGAAACATGGAGTGACACATTTTTACATTACAAATCATTGCAGGCGGCTAGTGCAACACATGCTAATGTGTTGCACTAGAGTGTAACTTTGATGCTGCACATTGCAGCTGGGCTTCTTACTACGGTGGCCAACGCAAAAATGTGAATGGACTTATCTGGAGCCAGTGTTTGGTTTGTCCGTTCTGGGCTACAGTAGAAACATGACGATGCAACTTGGCTATTTCCATAAACAAGGACCCTCTCCCTATGTAGATATACTAAACAGCTCATTTTAAAGTGAGGAGAACACAACAATTTGTATTTTCAGGTCATATACATTACAGAAAACATATTTATTACACTGTATTACATTCAATTCAATTTCTGCCAATATACCCCCCCAAATCCTATACACTGGACCTTTAAAAGAAAACCAAACATCAAGCCACCTTTTGTCAGTGTGTCCCTATTGTTTCCTTCAGGTTTCAGTGAAAACGACCTTGACTGGAATTTTTGTGGCACCTGGCGCCATGGCAAGGGCCCCCTGAGCTTGAATGTCAACCTCTCCACAGGCTGTAGTGGGATCTCAATCTCAGCTAATCAGAGCTCTCTGTCCATCGATGGGCAGATCACAGCCCAGTGTCGGCGGTCTGAAGTGATTCTCGTCAAGGAGCTTGGACTTGAATCAGAGGAGGAAAATCAATTCTGTCTGTATTGGGAGCCGTTGCTGGACCAGCTGATGCTGCAGGTAAAACAGAAAATGGAGGAAGGAGACAAGATGAGGATTTATGGAGGAGTTTCCATGTGGTGAAACATCTAAACACTAATATAACCAAGGTTATTGTTTTTTAAACTGTCATTTTCCACCCAGCTGGCATGGTGGTGCAGTGGTTAGCAATGTTGCCTCACAGCAAGGGGGTTTCTGGTTCAAACCCAGGGTGGGGGAGCCCTTCTGTGCAGAGTTTGCATGTTCTCCATCATCACAGATAATAGGTTAATTGGTAACTCTAAATTGTAACCATTCTAACCATAGGTGTGAATATGAATGTGAATGGTTGTCTGTCTATATATTAGCCCTGCGATAGTCTGGCGACCTGTCCGGGGTGTACCCTGCCTCTCGTCCAGTGACAGTTGGGATAGGCTCCAGCCTCCCTGCGTCGTCTAGCTCAAAGTATAAAGTGGGTTTCTAGGTGGGTTAAGGTTTCTGCTTCCTACCAAGTGAAAAGCATATATTGCAAGAACAAACAGAAAATGTGTACCGCATACAATTATGCCAACATTGCCTAACCAGTTCAGATCCTAATCCATTCCAGTGGACATAATATTTCTAGGACGTCTAGATCTGTGACTACTGTTGTCTGACTCCACCTCAATAGAGTGCCCCAATAATACGTCCTTAAACCCAGAAATTAGTTAACATTTTTGTTCTGATGGTTCCCTCATCTCAAAGTCAGTTTTCTGAATTGTTTTTTGGTTTGCCGTCTGAAATAAGGTCTGTGATTAACACAGGCTTAAGAGACTTTCACAGTTTGTTCTACAACATAAAATACTTAAGTAAATACCCCACTGTGGATGTTGAAACTCTACTGTCTCTTAAGAAAGGGCAATTGCATACAAGTGGCTGAATGGGTCTTCAGGGTGCCTTCACGTCGAACAAGGCTTTACAGCCTCGTTGTGGTAGTGATGTTAAGTCATGCGAGCATGGTGTGGTTGGTTTAAAGACTATCCTTAGCTTCTTATTTCTGGGGTTTATACTTAGGCTTCAAAAATCATAAAAGTGATGTTCATTTGTGCAGATTATCTTGCTGAACAAAACATGTGAGTACCATAAATGTTTATCTGCCACAGAGCTTATTTTCTGCAAAAATCCAAAATCCAATAGAAAAATCCCATTGGCATTTTGACAAGGGAACCAGGGCGAAGCAAACTTCTGTCTTGGCCTACAAAAAAACATTATCCCTGGAGCACTCTATTCTCAGACTTTGACTGGTTGTCTGTAAGCCACTTAGTAGGTTCCACGTCATCTAAAGTGGACTGACGTAGAGCCACACACACCCCTTTATTTTATTTTTTTTACAAGGATGCAGACTTTTTCTTAAACAAGGATGGTGGACTGTGAGGCAAAAAGGGAGTGCGAGGCACATTTCAGTCTAGAAATAATTTTGTTATCATACATAATTTGTGTTTAAACTGTTTTTAATGTAAACATCACTTGTAATATTATTCATACATGTCAAAAAATTATAAGATTTATAGCTTTTACGCAGGATTTGTTTTTTAAAAAAAATCTGTCCTTTGGAATGGATGGTCGATCTGACTGCAAAATGAATAGCTATACTTCTGATTTAATTTTCTAATGATACAATCAGCTTATAATTCATCCTATTGATTATGTCCTAAGAATATTCATCTCAGGAGGATTTAAACATACTGTTTTCTGGACATACTTCAGAAATGAGGATATGTTGGGTGGTGATGACAAATACAGTGCACAATATTCACTTTGTTTATAACCATCACCACCAAAAATAAATTAAGTCATTCTTTAATGAAAAAAGGTCTGTTAAGACCATTTATTGTCATATTTACTATTTACTATGTTAATATCACTGCAGATCATGAGCCAGCCAGGCCACGCCACATCCAGTGTGAACAGTCCAATTAGTTAACATGGGCGCCAGAAGCAAATGGTCAGTGCTCCACAGAAAAATGGCGCACTTAGCGGCACTCCTGTGTCCAGCATGAACCGAGTGTTGGAGTAGAAATCCATCATTACAGTTTTTTTCCTTGGTGTTTGAAAAATAAATGGGTTCTGGGCAGGCTAATTGCATTCCTTGTTAAAGAGCTTAATAAAGGTTGCTCATTTTAGTTTTTCTTGTTTTGTTGTACAGGTTGGAGGAAAGAACCTTTATCTGTGCTGGCCGACCAGCCTGCAGGGCTCCTGCTGCACTGATCTCACTGATGGTGGTTACAGCACACCTGGAGCAGCCTATGGCCTCATGAATGTAATGGTCAAAGCTGATTACATCACTGACAAAATAAGAACAGCCTATATGTTCAGTGGATATTCCATCAACTGCAGTAAGGAAGAATGAATGGTATCTGTTGTACATGTGTAAATAAACTAAGCACAAAAAGTAAGGAAATTTGTGTTTGGTAGATTATTTCTTTGTTGTAACAATGCTTCTTGGCAATAGATCTTATACCGTTGGAAAGCATGTTTATTTCCCTTTCAAATGGTGCCACATTTGTAAGGAATATGCATTTGTGGGATGAGCAGCAGAGCTGAGTATGTGGGTTGCGCCCATGAAAAATTTGGCAAATCTTCTCTGCCAGTGCCAAACAGCTTTTTTTTTTGCTGTTGCTATTGACTCTTGTTTTGAGCTTCTGGTACCTCCCGGTGCTGACAATCAGGTGCCTCCTCAATTTCGTTGTAGTTGTACAATGACAATAAAGAGATTCTGATTGTCAGCACCTGTGAGCATGGGCCCTGCCACCGTGGTCAGTTGGTGTCAGCTCCAAGAATCGGCATGCCACGTTTGACTGATCTAGATAGGGCCTATGTGATAGGGCAACTTCAAGCTGGTGTTCCGCCCAACCAAATTGTGGCATTATTTGGAGTGAGCCCTTGCACCATCTGAAAACTGAAGGCCAAGTTCCACATAATGGGTGATGTCAGACACAGGCCGCGAAGTGGGCATTCCAAGAAGATGGCACCCCAAGAAGACCGTTTCCTCATCTTGTCAGCACTTAGGAACCGTAGGCAGTCTTCTACAAATATGCAGTCAAGGTTTGCAGGATGATATGGCTGACGGCTCTCTGCCCAGACAATCTGGAACAGATGCAGCCAATCTCCGGTCTCACAGGGCTGCCAGGAGGCCTGCTATGACTGCCCTTCACCATCAGGCCCGTTTGCGCTGGTATCGGCACCTTAACATGTGGAGGAACATTATATTCAGCGATGAGTCCAGATTCTGCCTACGGCAGTTGGATCGAAGGGTCAAATTGTGGAGAAGACGCGGAGAATGCTTTGCTGATTGTTGCACTGAGTTACATCTTTTGGTGGAGGCAGTGTTATGCTGTGGGGCGGCATCTCCCTCACTGGAAAAATGAGGCTTGTCATCATTGGAGGCAATCTCAATGCAGAGAGATATCAAGATGAAATTCTGCAACCAGTGGCAAACCCCATATCTCAGTCTGGGACCGAACTCTATCCTCCAAGATGAATTCAGAATTCAGGATCAGCTTGGGCGTGCTGTTCGTGCCAGAGTGACCAACACAACCACTTTGGCTGACTTGCGACAAATGCTGGTTGAAGAATGGGATGTCATCCCACAGCAGTGTGTGACCAGCATGAGGAGGAGATTGTGGCTGTCTGTGGTTCTTCCACACATTACTGAGGCTCCTGTTTGTTAAATGGATAAATTGTTAAATTGCCAATATGTCTTGTTTCTTCAGACTTCACTCACTCATCCAATCCATCAAACAACACCAAAAGAGAGTCAACAGCAAAAAAAAAAAAAAAAAGCTGTTTGGCATTTGCAGAGAAGATTTGGCAAATTGTTCATGGGCGCAACCCACATACTCAGCTCTGCTGCTCATCCCACAAATGCATGTTCCTTCCAAATGTGGCACCATTTGAAAGGGAAATAAGCAGGCTTTCCAATGGTATAAGATCTATTGCCAAGAAGCATTGTTACAACAAAGAGATAACCTACCAAACACAAATTTCCCAACTTTTTGTGCTTAGTTTAGAATATATTTAAAGGTTTTACTGATTGAACATAAAGTGAATACTGTCTGTATTATATTCTGCTCCTCTAGGTCAGTGTTACCTCACTGAATGCCCTTTTCTTCTTTTAAATGTATCTAAGAGTTAATGGATTACCTTTTAAACATAAAGACATAAAGACTTTACTTCATTCAGCCCAAACTTCAGAGATCATACAAATTGACTTAAGATTCAGATTTCTATTAAATTGTAACAGTTTCAAAGCTTTGTTTTTTGTTTTGTTTGTTTGTTTTTTGTTTTTTGCAGAGGCATTATGTGATCAAGAGAGCCAGGGATCATCCCAAGTCAACATGTAAATTACTTTCTCATTTTTTTTTAAATGTACCATCACATTTACTGTCAAAGTAGCATGGCAGTTTTTGGTCAACATCCTTTCTCACATGACTTTGTTGTAAATGCTAAGGCTACTGTTGTTAAATATTTATGTAATCAAGAGAAATTCTGACAACAAACAGCAAGTGAAACTTTACTAAGTTAGAGTCGGGGTAACAACAATGATCTTGCTTCTTTTGAATGACCAACTGAAACCACAGTTTTTGATGTAATATCACAGTGGTGTGTGCTGATGTGTCTATCCAGGACTAAGGAGACTGCGGGGATGGCCTGGGCTGGAGGGACTATGCACAGTCTCTGCGCTCACAGCTCTGAGGTGGAAATGAAAGAGGATTTCAGAGGCTACAGTATCACATCACCTGTAAGACAAGCACACAATATGAGGTGGGGTGGGTTTTGAGGGCCTTCTTGAATGCTGACAGTGTGGGGGCATTTTTTATGTGGTGTGAATTCCAGAGAGAGAGGTCAGCAACTGAAAGCAGAGGATCTATCCAAGGGGTAGCATATAAAGGATGGAGAGAAAGGGTCCAAGCATCTCGGGGGGCAGTGTGGGTGACAGGAACTATGGATGACTTGTAGTTGTTGATAGAGATGAATTGATGTCTGTCAGAAAGGTAGGATTGGAACCAGGAGAGGGCAGTGCCAGTGATGCCAAGGGTGGATTTGAGGCATGTGATGAGTGTGGAATGGTTAATGGTGTCAAAAGCAGCACTGGGATAAAGAAGCATGATCAAACCGTAGTCCGAGGATGATAGCACGTTGTTAGTGACTTTAATCAGGGCGATCTCAGCGCTGTTAAGTGCTTCTTCGGTTGAGTAAACTTTGAACTTCAGAATTCACACTGAATTGTCATGTGTTAACCTATACGCTGTAGCCTTCACAGACCACATCAGCAAGATTGACACCACACCACTTCCGTCTTAGTTGCATTTTAGCTGAATATTCAAAAATGAAGCACATTTCCTGTGAGACACTAACACAAACCACATCAGTTATTTATGATCTCATGGCTGTTTTGCTGGAACCATGGACCAAAAAGTAAGATTAGTTTTATGTTGGAAAACAAAGCTGTAACAATATTGCTAAGGATGAAAAAAAATAGAATTTCTTCTTCAGAGGCAGCAATGGATAGAAAGCAAGCATTCCTGGTTAGGGGTGGACGGTAAAGCACTTAGTCTCTCAGTTAAGTTCACTGTAACTAACTGATTCAGAGATTAACTCACATTGATATCAATTTTTCCACTAAAAATCTATTCCCCCCCTAGAATTGGACAGAAAGCATTGGAAGGCATCGATTTGACTTGTTTCATGCAGATTAATGCAGCTTAACTCAGTACACTGTTTCATTCCTGTGGCTGTGCCTGTCAATTTTGAATCAGGGGCTTACTATTCACCTTATTCCTGAGGGCGCTACTGTAGAAATGATTATTATGGGTAAATCTTCCAGTGTAAGAGCAGAAGTAGTTAGTCGCTTTGACTGTCTATGGTTAGTCTCAGTGGCTTATCTTGGTGGCTTAATGCCGACAGTGGTTCTTTTGAAAGTAATTTAGCAAATATTGCTTTGTTTATTTAACAGATACCTAACTATACCTAAGCCTTTAACCCTGTTAAAGAGAGTTTTTCCTTATCCGCTGTGAGGGTCCAAAGGACAGAGGGATGTTGTATGCTGTAAAGCCCTGTGAGGCAAATTGTGATTTGTGATATTGGGCTTTATAAATAAAATTGATTGATTGATTGATTGACTAACGTTAAGCATTTTCTAAAATGTCATCACGGAACTCTGGTTCCTGTTGTGCTGTATATGTCTGTGACGCATAACAACCAGACCATAACAACCAACGAGCTTGGTTAAAAAAAACAACCAATACTTTGAGATGGCTGTCAGAGATTGCAGAGTTATGATCATGTTATCCCATCTGAGGTGTAAGGCCCAGGTCACACTGCATGCATGAGTAGTGCATGTGCATCTTGGAACTTGTTGAGGGTTTTTCTTTTCGGTGCCTGTGTAAACAGATTAGAGCAGCCTGCATGAGCAGCGCTGCTCAGGTATGGCTCAGCTGCTGCTCAGCTGTGGCACATCAAGAGGCTTGGAGGCTCGCTGATTTTTTCTATGTGACACATGTGGCTTCAAAATGTAGTGCTATGACAACATTTCTATGGACAGAATCCCTTTATTCGTTAACACAAGGATTTTTATTGTGAGTATCAGCTTCAAATTGTGGAAATACAGTCATTACAGCAGCATGCAGTCAGCACATACTGGTACTTTGCAAAATGTCAAGCTTGTGCCTTTTTGGGGAAAGAAAGCCAAATCCTGTAGTCAATGCAATTTGACATTTTTTGTTTGTAATTTTGACACGTCTGTATGCATTTATTTATTGTTAAACCAATGTTTGTTTTATAGTCTAGTTTCTTTGTGACCTTGCCTGAATCTGAGCCTTCACAATACCTTAATAAATTAGGGTTGACTGCCATCATGTCCCTTCAGTCCAGTGGCCAGATGTTGCTTATCTAGACATCCATAGATATTTGTTAGGCGTGTTGTCTGTAAATAACAAATCCGTTAATAGCCAGTTTGATCCAAACTAGGGTTTAGTCGGAGGTGACAGTCTTGTGCTGCTACAATTAATGACTTTAGGCTACTGCAGCAACATTCGCTATTCATCAGTGGTAACTGTCACTAGCATAATTTAATGTTAGCGATTTACAACACTGACGGTAAATATTCCAACACGTTCTCATCCCTAGTCATCACATATCGCCATTATGTCAGCAGCCTTTCATGTCTACATATTACGTGCTAGGTATCCTCCTGCGTCTGCCATTGACGTCCTGGGACACGAGAACCAGTGCCAGGACATCAACAAAAGCATGTGGTTAGGTTTAGAAAAAACATCATGGTTTGGCTCTACATTCATACGGGAGGCAAACACCAGGCTCACAGTAAAAGTCCAGCGTTTATTGGACCCATCCACCTCCCCTCCAGCCCACCCTATACAGACTCTCTAGCTCCTTATATTATGTTGTTACTGGCATTGTTTCAACCTGACACCATCCAGCAGTGTATCATACTGCCGCAAAAGGTTACATCTGGCCACATTACAAACTGACGCCACCCATTTGGCGTTTAATACTTCCATGAAATGTGGCTTTTGGCGCCGAAATCACTGACAAACCGGGGGGTATTCGACAACTTTGGAATGAGAATGGACTGAATATTCAATGTGAAAGCCTTGGTTAACCAGCTACACAACCACTTTTCGGCATTTTCCCGTTTCTCTCCTGATGTGACAGAGCTTTTCTTTCCCCCAAAAGGGGACACAGAGCTGGTGATGATGCAATGCCTGTCTGGTCTATATCTATTGTATGACATGGAAGGGAAACAAATGCAAGAAATGTGAGGTTTTTGGATTTACTGTTGGTGCACTCAACAACACAGCAACTCTTTGGCATAGCGTCATTAATTTAAAGTAGGAAGTAGAAATTTGTTTTAAGTAGAAATTTGGTATGTGTATTCTGTTGCCGTCTATGTTGAACACCAGATTGTTTTCTTCCAAAAGGTGGCATGGTGATGAATTTTTATGTATCGACTTGAAAGTGAATTGACTCAAATGCTGTTATGCCATCTCTAACTGTGCAGTGATCCTTCTTCAGTATATTCTGTTTTCCAGGCCTCTAAAGGTGCATCTACAGAGTCCACTACCACTGTCTATATCCCCCATGCTCTGAAACAAGCTTCAAAAAAGACCAGCAAAGTCATCTGCACTTTCTTCAAAAACAAATTCTTGTGCCCGGTAAGGTTCTGTTTCTCCTCAATTACCGTAACACAGGCAGCTGAGAAGAGATGTCAGCATGACTCCATGCATATGCCTCCTATCTGCCATTTTTCTTGATCAAAGCCTAGACTTCAAAATAATACACAAATTCCCAAATTCCACTGACATGACATGTATAAAAATGTAGGCTGCATTATATCAGTAGACAGGAGTGTGTGTGTGTGTGTGTGTGTGTGTGTGTGTGTGTGTGTGTGTGTGTGTGTGTTTTCCAGAAGGGTCACAGGATTCTTGTGGATGTGGTGGGAATCACTGCAGAGAACAAGGTCATCACTGATCTGTCTGAGCCAATTAGGATTGTCTTTCACCACAATGTGATACCTGTAAGTTTGTATGTTTTTTTGTGCCCTGATCAGTGTGGTCAATGTCCACTTTATGTTGTCTGAATCTGTACTTTCAAATTTTATTGTTGATCTATTTCAGAAATACAGTAGTGGAATCTGATGAACACATAAACATAGTATTTGATGTTACATGCAGTGAATTTAATTATTTTGGTGAACCAATTAAGTCTTGCTCACTGTTTAACTGTGGGTAATGGTGCATATATATTGGTCTTACGAAGTGTATAGTTTGATATTTTTCACAAATTTTTGGTTGGGTTTGGGTTTGCCGTGAATGCTAATGAAAAAACAAGACGTATTTTTCAGTTCCATGACGTCTGCCTCAAGCTGTCTGCCTCTCAGGCACACAGTACCCACAGAACAAACAGAAACCACTCAAAGGTTTCTCTTCTTACCTCACGTCTTGCAAAAAGAGATGATGCTGTTGCTTCCTCTATGCAATGCATGCATGCACATTAACCAACCATGTAGTGTAACACCATCATCATTTGTCCCAGAAGGAATAACAGGATCTTAATGGGAAGCGATCACAGCTCATGTATCTTTCTCTCCCTTTTTATTTCAGAAGATATATTCCAGGAAATGTGTTTCTTGGGACACCGGGAAAGGTTTGAACCCCTTACAACCAACCTTATAAATAATATTTGTTCAACATATATGTCTATTTCCCCATTTATTTACCCTACCTCCCACAGAAGGTATTTAACTATGTTTAAATCTGTATTTGTCTTTGTGCAGCTCCGTCGCAGGTCACTTGGTTGGTGGATGGATGCAAGACCCAACAGAAAGGAGCAAATCAAACCGAGTGCCTCTGTAACCATCTGGGTTACTTCACTGTATTTGGGGTGAGTCATGCAGCAGACACTGCAAATTTTTACACTTGACACAAACAAATAATTAAGACAAAAAGTAACATGATGCAGAAAAAATGTACGTACCCAGCATTGTTACCAACCTACAAAACATCTCCACATAAGTTTACACACATATAGACACTATAAACATCAATTTATAGAGAAAAACACACAAAAATACATAAAAACAGAAATATTTACTCATATTTAGGTGCATGAAGGCCATGTTACTCATTGCTCTGTGTCCTCTGACAGCAAATGAAGCCTCGCCCAGTGCGCCCCCTCCTGGCCCAGACCATCATTACATCTCTGGGCTGTGCCATGTCTGTGATCAGTTGTGTCACATTCATCATTTTTCTCTGCAGAAAGAGGTGAGGGCCTGTGTCCACAGGTTTTTTTCTATGCGCCATCTTCTTTTTTCAATTGTTCTCAATGATGAGAGAGTGTATGTGGCCACATGCAGCCACCTAGAGAAAAAAGTATTGCGCCCAGCATCTTTTTTCAGAGCGCTCTGACTGTATTTGAACTTTTCAGAGAGGTACTGGTGTCGTCACTGCTGTTCCTTTAGCTATTGTCTATCCTGAGCTATATGATATGTTAGTCAGAAACTATCACAACAAAGCAGAGGTGGGCCAAAGTCATTGTTTTGAAGTCACAAGTAAGTGTCAAGTCTTTACATTTAAAGGCTCTGACACACCAAGCCGACAGTTGGCCGTCAACCAAAGTCGGGCCCTCGGTCAGTGTCTGTCGCCCTAGTTTTTGCGGTGTGTCCCGCACCGTCGGCACTTTGGCGTCGGCGGCTTTTCGGCCGATTGAGCACGTTGAATCGGCGGCGGAGCTTGTTGGTGAGAGAGGTCAATCTGATTGGCTGTTTAGGTTTTATTTCCTCGCCCCTGTAGGGAGTGAATCTGCCTGTAGTGAAACCGGGGCTAACCAGGCTCCACTTCACTCAGCTGCCCGACAGATCCGCTGCTTCTTCCCACTTTAACCTGAATAGCCGCAGCATGACCAGTTCTCCGTTTGGATCCAACTGGAGCACCGAGTCCCGGTTTGTTATTCAGGTTAAAGTGGGAAGAAGCAGTGGGTTTGTCAGGCAGCTGAGTGAAGCTGAATTAAGTGGAGCCTGCGGAGGAAACACCGGGACCGTCTGGATGTGATAGTCCATGGAGGTGCTGCGGTGCTCGGCTGCACAGTTAGGAAACCCTTCAGCTGACAGGATGTACCACTCTCTCACTCCGCTACTTTGTTTATCTCATGCATTCTTCGGACTTCCAGTTTCCCTTTTTGCGTTATTTCCTCTCACGCAGGCGCAAAACGTACGTGCTACTTGGCCGTCGGATGTAGTCTTTGTAGTGTGTTCAAATGCAGCTGACACAGGGCAATGTGAGGCAATGTAGACGACGCAACAGTTGGCTTTCGTCGCCACTAGTTCTTTGATTTCGGTTTGGTGTGTCAGCACCTTTAGTCCCAAGTCAAAGCCCTAAGTCAAGAAAGGCAAGTCCCAAATCTAAAACTTTGAGTTTTGAGTCTTAAACAAGTCATAATACGCTCTTCCACAAATATTAGCCTATGCCAATATTAAATTCACAAAAATCATTAATCCTTTTTAAAATTTGCATCTATTTGTTAAAACAAGTTTGCCAAAAACTTCCTTAGCTGTTCAGCTAATGTTAGCTGAGCATTAGCTCGTTCACTATGTTAGCCTCAACTTGACTCGACCTCAAATGTGGAATAAAGTTTAAAGTTGTTCAACTCATACATTTTGCAAACTGCAATTTGTTTTTTGTTTACCAGCATATAGTTTTAGTACATTAAAGTTCCAGTAGGCAACAGGGGTGAGGTGGGGCCGGGCCGGGCCCGGCCGGAGGGCGCGAGGGTCGGCCGTGGGAGTGGAGCTGAGGGCTCTCCGCGGAGAGGGAGAGCCGAGCCTCGGGGGTATGTGCAGGGCGGGCTGCTGCGCGGTGAAGGAGAGCTGAGGCTCGGGAGTATGTGCGGGTCCGCGAGGGAGGGATGGGGAGGGCTGCTGCGCGGTGAGGGAGAGCCAAGGCTCCCAGAGAAGGAGAAATGGAACCAAGTAGGATAAAATACTCGCGTGCTCGTCTGGTAGGAGGGGCTGAGGGCGGAGACGAACAAAACCTAACTCAGATGAGACTCAAAAATCAACCATTTTCAGGCTTTCTACCTACTGCAGCTTTAACAAAATGATCTTAGGTGTCATTTTTTCCTACCCAGGAACTCAGTAAACTAACATTTGTTCTTCACGGTTCTCTCCTGCAACTTGATTGGATGTTAGATGTTAGATTGGTTCAAACAAAGTGGATCTGAGGAAAAAAGTGTTGACTTGCTGAGAACAAATAACATTAATGTTAGTTAATCAAGGAACTGAAGGGAAATTAACTGATTCATGGCACACTTTTAAAATAACATACTTTTTAATCTTTGGGTTTGTGGGGAAAGGCATCAAGTATTTTAAAGTCAATGTCAGTTTTTTTGTGCCAGTTTTTCATTGTTTTCAGACAAAAGGTGCTCCAAAGTGAGAGCGATGCCGCTGCAACATGCAAGCATTTCCAAGTGCCGTTTCTTCAGGGCGTGATAGCTGCACCCTGAGATAAACAGAGTTCAACTTTTGGAATGCAGCAGCACACACCATGTCATGTGACGGGGAACAACCGACCACAGATACCTTTCCCTTCTTCCATAAATATCAGTCTGTGATAAATATGGAGGAAAAGTTGATCATTTTAGTGCAGGGCTACCCAGAGATTTACATCTGTTCCACGGTCAATATTTTAGACTTAATACACACTGAAGAAACAACGTGTGGAAGAAGATCAGCTCTGCACTCAGGATTTCTAGTGAGTGGGATATGATATGGGGATGGTTATGGTCGCTTAGCAACGTCAGGCGCAACTTGCCTCAGTGCTCTTGAAAGTTGGCTCAGAGTAGGCACAAGAGTAGTGCCCAGCGCCCAACCTCAGGTTTTCTGGTGGTTAAAGGAGCATTCTCTACAAAAGATATATTTTATATATCTTTATCTTTATTTGTCAAAAAAGATAGATTATTAGGAATTAACTAACCTAGCTACTCATTTTCATTCCACTCTCCCTTCACCAGGCGATCTAGGGAGCAGTCCATATCTATCCATCTGGGCTTGGCTGTGTCTCTCGCCTTCCTCAATCTGCTCTTCTTCTTTACTGGGGATGTGGCCAACATGGGGGAGAGTGCGTGCACCTGGGTGGGGGCAGGTCTCCACTACACCCTACTCAGCTCCTTCACCTGGATGGGAATAGAAGTTTTCCACACATTCCGCTTGATCTACGTGGGTTTCAGCCCCTCCCATAAGCCCTACATAGAGAACCTGGTCGGCTTTGGTGAGCATGTTTAAAGTAATATTTCTACAAATGTACTGTATGGCACATAAGGGTAAATTTGATATTAATGTATGACCATTAAACAAATACTTTTTTCAGGTCTCCCTGTTGCTCCTATAATCATCCTGGCTAGAGTCGGTGACATTTATGGAGTCAAAGAGGTTGGGCCAAACGAAGATGCCTCCAATCTGTATCTGATGTAAGCAACATTATTTTATTAGATTTGATTTTTTTTTTCTCTGGAGAAACATATGCAGTAGTGCCTTTGTTATTTAAAAATTAAAGCAAACACAGTAGCTGGAAACCTGCATAAACGAAATAACTGCAGACCAGTAAGTAGATTACCAGTCATCTCTAAAGTTGCTGAAAAGGTGCAGGAGCAACTAACTGCATACCCAAATACTGGTGATGTCACTCTTTATCCTGTGCAGTTTGGGTTCAGAACAAATCACTCAACAGAGATGACTTGCTGCTATCTAGAAACGATCACATCCATGTTAAGAGGGTATTTGACACTGCCCACCATCGCACTTTTCTCCAAACTCTCTAATTTTACCTTTTTTTCAAATGCCAGTAAGTGAATGGAGCAAGAAAGTAGCAGGCCCTTCTGCTACTTTCTTGCTCCATTCACTTACTCCTGCCTCACCCTAAACAGGAATAAAAAATGTCGCTGTGTTTTGTTGTTGTTTTTTTTTCCCATCAGACTAAATATCCAATCCTATCCCAAGGTCCACATTTAAGGCAAAAAAATGCAATGCCCAATCAGATTTAATACTTTGAAGTTAGTCTGGATCCAACGAGAACTTTTAAGAAACACCTCAAAAAGATATCCAACACTCTAAAAACCAGCATTACAAACTTAAGAAACATCCAACATTACCTTTCCCTTGAAGCTGCCCAGCTTTTTCTTCTCTTAACTGGCCCAGTACACCACAAGCTGGTTCCAGGCCAGCACAACCACCCTGAAGCCCCTCCTTTCCATCTATATGAACTCTCTAGACAACAAACATCCCTAACCACCCTAACCACCCAGGAGCTGGACGAGAGGTGATGGTAGAATGTTGGAATAAATGTTTTAGACAAAGCTGAATTAATTGAAACCTTATTCTGACATTTAAATCGTCCTCTTTGTGATTATTTGCTTTTCCTTCTCTGAGTGAATTTGGTGTTTCCAGGTGCTGGATGAAACAGACCCACAAGGGCTTGCTGGCCCACTGTTTCACCAATCTGACAATCCTGGCCATCCTGGTGTTCTCGGGAATCGTGATGCTCTTCCTGGTCAACAGGGAGATCCGCACCAGGGATGAATGGAGGCAGAACCGTTCGGCTTTTCTCAGCTTGTGGGGCCTCATATGCCTTTTTGGGACAACTTGGGGTCTGACATTCCTGGACTTTGGCCCTGTTTTCTTCCATTCCTGCATCTTCAACTCTTTTCAAGGTCTGTGTTTAGAGTACACTGTGCCAAGTAAACAAATATAGACTTCTGTCAGAGATGTTGTTACACTGCAAATATGAGGAGCTTGGCTATCAGCTTCTATCATCTTGTGTGCACTGTTACATATTTTTTTTTTGTCTTATTTATAAGAGAGCATACTAGAGAGATCTATCTCAACAGGACAGAGACTTACATTTTCAGGCATTATATTATCTTACCTGACACATATTTGTAACTTAGGCAAATATACTGATCTAAATCCAGACATGCTGTTACTGGTGCCTATCAGGAGAAAAGCTGTTTCCACATATTGACCCCATTTTTGCTTCATATTCATAGTTCAGTAAGAGAATTTCCTGTGCCAACTCGCTAAAATGTTACAGTTTAACAGTGTAACTGGTTAGGCTTACATATAGGCCTAGGTGATATGGCTTAAAAATAATATTGCAATATTTTCAGGCTATATCGCAATACACAAAATATACCACAATATTTTGAAATGTTCTTTGAAGTACTGTTAACTACTAAAATACAAAATTATTAAATGAACTGCAGTTACAATAAAGTTAAAACGTAGCTACTGCCAAAGTAGGTACTTATAGTACTGTTACAATAAAGTTAAAGTAAGCACTGTTGAAATAAAATGAAATTACGTATTGTTATAATCAAATAATTCAAAGTAGAACCACTGGTGCTTTTATTTCGAAGCACCCAGTTGTGATGAGGTTTTCGCTGTGTACTTGAAACTTCCGGTCAGCAGTTGTTGTTAGCAGTTAGCACAAAGTTAAACTGTTACTGCTGTGCCTTTAAACATGAGGATCTATTCACTGTGAGCTGGAAACACATTTTTCCAGTTCATATTAATAGTATTTGCAAGTCACACTGGTGCTCCATGGTCGCAAGAAGTGACAATATGCATATACAATATGCATTGCATTCACAGTTCACATTATACACAAAAAATATTACACTAAACATGTATTGAAATTTTCAGGCATTTTCGGAAAAATACACTTCTTTGCTTTCTTTTTACAATGTAGAGGGGAAGATCAGTACATCTCTCTATACAATTAGACATTCAGCTCTCTATTTCATGTTCACCTAGCACCACTGAGCTAGCTAACATTACAGCTGAGCTGAGGAGGCAGCCATTAATGTCTACATCCTGTGATGTCATGAGCACGAGCCTCTTGTCCATGAGCAGATACTTTTGCATGGTGATACTGTTATCAGGTGTGGTTTGATAGAAAGAAAATAGTTCCTAGATGAAACTGCTCACAACAAGGTCTGTGGATTATTTTGAGTAACCGGGTCATTATTTCTGGACATTGCTGTTGAGTTTTTCAACATTTTTGAGCACCACACTGAAACTGAAACAATCTAGATTGATGAATAACACCACAGGTAAGCCTTAAAATGTGTATTTTTCATTTTAGGGTGAACTGTCCCTTTAAGTTAGACTGCAACCAGTGATCCTGAAAAAAATTTAATAGAAAAAATAAATGAATAATTGAACCTTGGTTCTTGTCTGCTCTCCCAGGTTTCACCCTGATGCTGCGGCTCTATATGCTGGACTGGATGCAGGAAGAGACTGATGGCTCTGCTCTCGACAGCACCAGTACTGGGTCTACCAGGCAACACATGCTACATGCCCAGGAGATGAGTTAGTAGACTTAAAAAAAGGTGTGACACATAACACAGAGGAAAAATCAAAGCTGCAGCAGTCAAGCTTTTTCTTTTTCTTTTTTTTTGCATTTCTGTTTTTTTTTAATGGAGAGAGACAGGAAAGGCAAGGGAGATACAGGAGATGATGTGCAACAAAGGGCCTGGGTCGGAGTGGAACCTGTGTCGCTAGGTTAAGTACTCAGCCTTAATGGTACGCACTCTACCCGGTGACCTATCAGGGCACCCGCAGCCAAGCTTTTTATGTAAAAATACAGTCTTCTTAAGTAAATTACAAAATAAAGAAGAACATTTCACCACTGACTGCAACGCTGTAGACGCCAGGGGTGGGGAAAGACGCCAGGGGTGGGGGAAAAAATCAATACAGCATAGTATTGCGACATTATGCATGGTGATATTGTATTGTGTTGTAAATGCTTAATATGGCTGCGCGGAAGGAGTTGAACCTGCCAACATTTCAGTTTGTCAGGTATATGCAGCATTTATGACTAATGTTTTATGATGGTGTTTGCATCACATTTTACTGCAATGAAAATCAGATGAACAGACTGAAAACTTTATCTTATGAGGTAAAACTGATGTTGACAAAGTTTTCCTTTGGGGAAATAATTTACAGTTGGAAAAAAGGTAATAAATTGCAATATATTTTATCGCAATACTCAGCATATCACAATATCACAATAATATTGTGTGTCATGACCTAAGTATTGTGATAATATCTTATTGGGGGTCCTCTGGCGATTACCAGCCCTAATAATAGATCAGTCTGTGGGGTAACACGGTGATTAATGCAGGAGAGAAATAATAACATGGACCTGTGAGCCAGTGTCTCTCCAAATTTCTGCATGTCCAGGAACTGAATTAACATCCCCGGAGTTAAGAAAGAGTAAAGTGCCTCACCTTCACTGGGTTTATGTTTTAATTGTGATATCAGTGGATATATGCCCTGTTCTCAGAACTGTCCAGAAAAGTCATCCATATCCAGAGTCCACACAGCAGCTCCTCCCAGCCGCTTGCTCTTCAGATAGTCCACCTGTGAGACAGTCAGACGTTACACAATAAAACTCACATGTAGAGAGACTTGTTGAAATATCTGCGATTTTCCACAACAGTCATGTACTGAACCTTGGCATCATAGCTCCTCTGGTTATCAAAGCTGACCCACTGACTGCCTTTGACAGCGTAAGGAACTTTCTGACCATCAATCCACTGCACTGAGGTGCCTCTCAGGAAGGAGCAAAAGAGACTGCAGTAGTAATAATAGTTTGAATGTACCAGGGACACAGTTTAAACTGCAGGTGACATAACACCCTCTTGCCCATGAGAACATGCACATAATAAATAACTCAAAAACTGATTACAGAATATTCTTTGAATGATCTTTGAAAAATTACACTGTTACCAGTTTTTGTAATCTAAACAGTAGTTTGCTGTAATATGTACAGTAAGATACTGTGGACAACGCACAGAATGTGTTACTGTAAATAGTAAAGCACTGTGGAAAAACAATCTTCTCTACTGTAAATCAACTTACAGTAGTATGGCTGCCCACGAGAAACTGATCAATAAACCTTTTTCACAGCAGACATTTAACATGTCATAGAAGAAAAAGTCATTATCATCCCCCTGCAGAGCTGGAGAGCCACCGTTTTAGAAGTGCGCTTGTGCAAGCTCAAAAGGGCGGAATTTCTGTCAATAATTTTTTTTAATGTGGCCAATCAGGGGCCCAAATTCCCCTGTCAGACAAATACTTATCAGCTTTTAATGCAGCCAATCACTTCACAGTAGAGGGAGTAGCCAACATTTCAACTAGCTAGCTATGCTAGCGCTAGCTAGTGCCTGCCTATCAACACCCTGAACCTATTATGAGGTTTCAAATAATGAGGTAAACATATCTAAAGGTAATCCCTGTGTGGAAAACATCAGGCTTCAAACCGTTCTGAATTCAAAAGTTTTTTCTACTTTTGAGACAAGCTGACATTGGCCCGTGATAAATTTCTTTATATGGTCAACTGCTCCAAGCATGTCGTTTAAAGTGTTTACATAGCCTACACTGTTACATGTAGCTTCATGCAAACATCAGGTAAACATGTAATTCTTCATTGATGTTGTTTCTTTCCAGTTTTGGGGAGTTTTTCCTTATCCGCTGCGAGGGTCCTAAGGACAGAGGGATGTCGTATGCTGTAAAGCCCTGTGAGGCAAATTGTGATTTGTGATATTGGGCTTTATAAATAAAATTGATTGATTGATTGATTGATTGATTGATTCCTGTTGGAGCATGTCCAGTTGTATTGAGAAGCCTTTAATCAGGATTTTTCATGGTAGAAAATGTCGCTTTACTGTGCAACAGTCATTTCCCCAGCTGCATCTAGCAGCCACAGTGCAGCAATGCCAGACCCCCAGGAGCACTGATCAGTCTTGTAGGCAATTTTTCCCAGTGGCCACTTGCGGTATTACAGTAAAAAAAGGACACCTCGAATTGCAAACAAGGTCAGTTATGACCTTTTGATCCATGGAGGTTTTATATGTGTAAAACTTTTCTCAAGCCAACAAAAGCATTTTAAATATCTATGGTGTCATCACAATGTAAGGTGTATGAGCTCAGCATGAACTCATGGGTGGGGCCAGCAGGAGAAACACTGCTGCACATATTCAGTTGGCCGCATACCACAGAAGTAAACCAAGAGGCTAGCAACTTTTTTGGCTCATGTGCCAGGCAACTCCATTGGAATGAATAGGTCCCATCTGGGCACCCAATATCTAGTTATTATTATAAATCGCCAAGATACGGAGGACCAAAGAGATTAAAAAGAAAAGAAGTCACGGTGTCATATTGCATCATATCACTGGGGTAAAACGCATGCACAGTAAAATCTGGTCTGCACTTTCTAGGAGGCTCAATGGCTGGCACATTATCATAGAACAGAGATGAATGATTTATTTCACTGAGGCATCCACAGTCCGAAATATATTTAGAAGGATGTGGGTGAGAATTGCAATTTTGCAACTACTGAAAAGATCCTGAATAACAGACCAAGGAGGCTAAAAAGAGTGCACCTACAGAAGCATGGGAGCGGACACCATCTGTCTACTGTAACTCTCCAACATCGCAGTTCCAGGTATATTGCGCATGTGACATACCCCATAACTCCCATGGGGTCAGAGAGCTTGTCCCAGGCTCCTTTGAATAACCTAGCAGAAGACACAGATACCCTGATCAATCAGAGTAGAGTGGGCTTTTTTGGGAGGGGAGCTTAAAGAGACAGGTGCTAAAATAGTGTTTCAGACAGAGGATGAGTATAGGTGTTCCATCACAGACAGTATGGAGAAAATAAAGTGTGATTTTTTATAATTAAAGCATGTAAACGTGTTCTAATAGAAACCCAAAATAGCCTACAAGTATGAAGTTCTTGTTACCTGACCATATGATCAGAGGCCAATCTGCTGGTGTGGCAACCCTGCAGGTTGGCAGGGCCACTTACTGTGGTAAGAGTGTGAAGGAGCAAAAACCCAGGAAAACCCAGCAATATGTTTCCTGCTGGAGCTCCTAGCTCCATCAAGAACTGCATAACATAATCCTGACAGGAAAGAAGAATTTCTGTTTTTCTTTAGCTTCTTTGGGTAGTAGTTGTTGAAGGAACTCTATGTATGAGTTGTCTGGACATGGTTCTCAACATGGAGGTGGCTGAGCCAAGACAGGAATGGGACTTCAGGGTGGGCACTATGCTTCCATGCTGTCCCGATATCGTAACTGCCATATGAGCGTGGTGCAGAGCAGAAAACAGTGGATACTATAGTATATCAACCAGCCAAAACACATCCGGAACACACCAAGTTATGTCACTGTCCCATCTTTTAGATGTTTCTGGTATTCCTTGCATGATAAATACTGATAAATAACAAGTGCAAGGAAGTATCTTTTAAGATATTACATAGAATTTATGTGGTAAAGCTTGTGTTAGAAATATTGAAGCTGAATATTGATTATGGTGTAACTACTGTGGACTAGATAAAGAGAGTATTTCTTATTTGTTTTTCCACTGTGTACGCACCCAAATGTTTTTGGATTGATGTTAACAACTTTCTAAATTGGAAAGTTAAGATAAATGTTGAAATAAATATGTTTGTTGTAATGCTATTTTTGAGTCAACAAATAGTATATCATACACTTCTTTGTTATATTTGGAAATAGCCTACTCATAAGGAAAAATGGTCAGACTTGATGACTTTCCTACACTTAATTAATGAATTTCAGCAATACAGCATCATGTTATCTAATGTTCAGAGCAAAAAAGCTATTAAGACCTTTAAGTTAGCCTATTAAATGATAAGAATATGATGTATCAAAGAAAAAACTCGGGTGTTTTTTTTTTTTTTTTGGTTTTTGTCTTCTTATTTTGTTTTGGGTTTTTTGTTTGTTTGTTTTTGTTGTTGGCTATGTATCTGTGTTTCTGTAAATGAAGCTGTGCACAATGAAGAACGTTTATCCCACATAATGTGTCCAAGGGCCGTCGGAAATTTGAAAATCCAATCCATGTTTTCTTTAAAAATCATAAAATAAATACAAAATACAACCGTTTTGATGTCTCTCCTTTTTTTTCCCCTTTTATTAATAAGGAACAGTCCCTAACTAGTAAGTGCCGGGTAATTACACTATAAGTCGCGCGCTGTATTCTTGAGTGTTACCCAGTATCGTGCTTATAATGTCTTCTCCACTTCATGATCAGTAACAGTCCCATATACTCAACAGGTCAGCGTCGTGGTGACGTAACCCAGCATGACGCCCTTACAGACGCACTGAGCGGAAAATAATAATAACTGTAGCCTACCACACAAGCATAAGCCAGCCACACTGAGCATTAGTATTCAGGATTCACAGTGCACACAGAGCTGTTTTGTCATTTCGTGTCCTGTCCTGTCCTGCTGCCTCACAGTTTATCTACCTGGTGAGTGTCTGAAGTCCACCCTGGAGGGACAGAGCAGAAGTAACGGGAGGAAGACCACGGATTTACGGACTGACCGCTCCTGTACGGAAACTGTAAAGACATGGGAGCTGTTCTGGGGGCCTTTTCCGTCGCAAGCTGGGTAAGTTCTTACATTGCCGATATGAATTAGCCTGTGTTATTTACAACCTCACTGTTTTACACGGACGGGAAATGTAAGATATGGTGACGTCATGAAGAGAAATGAGCAACAGGTAGTATGGGTCCACAGTACAGTATGCGGCTCTCCGGTATGGAGAGCACGTAACGCCAAACCCCACTCGCAAATACCTGGTGTTTCAATTCCTAGTCCTTCTCTCCCTAAGATAGGAGAGCATCTAACTTAGTGGGCCGCTTGAGCTCGCGACAGGGGTTCATTGATGACTGAGTTGTTTTATTCTTATCAGCCGGACAGCTTGCATTTTCTGGGGGGAACTTCATTGAAATATCTAGCGTTTTAATAAAGATCGTCTCTTTTCCTGACATCTGGGCAGAGACAGAATAAAACTGAACTTTGAAATGATTAACTTAGGTAAAGTGGTAAATTCGGCACTTACCTGATCCCCTTAGCAATGCTTTTTATTATTCAATGGTGTTTGCTCTTATTCAGTAATTGCGCACTGCTTCCGACCACCACTGTGTACGAACATTTTATCATTGTCACCCGAGCCTTCGCAATGTTTGAAATTTTATTAAAGACGCCGAAGTCTGTGTTAACAATTAGCTGAGACATTTCAGTCTGAGTACGTTGTATCAGCATTTCATATTTTCTTCAAATGTATTTTCCACCAAGCACTGGTGCTTGGTGGAAGTTAATCAGGTGACTTGGTGACCGACTTAGAGTAGCCTTTGTGTTCCAGTTAGCCTTAAGCCAACCTGCTAAATGTTCATTACAAACATCTATTATAAAGTTTTCTACCATGAGGGACAGTAGATAAAAACCCACAGAGACGCAAAGGGTTAATCATATCACACTTGGTCATCTGCTTACACGTGATAAATTGGATTACTCGGCTTTGTTGCCCTGTTGCTGGAGCACAACAAACGCCTTCTTCTTCAGAAACATTGTCAACACATGGATGCAGAAGATGATAATAGAATGGACTGATACAGGACAAGAGGAGAACAGAGCAGCATGTGTATGGGATGCCGTTTGTAAAGTGGCTCGCACTGAAATTAACAGCAACATTTTGCCACATTTAGCTTGGCAAATTCACACCACAAAAAGTGGTGTGAATTTTTTTAAGTCACTTTTACCACATTTACGGCAATATTTGAAAAATTTTAAATATAATGTCACAGTTAAATCTAGATATTAAATGTTAAACCTAAATTCATTCATTCATCTTCTAACCGCTTCATCCTCTTGAGGGTCGCGGGGGGGCTGGAGCCTATCCCAGCTGACATCGGGTGAGATGCAGGGTACACCCTGGACAGTTCGCCAGACTATCGCAGGGCTGACACATAGAGACATAGAGACAAACAACCATTCACGCTCACATTCACACCTACGGACAATTTAGAGTTATCAATTAACCTAGTCCCCAATCTGCATGTCTTTGGGAGGAAGCCGGAGTGCCCGGAGAGAACCCGGGGAGAACGTGCAAACTGAAGGGTTCCCACACCCGGGATCGAACCGGCAACCCTCTTGCTGTGAGGCGACAGTGCTAACCACCACACCACCGTGCCGCCCCCTAAATGTTAAATCATAAATCTAAATGTTAAATGTCAGATCTAAATCTAAATGTTAAATGTTAGATCTAAATCTAAATGTTAAATCTAAATATAAATGTTAGATTTAAATCTATATGTTAAATAATAAATCTAAATGTTAAATCTAAATCTAAATGTTAAATGTTAGATCTAAATCTAAATGTTAAATCTAAATCTAATGTTAAATGTTAGATCTAAATCTAAATGTTAAATATAAATCTAAACATTAAATCTAAATTTTAAATCTAAATCTAAACATGCTTGGTGAAACTAAATATTTAGCTAATATGCAAATGCACACTGCCGGTCTCCGGAAGTACCAAAATAAAAGCTCGGGTGGTCAGACTGTGTTTATAGCATCAAATAACGAATTAAAACCAAACTAATCGGAGAAAATGAACAATTGAACATCCATCAGCGTGATTATAACTACCTAAAATGACAGAAACCATTTTTGGGGAAATTTTATTTGACGTGTACTTTGAGTTTTTAGTGTCCCGTCCTTGCTTGGCAACATGTCAACATGTCCGTCCGGCAATTTAGCTGAAAATATTGGAAGGGCTGATAACAGAATGGATTGATACTGGACCACTGGACATCATTATGATGTGGACAAAAACTAGCTCACTCTAGCTCTCTATGTCTGCTTCCTGGACGGAAACAGGAAGATGGTTCCATGATCTGTTTGAAGACCATTAACAAGGAAAACAAATGCGATGATTAAGATTTTTAAAAAAAAATGTCTGTCAACATAATGTAATGTGTGTTTTTTAATTTGGTGGAAGGATTTTTCAGTCAAATTGAAACAGCAAAGATGTGATGGGTTGAAGTGTCCATTAGAACTGACACGAAAGTTTGGCTCCTCGAACGTTGTCACTGATATTTGACCTTTCCTTCTTTCATAGTTTCCATGCCTAAAACCCAGAAATGAGTTACTGTGTAGCGTTTCTGGTTCCCTCGTGTCAAAGTCAATGTTTCTTTTGACTGGATTTTTCGTTTGATGCCTGAAATAAAGTCTGTGGTTAATGCAAGTTTCAGTGATTTTCACAATTTGTTCTACAACATAAAATATGTCAGTAAAATACCCCACTCATGGATTTTAATGCTTTTATGTGTCTTAAAAAAGGTGGTTGCTAACAAGTGGCTAAATGAGACAACAGAACAATCGAGCCGCGCCGAACATAGCTTTACAGTCTTGTAATGGTGGTGACCTTAGGTCATGCAACCATGGTTTAGTTTGGTTACAGCATTTAAGCTTAGAAAATAATTTGGTGAGAGGTGTTCATTTGTGAAGATTATTTTGCTGAACAAAATGTGTAAGTAGCATAAACATGTATTTGCCACAGAGCTTCTCAGCAATAATCCAAGATCCAATGGAAAAATCCTTTTGAAATTAGCAAAAAAAAAGCTTTCTGATTCGGGAACAGCTGACATGCTAAATTCAGCGTCAGTCCGCAGAAAAACATAATCCCTGGAGCAATGCAAAAACGAGTCAAATTTCTTGTATGTATACACATACTTGGCCAGTAAAATTGATTATGGTTAGGATTAGGACAAATAAGAATGTCTTGTATAGAGATGAAAGGCTTAAAAAAATCCTGTGTGTCATTAGAGTACTGTCAAAGTTCAGGGAAAATAAAGACTGTGTCTCTTTGAGGTGTACTCATATAAACACATTTCCCAGGTTTATTTTGGTTCAGGTCAGGAGGGAGCATAGCCTGGTTGGTCATGTGTTGGCTGCATGTTATCTGGCACACATTGCCATGGCCTAGTCTGTGGTTGTACTAAGCTGACCTTGTCTGGCAGGGGTATTAACTTGTTGACAATCTTCCAGGCCTCCTTATCTCTTGACTCTGCTCAGTGGCTGGTGTAGGAGAGTGAGGAAGAGACATCTCAAGCAATGCAGTTAGTGCTTTATTGTAAATGAATACCCAGGCTATTGAAGTACGTCAGTGAGCTGTGCCTGCTTTCACTGAAGTCATTAAATGTATTGAAAATAGGCCATTGATAGTTCTCTTCAAATGGTATTCTCCTCCGTCTTACAATACATGCTTATCTAAAGTTAGGGACCTTATCCGGGTTCAAAATCAGTAGTTGTTGCAAGTTCAAGGAAGTTTCCCCTGTTTGGCCACTGTTGATTGGCACAACATTGTATTTACTACCACCATTGTGAATACAATCACTCTGGTGCTAACAACTTTACAGCAGGGCCTGACTGGGTCTCTTTTTAAATCCTATTTACGCTGTCCTGGGTTTCTTGTATTTCTTAATGCCCATTTATGTCTTACGTAAAGCACCTAGAATTGATTTCTTCTTGTTTAAATATACTCGACAAATAAAGCTACTTTTCCATACAGCCACTGAAGTTTATTTTAAGTTCCACATACACCACCCTGCTGCTGGAATTACCCACTACAGTGGGCAGATGTTTTTAAAGGTGAAGTGTGTTAGATTTAGGGGAATGTGGTGGTGTCTAGCAGTGAATTGCAGATTACAACCAGCTAAAAACTTCTGCCAGCCAGAATTCTTTCAGTCTTCATGGTTTAAAAAGTTTTTATCTGGAGCCGAATTATCCACAGGGGTCTCTTCTTCTCCAAATAAACAGACAAGGCAATTTGAAGCACTAAAATCACTGAATAAAGCAGTTTCATGTTACAAATCTCTCATACGTTAATGTGTGCTCACCTTTTTCTGATTCAGACTTTCAGGAGGTTTTTACCATAAGCAGCACTATCACAGGGGTCTCTTCACAGGGGATCATTTTAGAGGCTGTCCTTCTGTGGTGGCCATAACAACATGTTTATAGTTTGTGAACAATGGAGAAGAAACTGTTGGTAGCGGTTGCTGGAAAACCAGAGCTATATGACTTAACCTTCTGTCTGTCCATTTTAGTAAGTAGGTACTAATTATTTCCGAAAAAAAGTAGGTAATCTTAGCTAGTAGCCAAAATAAATGGATAAATAAATGTAGGTTGAATGGGACATAACATATACAACATGGGAATGTTAGGGTAAGGAGGTGATGGGTTGGTTGCCTGGCAACAATAAAAAGACAACTTTTTTTTTTACTAGTGGCATTCAGTTTAAACAAAACAAAAAAAAAGAAAGAAAGGCAGTGTGGTGCGCCTTGCAGTTTGCAACCTGCATAATGTTTTTTATGTGATGGGGGGCCTTACAAATCCATGAATATCTGATGCAGTTTGGCATGTCACTGTGGGCGACACAGCAAATGAGCATCTCAGTGTCTGTCTTTAGAATCAACTGTACAACACTGCCTCCACCATAGCTTGAATATTTTGTACTCCAAAACATCAATAAAGAGATGGGTTGAATTTTGGGGATTTGATGCCTCTATTAGGTTTTTATGTTAATATAATTATTTCCTTTCAAGAGCTGTGCCATACGATTATTGCCAGTTCTGCGGATCAGAAACAACAGTTCTTAGGGAAAAAACTGAATCCAACTCCTTGGAAGGTCTTTCAGTACAAACAGAAGCTGAACAAGACTTCTTTTAGGCAACCAAAATTTTACAATTAACTTTCATGAAATGAAAACACCTTCATGAAGTAGCTCCAGCTATGGCTCCGCCTATTGACCCTTTTACTGTTAGTAAACAGTATGACGATTTCTGGTGGGCGGGGCTTAGCTGGAGTTCTCCACAGACATTAGCTAGCACTAGCTAGCAAGATCTGTTGGCTTGTTTTAGACAGTGGAGGAAGGTGATACGATTGGCACATTTAGTGACACGCATTCCGAGTACCAGAGCGCACTCTGGCACAAACTGGACTGTTCGTAAATTCGGAGCGCTGTTGGAACCGTTTGGTTATCCGGAGCACTGCACTCTTGGAGTTGCAGAGCTCACTCTGGGCACTCTGTCTGGGGAGATGGAGCAGCAGAGCGCTGAGCAGAGTGAATATGTGATTAATGCAACCATTTGTTAATTCATATAGAAATATAACGCTCCATTTTTTTGACCAGCAGGGCACTCATTTTAGTGTAGAGCATCAGATTTAATTCACAAATGCACCTTGTCAGGTCATTCACTCTTCACAACTGGTATGCTCTCACTCAGTGGAAGGATGATCTAACAGGATTGCTGAAGGTGGGATGGCCAGCTTTGTGGTTGATAACTATGCCAATCTTACAAAGTTTGTTTTGCTATGGAAGCTAACGTTACATTATTCATCCCTACATTTTTGATTATCGCCTCCGTCCAATCCTTTCGTCTTATCGCATTTAACCATAGTTGTCTTTGTTTTTGCTGATGGGCAGTGGTGGCTGGTATGCGATTAAATTTAAGTTTTAAGCCTCCTATTGTGGCTCCCAATAACACACCAAGATGACATTTTAAGACTCCTATGTGGGGAGTCGTGTTTTTCCCCCAGGTATTAAAACATCATTTTGACGTTGGCCCTAAAAGGGTCTATACTTTGTGGTAACGCTATGGTTACGTTACCTAACTAACATCACTGTGGTAGTGATTTGTCAATGGACGGCACCCACCTCTTATTCAAAGCGGCCACCCTCTAATTATACATAAATTTAAGCCTTCATAAAATGTAAACGAGTGAGTTACATAAAAAATCTACCCCCATAGACTTGTCACAAATAGAGAAATTGCTAGAGGGACCAAAACTGATTTTTGTACCAGGCAGTAATCATGTTTATTTCTGCTGTAAAGTTGGCCATTTTAACATGGGGGTCTAAGAGGATTGACTCACTCTTGGAGCCAGCCTCAAGTGGCCAATACAGGAACTGCAGTTTTTGGCACTTAAGCACTGGCTTCATTCTTTAGCCACTGATGTTGCTGCTTGTCCAAAACCCAAATGTTCTTGATGAACTATCACAGAAGGCAAGGAAAACCATCAAATGTTCACACCTGAAAATCTAAATCTCATTGCACATATATTTTCTGTGGATAGTTAATGAGTGTGTCTTTCAGAAATACCCCGTTCTTGAAAGTTCGTCAAACATCATTTTCTTTTTAACTGCCCTGTTTTCAGATGCTTTTGCATCCAAACACAATTTATGAGTATCAATATGAATTAAGTGTTCATACCAGAACACACGTGTGTAAATACTGGTCCTATTTCATTATTATTATTGTTTTTTTTAACTGTTTTGTATCCTTTATTTTCTGCGATCACAATCCACGACCATAAAAAATATTGAATGGATACTGCACTATACAATACTAACTGCACATGGAAATAAAAAAGTATGTTGTGAGTTTTTTAATATCCTGTAAAAGTTTAGTCTTTTCATGGCATACTTTCACTCCAATAAGGTTTGTACAAGCAGGGTGTCAGAATTTCAGTGTTTAATGCCAGTAAAACAGAAAACTCAAAAGAGAACATCTTGTCCATAAATATAGAGAGTGCATTTCCTCCTACCCATCCCCAGTCTGATCATGATTTCATTCTGTAACCATGACTCCTACAGCTGACATGCAAGGAAAGTCTTAACTGTTCCTTTTCCAACAGCAGATCTGATTTCGGCGTTCTGTGGGAACTTACCCCATCAATGAATAACTCTCTTTTGTATTCCATGGTCGAGCTCTGCAAACAAACCATGTACTGTTGTTAGATTAGTTCAAGAGCAAAATGGGAGAAAGACCAAATAGGTTTTACAATTTGTTTTCTCTCATGTTGAATCTGATTTACCATACTTACAAGCAGAGAAAAGCCATTAGCCTCAGCTTCCTTTTAATTAACACTAGGACATGGGAAGGATTTTTATGCCCTGATTTGCTGCTTTTCACATCCCCAGCATTCTTAGCTTATTCTATTCTCATACCGAGAAAGTACACTACCAAAACTGAGTTTACAAGTTAAAAAAAAAGCCTATATTTGCCAAAGAAAATAAACGTGCTCGCTGCTGAAAGTTTGCAATTGAAACATTTCAAATAGTTTAAATTGTGAAACAGCTGAAGTTGTAGTTGATGTTGCATTAAAAGTACCAGAAGTAGTTGAATAGCAGTACTAAAAGGAGCTGATATCAGTTGTGTGCAGGTGATAATTTTAGCTAATGGACCTGTCAGTTCAAATAAGTCCTGAAAGGAGCTAGTACCAGTTCAAGTAAGAGACAGTGCCAGGTGAAGGGAGAATAATAGGAATAGAACAAGAAGCTTGTTGTTGATGTTGTTGTTTAAATGTGAGGACCTGAACACTGAAAGGGTTTAACGTGTCTGTCAAAGTGTAACTACAGAAAGGAGTTGAAATGTCAGTTGATGTGTGGTGAAAGCAGTTAAATTTTCATTTCAAGAGTGAAAGATGAAAGCATTTAAAGATAGGGATGTGCATGATGAGTCGACTAGTCAATTTAACGTTGCTTCCATTGCTAGCTAGCACAAAGCATCCAGGTTTTAGATTATGTAGCTTCTTTGCAGCAACATCTATAGCCTATTTGAAGAATTGTCAACTGTCATGTCTACATACTGTTATCATGTCTGGATAGACATGGATGTCAACTGTAACTGCAACTTGACTAGTTCTTGAAGGCATACAACTGCAATTGTAATTCTAGTCTTACCTTCAGATGAGTCAACTAGTATAACTTTAAACTTCCCTTTAAACGTCAGGGGAATTAGCTGTTAGAAACATCACTAGTTGAAGAGTTGCTTAATTATATCATACAGTACACCTGTATGGAAACATCTGCATTTGATTATGTTTCTGTCCATTTCTGCAAGTTTTTTTTCCTGAATTTGTCAGCTGTTTATAGATGTTCCTGCTTTTACAGATAAATACCTAAATGCATGAATTTGTTGGTCCCCAGGTGCCATGCTTGTGCAGCAGTGCAACCTGTCTGATGTGCAGCTGCTGTCCGAGCATCAGGAACTCCACGGTGACCAGGATTATCTATGCCTTCATCTTGCTGCTGGGTACCATTGTCGCCTGCATCATGCTGTCGCCAGGTGTGGATCAGCAGCTAAAAAGGGTATGAGTAAGCTGTGGAAATATAGTGAATGTATATATAGAGCGAACATTTCTATTCACAGTTAAGCTCAAATCATATGTGTGATAAATGCATTTGTTTGATGAGGTCTGCTGATATTAGTAGCTAATGTTAGCTAACGCTATATGCACAGGTTTAATTCTGCTGTAGCTGCCTGCTTAACAGCCAATGGAAATAATGAGGCTGTAATAATGTAGTAATGCCACTGAACCTAATACTGTCTTTACTTCATGCTTACTAGGGCTGTTTAATATGAATATTTGATGTTCCGCTTTTTGTTCCATATAAAGTTTTAAAGTTTGAATGGACTTAGCAGGACGTTCAGTGTGACAGCGGCATTCATGTAAAATTGTAAACAAGCTAATTGCGCTTACACTATTTGACTTGAAACAATCTCAGTTGACAGGGGTCTCCGACTGATGATTCAAATCTCTGACTTTCAAGGGGCAGCCCTAAAACTTACCTGTTGGCAAAATGCATCTTAACCTAATTCACTCAAATAACCATATTCATACATAAAAACCTACCTCTGCACAGGACTACATATATACTCCTTATCTTTGTACTTACCTGCAATGTTTGAGTAAGAAAAAGATGATTTGTCCAAAATCATTCTTACATTTGGTGAAAAATCACCTTAAAATGTCTTTAAAAGCACTACATGTAAGTCTCTGTTAACTGTAGACACAGTTTGCATGACTTGGTTGTGTTTGTGGTGGTGTGACAAATTGCCCTCGTTCCATCTCAAAGCTGCAACCATTTCCTGATGGTATTTCCATTTAGCTTTGTTCTGACCACATGACCAACATGGCCTCTTTATTTTTTGTTTATCAGCTTCTGCACCTGTGCCCTCAATCACAGATTCTCCAACAACTGAGTCATTTTTCTGATATTATTATTATTATTATTATATTTTGAGGTGAACTGTTTATTGGCCTAACTCTATTCTCATTGAAGTCAGACAAATAACACAGGCACACCCTGACTGGCGGTGCTCAATTGTTACTTATAAAATGTGTTTCAGTAGTATAAATTCAGGTACCAGGTACCAGACTTGACTTATATAAAGTCAGTTTGAGGTTCACAATGGTGTTTTTTAAATATTGGGTAAATTACCCAGCACTACTTATCATCATATGGAGTTCAGCCCCTGCTCATTTGACCCAGTTTATAAATGCTTTGTTAAGTTAACAAATATGGCACTTCCTTTGCTGTAGATCCCAGGTTTCTGTGAAGATGGGGCTGGCTCTTCTATCCCCGGCCTGCAGGCTGATGTCAACTGTGAAATGTTTGTGGGCTACAAGGCAGTGTACCGCATCTGCTTTGGCATGAGTATGTGGTTCCTGGCGTTTGCCATTCTTATGATTAACATCAAGAACAGCAGGGACCCCCGTGCTGCTATTCACAATGGGTAAGTACTGCAGTAACACTGTCAACACATGCACTCATAACCGACATGTCGCAGTGGAGTGTGGGTTTTGACCACACCCGTTTAATGTTTCTTTCTAACTATCATTTATGTGGGCAACGGGAATGCTTATTTTTTTGTTTGTTTTTCAAAAATCACAGACTTTTTTTTTTTTAACTTGATTGAAACAAAAAGAACTTTGGCTTCCTTTGTCCTCTCCACATGTGCACTGTAATACTAGGTCAGAGGTGTTTGTCCCTCATACAGTGCCTATTACAAACAAGAACAGGCAACGTGCTGTCTGCATTCTGCTCAAGTGAGACATGCTGGGACATTAAGCCAAGCTAGCTCATTGCAACACAGCCAGTAACGCCATTACCAGACTAGAAACATAAGATCCTCTGTTAGCCTACAGGTCTAGGGTTTGGAGCCTCTTCAGTTTCATTGTGAATTATGAGGGTGATGACGAGAGAGAAAGGTGGATAAAAATACACTAAGGCCAAGAACAAGCCACCATACAGCTACAGACTCTCTTTAGCAACTAACCCAGTAGCATAGTAACATACACAACCCCTGAGCGGAAGCAGGAGCTGCTGCGTAACAACAGACTGTCATTGCAGCTAAGCCAGAACCACACACAGTCTAAAGTTGCACAGCACAAAACCAACCAAACCACAATCTGGAAATCCATCACTAAAAAAAAAAAAACTTTTTTTTTTTTTTGTCTTCCTTTACCTCCGGAGGCACAGCCCGGAGTTTTTCGACTAACGGAAGTGCAGGGGCCTCGGCGATCGCTCACGCCCTTCACTTCCGGCGGTGCCCCCAGGGAATCGCTGTGTTGTTTACAAATACTTGCTATTACACGCTAATGTTAGTAGCAAAAGCCTTTTCCCCTACTCATATGAAGCCAGGGACAATAGCAACATTTAATAAAGTAACGTTAAAAATTGGGCTCCATTTATACTCACAAGGTTCACCGTCAAAACAATTGTTATATACTAAAACTTGTTTTCCCCACAAATCAACATGCTAACACTTAAAAAACTATTTTGTGGAGGCTTTATTGCCACTACAGCTACAGTATCTATTCAACACAGGAGTATAAACCAGGTTGGGTCCAGGAAGTTGATTCACCCATATTTTGCTTGGCCCGAACAGTGTTTGCTTAAAAAAATTCTGGCCTTGTTGAGGACTAGGCTTGTGCCGATTTCCGGTTTAACCGGTTCAGTCCGGTTTAAGAGCTCCACCCAGTGTAATTCACGTCAACCGGATAAAACCGGGGGCCTATTGAGGACCCCTGCTTTATGGCATCAGTGCTCAAGATTATCCACAAATACCAGTCTGATTGTCTGTAGAAAATGTAATATCAATAATACATTTTGTTAACATTAGGAATACCTCACTGGCATTTTTCACACTTTCACTCTCACAATAAAAAAAACAACTGTTATTGTCATTAAAACACATTGATTTATCAGTCAGTTTAAATGATACTAAACATGTTTCATCACCAAAAATTATGAACCTAGCTATGCTAAAGAACAGACAAGAAAGCTAGATGGCTTTACATTGTGGGTGTCACCTATTCTTGGAGTTCCTGTATGGGATATGAAGCACACAGTAACCACATCCCTCCTCTGCTGATCACTGAGTAGCTCAGTCTTTTGTCCCACGTTAAACCTTGTGGTGTGTAATTCTGTTCAGATGACCCTCTTGCTTTGCTTTGGACATTGTTTGACTTTGAGGCTCACTGGATAGATATGGTCTTGATATAACTGTAAAATGTGTTTTTATTACACTCCAGTGTTTAATCAAATATTAACTTGTGTTTTCAGATTTTGGTTCTTTAAGTTTGCTGCTTTGGTGGCAGTAACAACTGGTGCCTTTTATATTCCAGATGGGCCTTTTACCTACAGTAAGAACTTTATATATTTAAAATTTGGTATCTCAGATCACGACATCCACTATACACAGAGTTGTGATAAGATATGATAGATGAGTAATTAAATGAACTGCGTGTGTTGTTACAGCGTGGTTTGTCGTGGGCTCTGGTGGAGCTTTCTTTTTCATTCTGATCCAGCTGGTGCTGCTGGTGGACTTCGCACACTCCTGGAACGAGGCCTGGGTGGGAAACATGGAGACTGGCAACTCAAGGGGCTGGTATGCAGGTCGGTGACTCAAGCTGTGGCACAATTATATGCTGTATACAGCTACTGACTGTGTTTTTAGCGTGTACCATGTAGCGTTGGAGTCATCACTCAAAAGAAGGGATGTATTTCACATTACTTGTTTCTTTTAATAAAAGAATAATGCACCACTTAATTATGCCCGACCCTGTAGAAAGAAGGTCATTACATTACTCCTTCAGTGTATCCTCATACAACAGTTTGTATGATATCCTACAAATCGGTGCCCCACAGATGACACTGCATCCTTAATGTAAAGTTATTGAGGTTAGGTTTATCAAAAGAAACATGGTGAGGACATACCTTAAAATGACCTAAGTTCACGCAAAGCTCACACGGTTCCAAACACTGGTCTCCTGGAATAAAGTCCTATGTTTTGTGACCCATCCACCACCTCAACCATCCTCCTAACAATAGGCCTCTTTCTTCTTTACTCCTCTGTGCAAATTACTTGCTCATCTTTGCGTGGGATATGTACAAATTTTGGCGCATCCTACTTTTTGTAGGAAAATGTACGAATGTACATGAAACCAGCCTGACTAATTTTGCATTACCCAACTGGTGGGTCCCGGTCCAAAAGTGGGTCACGGATCCATTCTGAATGGACTGCAAGTGACTCACAAATGTGTCAAGTTTGTAAAAAACACACTTTAATTTTAAGTACAGTGAATTTCCAGCACAGAGCTTTTATTTTGAAGTGCTGTTTCCTGCTGTAGAGTGAGTAAATAACAGACAGCTACTTGACAGAGATGGCAATCTAGCTCGATAACATGGCCAAACACAAGTATGATGCTGAATGTATTAAATTATGTGGACCTTGAACTAATGACAAAGGAGAAATCTGGACCCCATTGTTGAACCAGTTGGGAATCACTGCCCTACAAGATCAGCTGAGACACATTGTCATGTAATTGTAAGTTGACAGTAATAATGTTAACCTTTCATTTGCCCACATATCAGAATAAAACAAGGATCAGGAGAATCAAGACGGCAGCGCAGCAGGCTGTAACTAAATGAAACTATATTAATATATAAAAGAGGTTGGCCTTCATAACATTGCAAAGAACAAATATTAATTGCCTCAAAATAATATATCAATAGGCCGAAACAAAATAATATAACAGACTGGCCTTCCTAACACCATTAGATGATGACAGACATAAAAGCATTTGCTTTGTCTGTTGATCTGTATTTCCTTCATAATCAAAAATATTTCTCCACTGCTGATTTATTCCTGAGTAAATAACATCATCCTTATCATCTCCCTTTTGGCTTGTCAACTGATGGCTGCTGTTTGACAGTGAAACAGAATTTAAAAATAAAGGTGTAACCTAAAGATGATATGGATCTATGTTCGATATATCAGTCCAGATAGATGGATTGTTATACCGCTACTGGATACTGTGGAAAATGAGCATTGAACCTGTTGCAAACATTCAGAATCGATATGTATCAATAAATCAATATTTTTGACAACATTATGAGGTACCATTAGTAACATACATTGTCATACATGTATAGCATATCCATCACATGCAGACTAGAATTGGTTGATTTTTGAATGTGGTGTTGATAGACACCACACTCCCACAATGCAAAACACAATGAAAAACTGCTCACAGCTGAAATAAATAATCAAAATTGGGGTGTGGGGACGTAAGACTTCAAATGTAAAATATATTGATTCCTTATATACTTCTTTACGAATGTTTTGGGCTATTTTTGTATCAGGTATTTACCTTTTCTCCCTTTTGTTTTTAGCTTTGCTGACAGTCACAATCCTCAACTACACCCTGTCATTTATTGCTGTCGTGCTGTCCTTCGTCTTCTACACCAAGCCTGATGGATGCTTCATCAACAAGTTCTTCATCAGCTTCAACATGTTGCTCTGCATTGTGGCCTCTATTGTCTCCGTGCTGCCTAAAGTACAGGTACGGGACAGAAAATTGTACCTGCTGGGGAGCTGGTGGCTTAGTGGTAGAGCAGGCGCCCCATGTACAAGGCTGTTGCCACAGTGGACTGGGTTCAACTCCAGCCTCTGGCCCTTTGCTGCATGTCACTCCCTCTCTCTCTCCCCCCCTCACACTTGTCTATCCTATACATCAAAGGCTAAAAAGCCCCAGAAAATATCTTTGGAAAAAAAAAGAAAATCATACCTGTGTCAAACTATGCAAAAATGTGACATGCTTTTGAGATACACAAAATGGAAATAATATCATGAACACCTGTACGGTGTTGTATTCCTTAGTATACATGTAGGGAACACATTACAGTACAAAAGTAATGATACAGAACATATGTTGTCAAAAAAGAGAGTTTAGATTACACCTTCATCGCTCTCAGACACTGTTTACAGTTTGTGATTGCTCTTATCAATATCTTTTTTATTACATGAATCAGAGACACAACATCACATTCTTTTTCAAGGTCTAAGTGGGGGAAATTTTATTGTATGGAAATAAAATGTGACCTTACCTTCAGGTCATGTTCAGAATGACTTCCTGCTGTCGCTTCCTGCTTGAAAAAATTTAGCCATCTCATTTATTCGGTCATCTAGCGGCACAGTGGGAGTGCCAATGCAGGATGTGCTGGCAAAAAGAAAATGCAGGATTGTTCAAAGTTGGACCAGGCTCAACTTTTGTACCCGAGCATCATCAGACAAGGTGCTGCAGTGGCTAATCACATGCAGTTTCCTCCGTATGGTGGCTGGGCTCAGCCTTAGTGAGATAGGGTGAGGAGCTCAGACATCCGTAGGGAGATCAGAGTAGAGCCGCTGTTCCTTCATGTTGAAAGGGGCCAGTTGGGGTAGTTCAGGCATCTGATCAGGACCCCTCCTGTTAGAGGTTTTTTGGGTAGGTCCAAGTGATAGGAGGCCACAGGGCAGACCCAGAACACACTGGAGGCATTATATACAAAATAGCTTTAATATATCCACTTACTGGCTTTATTCCATACTTTTTTCCATACTTAGGGTTTTCATTAGTTAACAGAGTTTGCTCTGTTATCATGGAATAACATGCTATAAACTGATAGATTTCTAACTTTTGTATCTGTATGTGTCCCCAGGAGTCTCAGACACGTTCAGGTCTTCTACAGTCCTCCATCATCACCCTGTACACCATGTTTCTGACCTGGTCTGCTATGACCAATGAGCCTGGTGAGAATGTTTATTAGTTGTCTGAAATAATACTGCAGCTTTGAATTAGCAAAAATAACAGCCATCCATGAGCTCCAAGCAAGTAGCAGGACAATGTTTTTGTCTCTGCCATCATTATGCATTGTGGTAATCATTTTAAAGAATTACCATCCTGTTTATGTCATATGATGATGAGTGATTGCTTTTGTTAGTTATGCTTTTGGTTGTTCTGTGAAAAAAATGCATGATGTATGCTATGCTTGTTGGAGCGCAACAATTTGTAGTTAATAGATTCATCCACAGAATGTGCATCACACACAAAGCATTGCTATTGATTTGGAATGGTTTAAGTATTATTTTCAAGCTACTTTCATGAATTTCATGTCATGTGCTTTCACGTCATTTTTTCACAAGAACGTGTATTTAAGGCATGTGAAGCCCGGAACAAGTCTGCACGAGGTCTCATATTTTCTATGAGTCAGTGGGTCTCATTCATGAAACTAATTTGTGTGTAAACTGTTCGCAGAAGAAAATGTACCTGTATTTCGGCATTTAACAATATGATAGGGGCTGTGATCTTTTCGTAGGTACTAAGGTACTAACAAAATCTTACTGCTTCTGACTGCTTGTAGTGCTTGTCATTATTAGAAATTGAAATTTTAATTTGTATTGTGCTCTGTAATGTTCACAATAGGCAGCCATATCAAACCATTTTTTGGTTAAATTCTTGGATGGTTCAACAGAGAACACGGACCTAACGGTATCCGTTACCTCCTTTCAGGCCAGAATTGATTAGCATTCATGAACATACACATGCCTACGATCAAATCAGAGTTTCCTGGGGTGTTTATGAATCAGGTGTAGGTTTTTAGTACCAAGGTTTTATATGTGCAAATCTACTCACAGATTTACCAACATTTCATGAATGAGACCAAATCTCTGTAACCATTTGTACTTACAAACTGAGCTGTACATTCAAACATTGTGCTTTTTCTTTGTCTCCTCCCCTCAGACCGAGAATGTAACCCCAGCCTACTGAGTATCATCCAGCAGATCACAGCCCCAACACTGGCCCCTGTGGAGATGGAAAACCAGACAGCAGTGGTAATCATTGGCCCAGAGGAACCTGTCCTGACATCCCCGTACCTGCAGTGGTGGGATGCGCAAAGTATAGTGGGGCTTGCTATATTTGTCCTGTGCATCCTTTACTCAAGGTATGTTCACTGGGTAAGAGTAGAAACAATGAACCTGATTCACAAGATTTTGGGATCTTGGGAAATTTGTTCTTGAGAAAAGTCCTTAAAAAAGTCAGATTCATGATGTGTTCTTATAATAATGAAATCACATTATTCTCATAAGTTGACAGTGTTTGTCAGCTGATCCTAATTAGCATTACGCCTGCAAATCCCCATAAAAGGGCATGAGACTGCAGGGCTGTGTGCACAAAGGGAGACTGAAGAAGAAAACAAAGTTGAGAAAGTCTAAGAAGGTGGAGGACCAGACTCCAGACATAGGCTAAAAAAACTTGAAGTGGAGGTGCTTCTGCAGAGAGTGAACGCCAATCATGCTGTCATACCAAGTAGCGTCAGGAATGGATAGAAAACAACACAAGCAGATGCATGGGATGCTAAAAGTAAGCGTACAGTGGCACAACTGTAGTGACTGAGGACAGAGACGAGCACCATCAGGTGTGTACATGTAAAGTGGAGCATTTGGGAAACAATCCGTGAATTTACACACACAGTTAATTGGAGTCACAGTTATAGCTCGACTAGGCCATTTAATTGGACTACAGTCCTTGTCACAGTATACAAGCATGGGAGGGGAATCCATTTACTGACCGAAGTATGTCCAACTCCGCCACAGCAGGTGTTGATATGCCTCCTTTTAGCTTGTTAATATTGGACCTTTTTCCAGTTGAACTATTACATCACAGACCAAACAATCGACAAACAAGTTAGCTATGGTTAGCTAGCGGACAACTGACAAAATGACATCATCTCCTCAGTTCACATGTTTATTGTTGCTTTGTGTGATCAGCTTCCGCCAGAAACAACAATGGCGTACTAATGTTTTGCTAACTTCTTGTTAGCACTGTTATCAAATGACGACTGTACTTAACAGTTAAAGGGTCAGTGTGTAATATTTGGCTTATTGTCAATCTGAATCTGAATCTGAATATTCTACCCATTAATATGTTTATACAAGTGTATGATCGCTATAAAATAAAATTCGTTTGGTTTTCGTAGCCTTATAATTATGCTTTTATATATATATATATATATATATATCAAGGGCCTTGCTTTATCTTGCGCCGCCATGTATGTACGGCAGACCGAGTGGACAATCCAGCCAGCCAGAGAACGCGTTTTGCGTGTATAAATGAACCAGCGAAGACAGTCGAAGGAAGGAAGGAAGAAGGAGGAAGAAACAGCAGAGAGTGTTAGTAGTTTGTCGATAGAGAGTAGTGAAAAGTTTTTTAGTTATAAAGTTTGCGAATGGACCACACTTACCACGCAACAGGAGAGAATGAACCCGAACCGTCATCTGCGAGGAAAAGAAGACGCAGCTTCACTCCTGTGATGCACTCTGTGCGGCGCTTTTCCTCCTGATGATATATCTCCTCAACGATGGTAGCAGTAGCACCGAATCCCATTCTGTGCATTCAGCCTCTCTTCTCACCCGCTCAGCATCAAACACATGGAGTTCCTCATCTGTATGCTCCGGCTCAAACAGGTATGGCTCTGGGTCTGTGTCCGCTACAAGAAACTCTTCAAAATCGCGTTCAAAGTCGTCCATTGCAGCTACTATAGTCCGGAGATATTGCTAGGCTAAATAAACAGCTGAGCTCTGTTTACCGGCTACGCTGTCAGTCAGTGTGCAGGCTGGAGATTGGTGGAGCAGAGAGGGGAGGGGGGTCCCCACTTAGTATGGCAAACGAGTATGTGTGTAAAGTTATGAAGTGTGTCTGTTACGCTAGAAGAGTCAGAGTTTGGGACGGAGTGGAGTGTTACCAGAGTTTCTGGAGTGCTCAAATAAACGGGCCTTTTTCCCGAACGCTCCTCTGGTCTCCTGCTCGTGAGGGATTCATTACAATATCGTAACATGGCTTAGATTTCTAAATAAACATTCACCTCGTCGCTAGATAGACCTACTCCTGAAAAAGTCGTGCGCAAGGCTTTTTGTCCCTACAAGGCCACCGTCATTTACCCGACGGGAGGGGTGAGCGAGTGAGCCCTGCAATCTAGAATTTGACCGCTGATGTCACTGTTTTCAACCCATTTTACACACTGGGCCTTTAAACTTAGTATTGCTGCACCACTTCACGGACAAACAAAGGGCTCCTGCTAAACCCAGTGTTATTTGGTCCTCCTAAAGGTCCTCGGTTTAAAGTCCATCAGAAACAACAGTTTTGGATCAGACCCAATTGAGGTGGTGGGAAGATTTCAAGAGTGGGATTGTTTTCTTTTAGGAGTCAGAGGAAAACATCAGCATGTCCATAGCATCACATGTATCTCCTTAATCCTTATATCAAAGGGGAATCTATGGTAATGAGATCTCCCGTTGGTGTTTTAAAAAAGGTAACATAGCCTGTATACTCTTCTATCTCTGTGAAAAGGGGAGACTGCTAAAGACTGCAATAGACATCAAATGCTGCTGAATTCGTGGAGGATATTTGTGAAACGTAGGTAATATGAACAGAATTCTTTTTAAACAGACGGGGTAATATATATAATATAGTCTCTATTAAGCCATGGTGTAATTACAAATACTTTTTTTATTTAATGATCTCTGTTGAATAAATGGTAAGCCATACTTTTAAAGTAGCCTACAAAATATTTAGATACACAGGCCTATAGTGGCATGCAAAAGTTTGGGCACCCCTGGTCAAAATTTATTTTACTGTTAATAGTTAAGTGAGTAGAAGATCAAGTGAACTCCAAATTCATGAAGTTAAAGATGAAACATGCTTTTCAACGTTTATGTAAGGTTGCAGTATTGTTCTTTGTTTTGTACAATTTTAGAGTGAAAAAAGGAAAGGAGCACCATGCAGCACCCCAAGACATTTGTGCTCTAGACAACTTTTACCAGGGTCTCAGACCTTAATTAGCTTGTTATGGCTCTGGCCTGTTCACAGTCACTGTTAGGAAAGGTCAGGTGTTGCAAATTTCAAAGCTTTATTAATACTCTGACTCCTGAAACCTTGTCCCAACAATCAGCAGCCATAGGCTCCTTTTAACAGCTGCCTAGCACTCTGAAAACTTAAATAACTGATGCCCACAAAGCAGGAGAAGGCTATAAGACGATAGCAAAGTGTTTTCAGGTAGCTGTTTCCTCAGTTCATGATGTAATTAAGAAATGGCATTTAACAGGAACCGTGGAGGTTAAGTTAATGTCTGGAAAACCAAGAAAACTTTCAGAGAGAACTGCTTGTAGGATTGTTAGAAAGGCAAATCAAAACCCCTGCCTGACTGCAAAGGACCTGCAGAAATATTCTGGAGTGGTGGTGCACTGTTCTGCAGCGACACCTGTACAAATGTGACCTTCATGGGAGAGTCATCATAAAAAACCTTTTCTGCATCCTCAACACAAAATTCAGAGTCATAAGTTTGCAAAGGAACATCTAAACAAGCTGATGCTTTTTGGAAACAAGTCCTGTGGACTGATGAAGTTCAAATAGAACTTTTAGGACTTCATAAAAAGAACACCTGTCCAACTGTTAAACACAGGGGTGGTTCAATCATGCTTTGAGCTTGTGTTGCAGCCAGTGGAGCCGGGAACATTTCACAGGTAGAGGAAAGAATAGATTCAGTTAAATTACAGCTAATTCTGGAAACAAACAACACACTATCTGTAAAAAAGCTGGAGATGACCTTGAAATCCACAATGGACTACCTCAAGAGGTGCAAGCTGAAGGTTCTGCTATGACCCTCACAGTCCCCCGACCTAAACATCATTACAAATCTGTGGATAGACCTCAAAAGAGCAGTGCATGCAAAACAGCCCAAGAATCTCACAGAGCTACAAGCCTTTTGCAGGAAGAATGGGTGAAAATCCCCCAAACAAGAAGCTATGATACTTGCTACTATGTACTGACCATGCAGGGTGCCCAAACTTTAGCTTCAGGCCCTTTTCTTTTTGTGTTATTTTGAAACTGTAAAAGATTGAAATAAAATAATAATCTTGCTAAATAATCCTCCTTAAAATATTGAAAAAATGCTTAATCTTCAACTTTTTGCCTTTTAGAAATCAGGTCATCTTTTACTTGTTTAGCTTTTCACAGTAAACCAAATTTTGACCAGGGATGCCCAAACTTTTGCGTGCAGCTATACTTGCGCAGAAGCCAATCACATAGTTGTTACATTTATTTGCTTACATTTATTTACCATGCTGGTAATTTAAGTACTTAATTTATTTATCAATAAATAAATATATATATATAATATCAACAAGGAAAAAATGGTGATTACTTTCATTACTGGCATTAAATCTCTATTGTGTTGGGTGGGAGATGTGATCATATCTCCAAAGATATTGACCAAATCCCTTGGAACAAAATTGTATGCTGCTGGCCACTTGTGTTGAATTTTGTTTTTTTGTCCTTAAACACATTTCGTCTGTGTATGTGCTTTGTTCCTGCTCTCATAGAAGTTATCAGCAAGCTCTGTCCTTCAGCTGAAATAAGGCTGACTCTGTTATAATCGTATTATTCTGTTTTATCACTTTATTAAATAACATGAAAGACAACTCGATCGTTTCACTTTTTATTTGTTCACTTCTGCCACCACACCCTCCACAATTTAATCCATAGCGTTAAATAGGCTAATTTATACTCCTTTTATGCACAAAAATAGATTTGTCCATTTCAAATATTGTTGGTGCCCTCATACTGCCATGTGTCCTCTATGATGGCACTTTAGGGCAGAGTCAGAAGATTCACACAAACGAGGTGATGGTGGAGGAGGTCCAATATTGTGCCTTTTTACGCAGGTAGCACGGGGGTGGTCTGTGCAGCCATTAAATACATCGAGACATATGGACCGAGAATTCTTTTCACTGTGTTACTTATTTTTTCCGTTCTGCCATTATATACATTTCTTGTGTCATGTCATCTCCTACAGTCATATCTCTCTTGAATTACTCTATACTGCTTCCATGATCACCGTTGTTACTGCTCTGTTTTGTACGTATAAATACAGACGGAATGAATACAGAGTATGGACAGAAGGCTCCATCTGTCTCCATTTCCATATCTTGCATTGAGCATAAATGAGCCCATAGGAGCTCTCCTAAGGGCTAACATGCTTTGTGAATAACTTTTATCTTTACCAGGATCTAGGCTTAACTTAAGGGTAAATTCATACTTCTCATAATTTTCTTAGAACACTGGGAGCAACTCTTTGTACTGGGAAGCTTTACAAATGCAGTCTGAGGTTATGAAGTAATTACCTATCAGTGTGAGACATGTATGTGCCTTTTCTGTGTTGTCTGTTTTTTCATATGATGTTGTGGTTTCCACTTCAGGGCCAATTTAATAAAAAAAATTTAAAAAAAAACACACAGTTTGTCATATTTCTAAATGGACACACAGTATCCATTTATCTCTGTTCTGCCCTCAGCATTCGTTCGTCCAGCACCAGCCAGGTGAACAAGCTGACCATGGCCTCCAAAGACTCGGCCATCCTGGCTGAGGGCGGCAGCAGCCCTGACCTCTCAGAGGAGTCAACAGGACCCAGGCGGTTGGAGGACAATGAGCGAGACATGGTCCAGTACAGTTACTCCTTCTTCCACTTCATGCTCTTCCTGGCCTCGCTCTACATTATGATGACTCTCACTAACTGGTACAGGTCAGTCCTCCCCCCTTCCAACACAGTATTAAAACAGTTTGTATTAAAGGAAAATACCAAATAAGACAGTGTTGCTGCACCTGGCAACAAACATGACACTCAATGCTAAAACCCCATTTTAAATGGTTTCATTTTTGTTAACAACTACACCACTAAAAATTTCAAACGTATGTAGCTGCTGCCATTTACTGCTGCTAGACAGCTTTTTCATGCCTCTGCGCAGAATATAGCAGTGGCCCAAGCCATTATGTTTTTGGGTTGTCTGTCTGTACGCATGTGTGTCCATTTGTTCCATTCTTGTGAATGTGATATCTCAAGAAAGCCTTGAAAATTTGGCACAAACGTCAACTTGGACTCAACGATGAACTAATTACATTTTGGTGGTCAGAGGTCAAGATCACTGAGATCAGGTCTGTCCCATTCTTATGAACACAGTATCCCGAGAACACCTTAAGGGAATTTCTTCAAATTTGGCACAAACATCCACTCGGACTCAAGGATATACTAATTAGACAAAAGTGGTCAAAGGTCACTTTGAACCTGTCACATTCTTGTGAATGTGATATCTCAAGAAAACCTAGACAAAATTTCTTCAAATTTGGCACAAACGTCCACTTGGACTCAAGGATGAACTAATTAGAATTTGATGGCTAAAAGTCAAGGTTACTGTGACCTTACATCTGTTTTATTCTCATGAAAGCAGAATCTCAAGAAGGCCTTGAGGGGAACTTCCAGTTGGGTATGATGGAGTAGACACACATTGAGTCTGGCTCCTGATTTTCTAGAACGCTGTTATTCCATTTTTATTTGTGGCCAAACAGGGATATTTATACCTCTGGCAACATATGACTGAAAGATGGCATCAAAGTCAGCCAAACACAAAAAAGAGACTGGCCTTTTCATTTCAGTGTTCCTGAAGTCATAGTACGCATTTTCTGTTCTTGACAGCCCTGATGCAGACTACACCATAACCAGCAAGTGGCCAGCAGTGTGGGTGAAGATCACCTCCAGCTGGGTGTGTTTAGCCCTGTACATCTGGACCCTGGTGGCTCCCTTGATCCTCACCAACCGAGACTTCAGCTAATCAGCAGCTCCATCTCTCTCTCTCTCTCTCTCCTCCACAAACCTCCTCCTTTTTTTCTCTACAGAAATTCAGATTGTGTTGCCAACATCTTCCTTTCAAAATAATCTCACATTTTATACTTTTAGCTGGAGTTAGTTTAATTATTTATTAAAATTAAAATTGGATGTGGTTCAGAGGTGCCATAACAGCTATTTCAAGCACTAGTGATTTCATACCAGTGCATAGCAGCAGCTCATTCAGGATACATTCAAGAGACATCCAAGGACAATCCTACATTTTCTACCAAAACACAAAAACACCATGAAGAAAAACATTCCATTTGTGTGTGTAAATTTATTATCAAACACAAGGTCCAAAATAAAACCAGCAGCATATTTTCATATTGTGTACTCTTAATAATCTAAATGTATCTCTGCTGTAACAACAACAAATAGTCAGATGTAGTCAAACACAGATTTTATTTTCACTGCTTAAAAATATGAATGTATTACAATATTAATGTTAGTTTGTGAACTGCACACAGTAGTTTGCTGCTATGCCTTCTAATGCCTTAAGTGTCTAACATGTTTCAGATCCATTAATATATTGAATATATTAAGAGTATTATGAAATACATGAGTGCAGTGAACTACTGCCAACTAACATGACTTAAAGTCAAGTTAAGTTTCTGCCAAATATTTAAGATATTCAATGTGAGGGAGTTTTAGAGATGTGATGGTTTCAGGCTGTAAAATAAATCCATACAGTGACAGGATACAATCAACATTATGACTTATTAATTGTTTTTCTTTCACCATTGTATGACTCCAAATAGGATGGAATATCTTTAATGTTTATTATGATTTTATTTGTAAAGAATGCCATCTTTTTGTAATTAAAAAAGCTGTTTTATTAGAAATGTCAGGGAATGGATATTAAATGGTTAAATATGTTATATATATATGAAGGAAAAAAAACAGATTTATATGATACAAACACTGACCAAATGCCTTGCAAACTAAAGTGATTTGCTGTAGTTGGTATAAGCAGGCTTGGTTTTCAATGCTTCTGTAGTTTCTTTTCACACTCATTTAAAGTCATGCATGTTCAGTTTGACTCCATTTTCACAGCAGAGACTCAATGTGAAAAACTCAGATAAATAAGCAAATCCATCTTGCATCATGTTTATTAGAATATCACTGTATATTTTCAACACTTAAATATAATCATTGTTGCATGGTAAAAGGGTCATTATCAAAGTATCCTTTCAAATATTACTAATATAACTTCACATCAAAACAGAATGCAGTGGCTGATTTCTCATATTCAGATTGTACAAACAGCTGTGATACAAAGATCATAAACATACAGAGAAATAAGTAATGCATACATAAAACAGTCTGAAAAGATACTGTAGTTATATAATTAGGAGCAATTCAATAAACCACAAATAACTTAATTACTTTAATTACAACTTTAACCAAAAAAACACTGCATTGTTCAGTAATAAGCCTTTGAACACGGCTAATATGAAATGTCTGTGCTCTGAAAATTCTCAAATAATACATGGTTTTACACTTTTTTTGAGTTGCCTGTAAATGTTGAATTTAGCAAGGCAGTTTGGTTGAAAGGCTCCAAGTCTGTACACTGAAAGTCTGTTGTGACTTCCATCAATTGTACAAACACTGTAAAAGAATAAATTCAGGTTTACCATTGAGCTCTTGTCCTGATTCAATCAGATGTCTTCTTCCTACAGTTCCATCCTGGCTTTATGAAGGCTGGAGTGTGCAACAAACAAATTCAAGAAAAAAAACAAAAACTTTTGCAACATGGTCCCAACCTACCCTGACTGGATTAGCTTACTTTCTGTTGCTGCTGCTGCTGCACAGGTTAGACCCAGCGCTGCCCATCCCAACTCATCAATTACTGTTACTTTCTCAGTAGACCCCCTTGTCAAAATATGACACTACAGGTATTCGATTCAATTCAATTTTATTTATAAAGCCCAATATCACAAATCACAATTTGCCTCACAGGGCTTTACAGCATACAACATCCCTCTGTCCTTAGGACCCTCACAGCGGATAAGGAAAAACTCCCCAAAAAAAACTTTTAACGGGGAAAAAAAAAATGGTAGAAACCTCAGGAAGAGCAACTGAGGAGGGATCCCTCTTCCAGGACGGACAGACGTGCAATAGATGTCATACAGAACAGATCAACATAATAAATTTACAGTATTCTATATGAGCTGTTTTAGTTTTGGACATTCAGGGAGTACCTTTGAGTACTTTGGAAAGTGCTCTATAAATAAAATGTATTATTATCATTATTATGATGTGTCAATTAAGGGTATTTTCACATATAGTCCTTTTAAAACAAACTGAACTCAGTCTTCTTAAAGTGCACTAAAAAGTGGACCACCAGAAAAGGGACTCAGTTCTTTTTGTGTTCACATTGTTAGTTCATTTGAAAGAACTGACTCTGTTCTCTTTCTGATCAGCTTCAGCTCTGATGGGGCCTCAGTCCTTTCTGTTCACACTATAGCCTAGATATAATATACATTGATGTAGTTTTGTTTTTACTTTGATGTGGCACTGCAGTGCGGTTATGAAGCCCCTCACTCTCAGATGAACTTGAAACTAGAGGAAAACCTTGGCATCTCTGTGCTGTAGTCTGTTGCGGTTTAATGTATCCTACATTCCACATCTAGAAATGTGCAGTATCTCTCATGGACCAAACTATTCCTCATCCTGCGTCCTTGCAAGTGTTACAGGCCAATGTGGTTTTGTCTGTTCTTTCCATGCTATTAAACTTCCCAGTTTAATAGCATGTGATCTAGAGGGCTAAATAAAATGGCAAAGAGCAAAGCGAACCCAGAGCACTTTGTGTTCACAGTGCACAGGTTAAGGGGACCACACCGATCAGCAAACCGAACTCAAACCACCCCCTGAGGTGGCCTGAGTTCGGTTCGCTTCAGAGGGGTCTGAGTTCTCTTGGAGTGCTCACATATGCCCAAAAAAATGCTGAGTCACCGCTCCAAGTCTGCTTAGAGGGCTGAAAAGGACCAAGTGTCAAAACATCCCTACATATACACTTGTAACATGCACTGTGTCCATCAGTCAGTAAAGCACTTTTTTTTCCTGTTCATTTCCTTAGGTTTACGCAACAAAGGCATGTGGTTAGGTTTAGAAGAAAACATGGTTTGGCTTAAAGGGCCAGTGTGTAAAATGGGTTGAAAACAGTGACATCAGTGGTCAAATTCTAGATTGCAGGGCTCACTCGCTCACCCGTCCCGTCAGGTAAATGACGGTGGCCTCGTAGGGACAAAAAGCCGTGCGCACAAGTTTTTCAGGAATAGGTCTATCTAGCAACGAGGTGAATGTTTATTTAGAAATCTAAGCCATGTTACGATATTGTAATGAATCCCTCACGAGCAGGAGACCAGAGGAGTGTTTGGGAAAAAGGCCCGTTAATTTGAGCACTCCAGAAACTCTGGTAACACTCCAGGGGGTAAAAGTGTAACACACACATTTCATACACACATACTCGTTTACCATACTAAGTGGGGACCCCCTCCCCTCTCTGCTCCACCAATCTCCAGCCCGCACACTGACTGACAGCGTAGCCGGTAAATAGAGCTCAGCTGTTTATTTAGCCTAGCAATATCTCCAGACTATAGTAGCTGTAATGGACGACTTTGAACGCGATTTTGAAGAGTTTCTTGTAGCGGACACAGACCCAGAGCCATACCTGTTTGAGCCGGAGCATACAGATGAGGAACTCCATGTGTTTGATGCTGAGCGGGTGAGAAGAGAGGCTGAATGCACAGAATGGGATTCAGTGCTACTGCTACCATCGTTGGGGAGATATATCATCAGGAGGAAAAGCGCCGCACAGAGTGCATCACAGGAGTGAAGCTGCGTCTTCTTTTCCTCACAGATGACGGTTCGGATTCTCTCCTGTTGCGTGGTAAGTGTGGTCCATTCGCAAACTTTATAACTAAAAAAACTTTTCACTACTCTCTATCGATTAACTGCTAACACTCTCTGCTGTTTTCTCCTCCTTCTTCCTTCCTTCCGCTGTCTTCGTTGGTTCATTTATACACGCGAAATGCGTTCTCTGGCTGGCTGGATTGTCCGCTCGGTCTGCCGTACATACATGGAGGCGCAAGATGGCGACCTCTCTAAAGCAAGGCCCTTGCTATATATATATAAAAGCATAATTATAAGGCTACGAAAACCAAACGAATTTTATTTTATAGCGATTATACACTTGTATAAACATATTAATGGGTGGAATATTCAGATTCAGATTCAGACTGATAATAAACCATACCAAATATTACACACTGGCCCTTTAAAATAAGTACAGTTGTTACTAATGTCATGTAATGTTACATGACACAAGTTATGTAACATATGTCAGTAGCATAGCATGCTACACATGCTAGCACACTAAGGTGGTATGAAAATAGTTCCACTGATTTTTGGTTTTACACGGAAAACAAACAGCAGGCTTCTGGGTGAAAGTCAGGACTTTCTCAGTCTTTATACTATGGTCGCTGCTGGTGGCATTACAAACTGCCACTACCCAGTGTGTATCACACCATTGCAAAGGGTGCCTTTGTGCATCGCTGTCTGGCACCGAGATCACTGACGAAACAGTGGTATTTGATGAGCTGGGAATGAGAACAGGTTGAGTAATCTTCGTGTGGTGGGAAGTGAGGTGGAGGGACTGTGGAGTGATGTACACTAGTGATGTACGTCCCATGACGTATGTCATTGGATGTGACATTATGTCCATGCCTAAACTTAATGAAATAAACCTAAAAACAAAGTGTTTTACCTACATCATAAGTGGATTTAGGAAAAGACTGTATGCAAGTTACGAGCAGAATGGAAATATATTTTAAAAAGACACTGTGCATGTAACAAGCATCAATTGGGACGCTGCCCGTGAACCTCCAAAACTGATGCAGGTTGCTACCTAGCACGTCATTTTTTTGATGTTAAGGTCTACTCACAAAGCAGGGTTATATGACAAGTTTGGATGAGAACGGGTTGATCATACCATAGACTGTATAAAATAATGGACCCAGCTACTGTGACGTCACCCATTGATTTGTGGACTCCTGTTTCAATGCCTCGAGTTTGGCATTTGAGCCGTCACCATCCTAATTTTTTGGAGCCAGAAGTGACCATATCTGGACAAGAGGGAGGTGCTGTGGAGAAGCAAGGAGTGGATCTAGTGGCCTGCCCTTAATTATGTGTAACTTGAAGCCTTTATTAAATGGTGAACAAGTAGGGTTTTTTAAATGCTCTGTACAGTTGTCATGAATGTTAAGAGTAGCTGTGGAAGCCAGAGCAGTTTTTCTGGGCTGTAAACATGTTTATTTCTGTGGGGACTTCTTCTGGAGCCAGCCTCAAGTGTCCATTCAGAGAACTGCAATTTGTGGCACTTCCATGTTGGCTTGATTTTTTAGCCCTGGTGGTTGCTGCTTGGATCATACCAATGAAAGGCAGTAACCACATACTGTTTTAAGAGGGCCCACCATCAGTCCCAATACCTGTTTTCTCTCTTCCGATCTGTATCCCAACTTTCACAAATCAAACTACTGTAGCTTGAAATGTAAGAGTTTACACAGTGAGGACATCAGCAGCTGTCTATCACATGTAGGTTGTGTGTTGCAGCAGGAAGTGTGAAGAGTCTCTCCTCAGGCTCCCTCTGGGCGCTGTGAACCACTTGGCACCTGAACTTGGAGCCCTGGTCCTTCTTGCTGGGGGTGAGTTTGAGGAAACTGAACATGGAGTAGAGGCCATTGATGTTCAGGCTCGGGGGAGTGTTAAAGACACCGGACAGAACCGTCTCTCCATCTTTAGTCCAAGTCACTGACACGTCCTCAGGACAGAAGTCTTTGATACACAGGTGCAGTGTACACTCTTCATTCATCAGAGGACACAGTGGTTCACAGTCGATGAACATCACATTAGGAGGAGTTCCTGTTCAAACAGACACAGGATGAAACATGTTGTTACTGTTTTTGGAGCATTTTGACATGAATTAACTGTCACATTAATTTTGACATTAGTGAGGAAGGAAAACAAGTGGTTGAATAAGGCTTATGAGAAATGTGCTTTTATTTTGATGTGATTAGAAGGGAGGGGAAGCTGCATATCAGCCCTCAAATTTTAGGGGGAATGAATTTGCTCGCTCTGTTCATACAACACTTTGCAGAGGTTTATCATTTCAAACAATCCTGCAGTGTTCTAATATGTACTGTTCTGGCTTTAACTTCACAAGAGTGTTTTGCAGAAGCAAGCATGAGTAGGATTTTTGACAAAACATTTGTAATACATATAACAGGGGTGCAAACTCATAAAGGAAGGACTTTTTTAAATATAAGGGAAAAATCCACCCTAGAACTGACGTAATCATACTGCTACAAAAGTAATGTATGGGCAACCTCAGTGTAGGGCACAAGAGAGTGCAGAGCCAGATCCAAAATTGTATTAAAGTGCAATGTAGGCCTACCACATTGTAGCCTGTAAAAATGTGTGTGTGCTTTTGCTCAGCTTTTGCGACTGCTGTTTGGTCAGTTAAAGACAGGGCTTAGATATGAAGTTTATAAACTGATTTTACAATCACTACAACTAAAAGAAAAACTGTCACAGGGTCATTTTAATTCAGCCTCTGTTGTTTTCAGTGAGCTTGACATTATGCAACATAATTAGACAAATTTTACCAAGTGTTCTGTTAAACTACATCGCAAGTAACATAGGTCCATTTAGCTAATTCTCAGCATTTTTCCAATTGTATAAGGGATCCACCAACTGTGAAACTCTGATACAGATGTTTTTTTAGTTGTTGTTGTTTTTTTTTTTAGATTTGTTCTTTTTTGTTTTGCTTTGTTTTTTGCTGTTGTTTATTTGGGAGTCATTCATTCTCCCTTTTGTGCAAGGGAAACAAAGAAATCAGTATAAAAAAATAACTAAACAGTTTGAAGTCATTCAGTCCTTCATTACACTACCTTTGAATGAGCACAAATTCAAATTCCGTCCGTGAGGGGGAGAAATACAGAAAGGATAAGTTAGTAAGGAGGCAAGGGTGTGGCCGCCTAGAAGGTGCTTGTGATTGGGAAATGCAAGTAGATTTAGGGGGTAAGCTTGTTGTTCCCCAGGAAATAGTTTGTACCAAGCAGAGGCCTGACATAGTGTTGTGGTCAGTGAGTCAATGGATAGTTTATTTCATTGAGCTGACAGTTCCTTGGGAAGACTCAGTGGAAGAAGCCTATGAAAGAAAAAAGCTTAGATATGCAGACTTAGGAGCAGAAGCTGAGCAGCGAGGATGGAAAACTAGGATTTGTCCAGTGGAAGTGGGGTGTAGAGGATTCATAGCAAGGTCAGCTGTCTCGCTCCTGGGGGAACTCGGAGTGCGGGGGCAGAGTTTGAGGAAGACAATGAAGGAAATGTCAGATGAAGCAGCCAGAGCAAGTCAGTGGATCTATAAGAGAAAAAATAATGTCAGTTGGGGGCCAGCAGGGGGAACTACTAAGCAGGGTACATAACTCCTTGCGATCAGGTGGAGAGATCCACCAATCAATCAATCAATCAATCAATCAATCAATCAATTTTATTCATAAAGCCCAATATCACAAATCACAATTTGCCTCACAGGGCTTTACAGCATACAACATCCCTCTGTCCTTAGGACCCTCACAGCGGATAAGGAAAAACCCCCCCCAAAAAAACCCTTTAACGGGGTAAAAAAAACGGTAGAAACCACAGGAAGAGCAACTGAGGAGGGATCCCTCTTCCAGGACGGACAGACGTGCAATAGATGTTGTACAGAACAGATCAGCATAATAAATGAACAGTAATCCGTATGACACAATGAGACAGAAAGAGAGACAGAGAGAGGGAGACAGAGACAGAGACAGAGAGAGATGCAGGACAGACGGTAATGACAGTAGCTTACAACAACATTAATGAAAGTAATCATATTATAATTATAGTTCTGGCTATTGTGGTACAATATGTTGAAAGTATATATTAATATCTGATAGTATACATATGTGACAATACATATGTGTATAATAACAGTAGAAGTATGACTAATGATAACAGCAGCAGGAGGCATCTGGCAGGACCACGGCAGCAGCACAACTACACATGTCACACTATCCAGGGACCGCTGCAGTCCTCTCAGGAGAAAATCCAGGAGGAGGAAGATTATTTAAGTGTGGGAGTGGCCTATTTGAATCCCTTTTGTTTGAGACCATGCTGCAAGGTGAGTGTGTTTGCTGATCCTGTGAGTTTATCTTCTCGATTTCCTTTAACTTTAGCTTATATTGGAGTTATGCTATGTAACATATGAAATAGAGTATGGTGAATGTACTAGGAAAGGTAGTATCAGCATTGCTTCTACCTGGAGCTCGCATAAATGGAGCCTGGGTTTGTTGAAGGTGGCAGTGCTGTTTGGGCTGAGAAAGCCATGTGTAAGTAAGGTAAAGGAGGTTGTTGGGTTGGTGTGGGGAGCAGTGAGACCTGGCATTAGGGAAGTGTCTCTGGGACACCAGAGATCACTGTCTACCCTCCTGGAGGTGTCTTGGGACCAACTAGATGAAACACTGGTGAAAAGAGGTTCCCACCTGATGACCCCAAAGACATGTTAGTTATCACTGCTCATTGGTCTGTATAGTTAAGCCTTGCCATAATAGCTTATCAGGCTTAGGAGGTTTTTCACTGAGTGCTGATCCTTTCTCTAAAGCACAAACTTCTTGTGTTTATTTGAAAAAAAAAAGTGCTACTACCTTGAGTGTTGATGTGATACAGGACATCTTTGTAACCTGGAGCAGGGAAGCTGGAGTGGTAAACTCGGCAGGTGTAGACAGCCCTCTCGTCCTCTCTGGCCATGACCAGCTGAATCTTACTCCACATGCTGTAGAGGCGGTTGTGGTCAGAGAAAGGTCCAAAGTGTGTGACAGTGCCAACTTGCTCCCCGTCATTCCTGGACCACTCCAGGTCGATGTCCTGAGGGTAGAAGTTCTCCACCCGACAGCAGAGAACCAGCAGCCTCTCCACCTTGGGGATCTGAGGAATGCTGGAGATCTGGATGAAAGACGGCTCCACTGGAGGTGTGTGAGTGTGTGTGGTAAGAAAAGAGGGCGGTCATGTTAAATCATAAAAGAGTCATTCAGAGGAAATAATAAAACAATACAGTACACATTCCTACGCATGCCCCATTTGCTGAAATTAGAATTACGCCAGTTAAGGTCTTCCCAAATAGAACTGGTAAAGATAATGGAACTGGTGTGTTTCCAAAATTTCACATATATCATCTTACTGGTTGTTATGTATTTACATTTGCACATTTTACTTTTATAGTCCATGTCCACCAGGGCGATATGGCCCTACAGTAATATCATGATATTTCAGGGTATTTTTGAAATATGACAAATTAGTAAAACAAATAATAATAATAATTGAAGAACACCGCATTGCAACAAAATAAGTGATATAATTTTACATGTCAGCTTCTAATCATCAAGCTGTAACCTGTGACAGGCTGTTATGAGATAGGGCCATTAGCATTTTGGCATTTTCTGTAGTTCTCCTACATGCATGGCACACGGGAGAAGTTCCAGTTCTGCAACCTCATCACTAGATACCACTAAATTCTACCCACTACATCTTTGAAGAGGATAATAGGAACCATGTGGATTATTTCCTACTGATCAATTTCTAATTTGCCTTTTGAAGAAAAACCTAAGACTAAAGACCTCAGTGCCCACCAGCCATGGGATATTATTATAAACCAAACCGCTGGTGAAAAAAAAGAAGAAAAAAAAAGAAAGAAAGAAAATTCAGATTGAACGTGGATTGTCTGTCAAGGAAAAAAATGGCTAACTGCTAGCTTGTCAGAGAAGACTCATCTTTGCTTCACATGTGTGTTATTTAAAGGGGATGGTACCTGTTCAAAAACAGGCTTTCAGGATCTCAAGCATCTTTCTGAGATGATTGCCAACCAAGAACACAGCAGGACAATGCAACAAAACTGGCCATGCTCTCAGAGCAAACATAGCCACCCAACCTGACAGCACATACAGACGGGGAGAGCAGAGTAACAGCAAGGTGAGAAGACCAGGTATGTGCCTGGTTGGATTATCAGCTGTGTTTAATTGTGTGGGAAATGTATGCAGGTTTTTATCTGTGCAATTCAGACTTTAGACTTATTGTCACCAAGGGGAGATTATTTTTCCCAACACTGTACATTATAAGATAACAGCAAATACGCAGCACGTAGTAACAACTTGGATGACATTGTATAAACTGTACAGTGACACACAATAAGATTATGGACAACATCGCAGTAGCAACACAGATAGGAGTGAACACTCAGGCCTGTTCAAAGAGGGCTATTATTTAAGGCAGCTATGGCTGCAGGAATCAGGCTCTTCCAAAGTGGGTCCTTCTGCACCTCAGTGCTCTGTACCTGCACCCACAGGGCAGTGGGTTGAAACTGTGATTGAGTGGATGTGTAATGTCCTATATACTGAGGTAGTAATGTGTGCAGTGGTCCTGATGTTAATTTCTGTGAGGTCGGGTGTAGGGAGACCAAGTATCCTGGCAACAGTGTTGGTTATGCATGTGAGTTTGGCCCTGTTAATAACCAATAACATGTTAAACTAGAATTACCTCCCCACGGTTGTATACCTCAACACACCAGTCAAGTGTGTCTTACAGTTTACATCCATGTCTGTGAAAGCATGGATGCTTCACGCACATCCCCCCCCCCCCCGACAGCACGGAAGATCTATAAAATCAGCACAGATTCAAGATGATTGTCACCAATTCAGTATCTGACCAAATGTCTCCTCTTCTGTCCCTGAGATATGACACTGAGTAATGGGCAGAGAAGCATTTTATGTAGAACATTATGATGTCGCAGTGAGGTTGACCTTGGACCTTTGGGATATAAAATGCTATCACTTCATCATTTCATCCTATAAGACATTTGTGTGAAGTTTGTCATAATTTATAAGAATTTTTGAGTTATGGCCAAAACATGTTTTGCAAGGCCAACTCTGACCTTGGCCTTTGACCTTTGATCACCAAAATCTAATCAGTTTATCAATAAGATCAAGTGGACCTTTGTGCCAAATTTGAAGATTCCATTGAGGCATTCTTGAGATACCGCGTTCACAATGGGATGTACGGACGTACAGAGAGACAGACGGACAACCCAAAAACATAGTGCCTCTGAGCTATCGCTGGGCATGGAGGCATAAAAAGCAGGTGAAATAGTACTGTAGGATGGGCTGCAGAATGCTGTGGTACAACAGTAGGAAGAGATGGGGGGCGACATAGAGCCCTTTAAGCGTGCGGATGGCTTATAGCCTTTGGTGGCCTCTTGAGTGGTATTCAGTGGCACTGGTCGCTTGTAGTGATGAACCTGACTCTGCAGCTCCCCACGGCTTTACAGAGCTTTATAATGACTTTGAAGCTAATTGTTTAGCTGTCTGCAACACAACTATACCGTTTAGGTTTATTCTCACCACTCTCATAGCATCATTCTCTGCAGCTGTTTTCAGTAAAGAGCTTTAAAAACATACACTACCTGCCCAGCATCAGAGAGCAAACAGATACAGTTAGTGACTAGCTGGGGGACATAATGGAGCATCTAGTAGCTAAGGAACCAATTATTTCCCTCAGGAGTTGGTACAGACCTAGTTCTAGACCTAGCTTCCTAGTCAAGGGTTGGTCCAAGTGACAAATTTCTACAAAAAATCTTGGAAATATGATATTTTCTAAGAATTTCCCCCTAAGTTACCACTAGCTTTGGTAAGGATATGATTATTCACAAAGCATCTTAGGCCTTAAGAGTGCTCATAAAGTGAAAAACTGAGGAGTAGGAGGAGGAGGAGGAGGAGGACTTTTAAGAGGCTTAAGAGTTTCCTAAGCAGAGGTAGGAGAAATATTCTCCAAGCCATGCATAACAATGACGTTAAAGTTCTGTCGTTATTTATTTAATGTCATCATATTTGGAAGGAAGACAGGCAACTGAAAATTGAAAGCAAGGAAAGAAAAAATGCTATTTTAGATCAACAGACTATAACCATTTTTTTAACCCTGATTTTGCATAACAGCCAAAAGTAGTGTATTCTCATGCTCTCTTTTTCTCTCTGTTTATGAGACACCTGCCCCTCTGCTAGGAGACTACTGCAATGGGAGTGTGAGCTCCACACCAGGGACAGTGGTTGAGACTCCATCCAAACACATACAGTAACAGGCCTAACTGCTAGCATCACGTAGCTAACTTTACCAAATGGTTATTAACAGATTCAAGACAGAATCATGCTGTTTTTGGTGCTGGGTTGTTGGGACTGTTTAAAAGCTCGGTCCCACTTTTGCTGTGTTGCTCGTGCTAACCAGGCAAACATGAACTGAGGAGAGAGACTCCATCGACAGTCCTTCAGGGCTGCATCTAATCAGTCCGCTGAGTAGTTGGTACGGTCTGGGAAAACTGTAAAACTGTTGACAGGACACCTCGAACTTCAAACACAAACAATTATGAATCTTTCTATTCTCTTTATCTATTATGAAAAGATAAGCGATTTAAAAACATCACAATGTAAAGTCTATGAGCCGAGCAGGAAACTTTTTTGGCGAATGTGCCAGGCAAGAGACTCCACTGGAATGAAAAGTCGCCATCTCGGGGTCTGGTATTAAATTATTGTGTTCACCCTGGTCCTTCCCCTCCTTTTGAGCTCTTAGGATTGGTATCAAAGTGAAGCAGCACGGTGATGCAGTGGTTAGCACTGTTGCCTCACAGCAAGGGTGTTGTTCACTGATGTACACTGTCCCTTCTTAAACAAATAAACTATTAAATAAATAAATAAATAAATAAATAAATAAGTGGGAACCCAGGGTGGGGGGAGCCCTTCTGTGTTGAGTTTGCATGTTTTCCCCTGTCAGCGTGGGTTTTCTGCAGGTACTCCAGCTTCCTCCCACAGTCCAAAGATTGGTGAGGTTAATTGGTGACTCTAAATTGATGGTAGGTGTGAATGTGAGTATGAATGGTTGTCTGTCTCTATGTGTCAGCCCTGTGATAGTCTGGCGACCGATCCAGGGTGTCAGCCCAGTGTCAGCTGGGATAGGCTCCAGCCCCCCACGACCCCTAAGAGGATAAGCCGTAATGGAAAATGAATGAATGAATGAATGAGATACTTTTATTCTGCACCTTTCTAAAAGCTCTGTGGATGTTTTTTAGTATTATTATCTGTCTACATAAAAATGTTTTCCATGAAACCTTTAACGACCTCTGACAAATAGTTTCCAAGATACCTCACCATGGACCCAAGTGTTAATCAGAGGCATGGTTTGACCTGCTGGTGGCACTAAGCAAAAGGTCAGAGGTCACCACAGCATTGGCAGTCTGGCCAGCAGCTGTCTAACAGACCAAATTATTAAACAGTCTGACAGACTTTTCAACACCAAGCGATCTTTTCTAATCGTTTCAGAAAACATAGCACAGTAACAGAAATCCAGTATGCTCCTGAGGGTACTCTTACTCACCTTTTACTGGGACTGTGGTGTTTCTTTTGATGCACTTGCCCCTGCACAGCACCACACACTGGTATTCAGTCAGGTCTTCAGTGACGCTCAGACACACAGTCAGGACAGATGTGTGGTGTCTGCCATCTGACTGGAGACAAGCCTGTTCACTCAGATCCTCACTGAGCAACAGAGAATCACATTCTGACTGGACCACTGAGTCTGCGAAGCTTCTTAATTTGAACCATTTCACCTTGAGCTCCTGCAGTCTTGCTCCTTGGATGGTGCATTTGAGGTCTGTCTGCACCTGAGCATATATGATGCTGGGTTTGCTGATTTCAGAAACACTTGGTGGAGCTGTGGAGAGAGGTCGAAATACATGTTACTGCACAGTCAAGACAGTGACAATCAAGTATTTTCTCTGCATTCTGATTATGAATTAAATTTGAATTATACATTACCTAGGTGACAAATTAAAGGCCCTCACAGTCAACAGATCTTAACCCAACATTGTTCAGTTGGCTTACACCTGACGAAAATAATATAATAAAATGCACATTGTTCACATTGAGACGTACCTTTGCCAAAATATCTGTAGAGAAGCAGAGTGCCTCCAATAACAGTGATAACCAGCAGCAGACTGATGACACTGGTGACAGCTATCAGTGTGACAGCACTGTAAAGGGGCTGTGATGGAGCTTCAGGAAAAAGTGATTTGAGAGATCTGTATTACATATTGTAAATATGTATTTCATTATGGACGATGACCTTGATTTCTATTTTAAAGCAAGAGTTCAGCCCCAAATCAAAAATACATATTTTGCCTCATACCTGGAATGCTATTTATCAGTCTAGATAGTTTTGGTGTGAGTTGCTGAGTGTTGGAGTCATTGGCCATAGGGTTGTCTGCCCTCTCTCCAATATAATGGAACCACGTGGCACTCAGCTTGTGGTGCTCATAGCACCAAAAAATACATTTAAAAACTCAACAGCAATGTCTCTTTCCAGAAATCATGAATTTGTTACTCAAGATAATCCACAGACCTTGTTGTCAGCAGTTTTATGTAGGAACTATTTTCTTTCTACCAAACTACTACATTCACCAACCATATCACTGTACAGAAGGAAGCATGCATCTATTGCTAGTTCACCTTGTACCACTGAGGTAGGTAACTCAGCTCAGGTGAGGAGGACGCTGTTAATGTTGACATCTTGTGCTTTCACAAGCACAAGCCTCTCATCCATGAATAGATGCATGTTTCCCTCTGTGCGGTGATATGGTCGACTGGTGTAATTTTGATTTTGGGGGGGGAACTGTCCCTTTAAAGAATGACAGAAAGATAAAATGAGGCCCCACCCTGAACAGTCAGTGTGACAGACTTGTTGTGCGGCCGGCCGTAGGTCTGGTGCTCCACCTGACAGATGATGTGCATCTCTCCATCCTTCACTGCTGAGGAGTGCAGTGTGATGCCACTGCGGATACTGTAGGTGCCATCTGGATTGTGAATGGCCATTTCAGTGCAGACTCGGGAGAGGTGGCTTGCACCTGCGTGGACAGTGTGGGAGCCATTTTGAATGAGCCACGACACGGCCAGTTTCTCTGGATAGAAACCTTTGATGTCACACTGTATAGTCTTCTCCTCCCCTTCTGTCACTGCTGCCTTCTCTGGTAGTGACACTAAAGGCTGAGCTGGGGAAGAGGACAAACACAGCACATTTACACATGGACATGGAAACATATTTTCGCCAAGGGGTGCTGAGCAGTGTGTGCAGATGGCAAGATGGCTGCCAGCTGCAGACCACAGTTTGAGACCAACAAACAACAAAACTCGTTTTTTAGCAAGATATCAGCAGCATTTCCAGTTGCGATTGTGCCACCAAAAGCAGGTAAGTTTAGCCAAGATATGATCTGTTCCTAACCATAACCAAGTGGTTTTGTGCCTAAACATAACTGCTCATTAACCACAAGTTTGTTGAAACATAAGCACAAGTTTCAACATATCCACTACATATGAAAGTAAAATGTTATTCTTGGTTTGCAGAAACATATAATTCAATAACATATAATTCAATCATTTATTCTGGCGGTTGGGTTGGAGATACTGCTCAGGAAAACCACTCAGACATACTTGCATCAGTGGTTCTGTTAGTTCAAAGAATGTGCACTCCTTCAGCTCTGATGCATTTTCTCTCTGAAGCACATGTGCCAAAAATTCTAATTCTTCCTTTGGAATGGTGATGGACATCCAGTTGTCTGTTTGGTGAAGCCACTCATGTTACGTCCGCTTGTCTGATGCTCCATCATAACCAACTATGCGAGAGGTTCTATTTACAGACTGTGTTCCTCCACCCCTTATCAAAAGGGGTGCTGCAGCACCCCTTATCAAAAGGGGTGCTGCAGCACCCTCAGCACCCACTTTCCTGTGCCCTTGTATGTATATGCTTTTTTTGGTAAAGTGTTACTCCCTAAATGATACAACACACATTCATGCACCTCACAACACAAATCTCACAGTGTAGAAAACCTCTGCTGTACTGCTCTTTATAAAAGCTTGTAGCATGTTCCTTTTTTCGGATACAGCCCGATGAATGACATGAACTTCGGTGGACGTTATGTAATGGAGCATTTATCAGCTAAAGAGACAGAAATCTCAAGAGTTGGTGGAGACAAAAACACAGCTAAAAGAAGGGGGAATACCAAACTGTTCTGAATACTGAATACTGCTAATATGTGTCTATAATAACTTTATGCTGTGTTAAAAGTAGGTCAATATTATGTTTGAAGCCTGATCTGCTGCCTGTGGTTGCCAAAAAAATGTCTGTACAGCAAATATGAAGCTACAACTTTGAACATCGAAAGCTTCAGGGGTTTGGTAAGTGGGTTTTGTTATATTTGGACACAGCTAGGCTCGCTGTTTAACCCTGTTTCCTGTCTATGTGCTAAGCCAAGCTAACCACCTGGTATCTGTAGCTTCACGTTATACGTACAGATATGAGACTGGTATCATTCTCCTCATTTAATAAATAGTGTCGGACAAAACACCAGAACCACAACTGGAACTCTGCAACATGTCACAGGTGTGAACAATAAAGTATTAGTTATAATTCAACAGTAACACTTATTCTGTTGGCATGCTCCAGCCTCCACATCAGAAATCTGATATCTCATTTACTGAAGGACAATTAGTATTTTTTTCTAAGCTGGTTAGGTAAAACTCTACTAAACCTCTTTCTAAATCAGCAGCACATAATGAGTTAAAGTAGGCTATGTGACACAGATTTGAGTAGAAACAGACAGAAGAATACCTAGCACTTCCAGTGAGGTGGTCTCTGTGTGGACCACAGGTGTGATGATTCTGCAGGTGTACAGCCCTTCATCCCCCACAGTCACATTACCAAGCTGCAGAGATGCATCACTTTCTAGCAACTGCATTTTATCCACCACGGAGCCATTTCTGTTCACATGTGCTCTGCCATCCTCAAAAGTGTACACAATGCTCTTCTCTGCACGTTTATCCACCATGTTCCACTCAATGGTGAGAGTGCTCCACTCCACTAGCTTGGAAAATTTATCAAACAGGCAGCTAAGAGTCACGTCTGCACCGATTAAGACGCTGAGCTTCTTTGTCTTGTCAGATGAGGAACCTGGAAACACAGAGGGGATCACAGGCTAAATGAGAGAGAATACAATTTTGCAGAAACACAAGGCATTAACTGAAACTGTGCAGAGGACAAACTCATATCTTTCCTTTACAACTTGATACCGAAAATAATGATAAAATAAAATGCTTGACACTTACCTCTACAGTGCAAAACAATGACCATGATTTTAATCACAGTTTTCATATTCTGTAGGTGCTTCATTTGGGCTCAGATCTCACGTTGTCAGTACATGGTGAAGTGATTACGAAAGTAAACTTTGACACAACAGTTTCAACCGAGTGTGTTTGCACAGTTCAAACAGATTCCCTGGACTGAGGATCACGTGGTGGTTAAGTCACAGGATATGTAGAGTAGGGCTTGGCTGGTAAACATTCACCTGGCTGCCCAGTACCTGTTAATCATATCTTGTTGTTCTAATGCACCTCCTCATGGACTCTGACCTGTTGCTGACACCTCCTCCATGCACTCTGCAGAATACCTGTGCTGTAAGACTCTGACAATAATCTGCTGTCAGTGGGATTCTTTAGCTCTCAGCAGCAGCGTGTGCACATATGAACACTCATCATGATGTGACACACACAAAAGATGTGGTCACATTTTGTTAATGCCTTTTCTTCCTCAAGGGATGATAATCATATGTATTCCAGCTCTTGCTGATGATTTATCAAATGTTTTGAGAGACTTTTATACAGTCTTTGTGGACTTGTTAGTGTGGTGCAATACCCAGCAATGTCAGTAAGTGGCAGCAAGATGTTGAGCACCCAACTAGAACTCGCGAGATGACGAGCAAAGCTCTCGCGAGATGACGTCAGCCCAGAGGTAAGGGAAACGCTTAGTATGCTATTTACAGAGATAGCACTGGCAATCTGAACTAGTCAGTGGCAAAAAAAAAGCACTTTTAATGCGCAAACTTATACGGGACACATTTGCCCCCGTTACCGTTTTAGCTCGTTTTGCGGCTACCGGCTGCATCCGCCTCCCTCAATACTGAACCAATTTTAGAACAAGTTGTACCTATAGATCATACGCACACATACACATGGGGAAATAGGGCCCAGGTTGAAAAATACATAAGTTATCCTTTAAAGCTATTTGGACCTGGGCTGTGTCCAAATTTCAGACTAACATACAATTTAGTATGCTAAAAACCGAAGTCCTCAACCATGTCCAAAACCTTAGTACAAAACCAACAGTACATAAATTGCATATTTTTTCAGGTAAAATATTACAGGATGCAAAACACTACTACTACTGGTAGAGGACAATATTTATAATGGACAGGAGCCAAGGCAACTCTTTTATGTCAATAATGCATCAGTTTCTGTGTAAGTATGTAAAGGCCCATACACACCAAACTAACATACAAGAATCAGCAGCAACAACAGCCCCCTGCTGTGTTGCCTCTCGTCACTGTGGCTCAGCCAAAAAGTAGCACATGAACACACCAAACCGACAGTCAACAAGCACATATGTTCTCCCCCTTGCATGAGAGGACATACCTCTCCTTACCGGCAGACGGCGGTCGTCTGTAATTGTCACTCAAAAAGGGACACCAGAAGAAAGTCTTGACGCCATTAAGCCAGTTAGCATATTAACAACACAATCCAATGTAGAAAGAACAGAGCATATTCACTGTGTGTGCTAGTAAACAATAACACAAACCATCAGGAAATATTTGCACCAGGGCCTGTGGGTGGGGGGGCCCATAGAGAGTGCAGGTCCCTGCAACAGATTCAGAATGCCACCTCAGAAATATACCTGTGTTCAAAGACGAATGATAAAAAAAAAGAATGTGAGTAAATTAAAAAGTGATATTTGCTATATATGTCTTCAAAAAGGAAACCCATCTCTGTCATTTTTTTTTTATAAATTAGAAGTTGGCAGTCAATAACAAAATATGCTTATTCTACATAAACTAGAAAATCTATTAATTATTGAAACCATTAAATTTCATTATTAATGTTTTACTTTCTTTGAAATTTTTGTGAGACATGCAATGATGATTGTTTAGTAATATGTATTATGTTGATGTTGTCCAGTATCAAGTCTCTGTTTGATCATGTGACGAGATGATAGGTATGCAGTAGTGTGCACAAGGGCCATCATAATAGCATGAACTGGGGCCCATCGAGACTACCTTACGCCAGGGCAGGTTCAAGAGTGGGGATCACATCACACTGACCTGGTCCTCCTGCTCGCTGTGAGAGGTGTGCAACATTTCGCTGCAGCTTTTGACATACATATCAAACATGGTACAGACATGTGAATTGCATTTACTGTGTCACAATTAAACAAAACTAAATATTAAAAAGGAGGCATGCAAGGGAGCGGCTTCTTGTTGGAAATGGAAATGCAATGTCAGTGCAAAAAATGAAAAACAGAAAACGCTGTGCTTTGAATTTAGTCTCATCAGGTCCATGCTGCTCTCTGCTGGACAACTATGAAAAACAATTCCCTCAGCTGTCGAGGACAAAAAGCTAAATAACTGTGATTTTCACAAATGTTTTACGTTTAAGTGTAGTACAGTAAATCCCAACATAAAAAGGAAATACATTTAACAGTTTTTCTGTTACTGTTTTCTTAACTTATTTGACTGGTTTGGTTAGATTTGGACATTTCAAATCGAGGGGGTTAAAAGGGGGAACATATCCCAGGAAGTTCTCATTTGGTGCTATAGCCTATGTACAACCATTGTTTCAATGAATGAAAAAAAATGCTTTGATTATTTTTCTTTTAATTTCTTTAATTTTTCAGCCAAACTCCACCTGTTTTTATCACGGACATCAAAACACATTTTGCCTTTAGAAGCAGTAGTAGTTGCTGTAGTAAAGTGACCCAATGGACACCTTGCGTCTCTGTAGATTCTTAGTACATGCTATGGATCGTGAGACACACCAGCACGTGTGAGCATGTAGTCTGACCTGTATGTGACATTTTGTTTTTGTTTTTTCAACACAAACTTTCCAACATCATTAAAAAGTCCATCTTTTCATCATCTATTATATTTGTAGATAACAATTTTTTAATGAGAACACATTTTCAGAAACATCATTTCCAGAGAGGCTTGTCCCTGTACACACCAATTAATCATTATCCCACCATTGACCTCTTCCTCCCTCTCAACCGAACCTCATCAAGTTTTTTAATGACAGCTGATGACTTCTTGGATGATGCTGTATAGCTCTTCAGCAGCCTCTCAAACAGCACCTCTGTGTTGGGGTGGGTACTGAGGAAAGCCTTCTCCAGCACATACAAGTCCACTCCCTTATCCTCTGGCAGAGCGGAGATGTAACTCAGGCCAAAATCGATGAGGAACAGGTCGGACTCCCCGTCCTCTCTGCCAGGTCTCAACAGCATGTTGGAGGTAGTCAGATCTCCGTGGATGACGTCCTCGTCGTGCATTTTGGCCAGGATGTGGCCCACCCTGTCAGCCAGCCACTCCAGCTCTGGCTCTTTACAGGAATCAGACTGCTGAGTGGAAACGATGTGGTCACGCACGGTCGAGGAACCCATAATTTCCTCCAAGAAAATACAGTGGGATGTGTAGTCCACAAAATAGACTACAGGGGCGGATATGCCTGAGAAGAAGAGAAGTTAAAGGAGAGTCTGATTTAACAGAGTGTATGTTGGACTCTAAAATTACAAAGGCAATTCATTACAACTATAAGCCTGTGTTTTCTATTATTAACAAATAAGAATGACATAATTCTGTATTTTCCACAATGTAAACAAATCTCATGAAAAAAGATAAGTCCATCTCTACTTTCTGGCTCTACTCTGTCTGTGGCTCTCAGCCCCAACACTATTTTAATAAATTAATAACAAATATATACCAGTTGTTCAATTTTTTACAAATAATTTGGTTTAAAAAGGGAGGAAATTGTTCATTTGTTGAGGACTACTTTCAGCAGTGCATTAATACACATTTGATGCTTTAGTGAGTATTTGAGGCAGCCGGATGATTTTCTGGCATGATATGAACAAATCAATCAGAACAATAATTGACAGATTAATCACTGATGGAAAAAAAACAGCAGTGGCAATCCAAGTGGACTTCAGCAGGCTATAAAAAACAGCCTTGACCCAATGAATCAGTATAAATAATAAAGCTATTGTTCGACAGTCAGCACAATCAGCACAGTTTCAAGGTGAACACCCAAGATTAGTGTCACCAATTCAGTATCTGACCAAATGTCTCCCCTTCTCCTCCTGAGATATGACAGTGAGTAATGGCCAGAAAGTGTTTTATACAGAACATTATGATGTCACAGTGAAGCTGACCTTTGACCTTCTGAATATAAAATGTCATCACTTCATCATTTTATCCTAATAGATGTTTGTGTGAAGTTTGTCATAATTTGTGTATGAGTCCTTGAGTTATGTTCAAAAACATGTTTGTGAAGTCACACTGACCTTGACCTTTGATTACCAAATTCTAATCAGTTTCTTCTTCAGTCCAAGTGACTGTGATTTGTGTTTGTGATTTGAATACCCTCAAGGTGTACTTGAGATTTCATATTGACAAGAATGGGACTGATGGATGGAGGTACGGAGGTACATACAGACAGACAACCCAAAAACATAATGTCTCCAGCTATGGCAACACCGGCACGGTGGCATAAAAAAAACTAATTCATGCTCTTTAATTATTATTTTCTTCTTCTTCTACCCCTGTCTCACAGCATGGTGAAGCTAAAGTTAGATATTTGACATTCACTCCGAACCAAGCGCCTCTTCTTACTCTGTTTCACCCAGTGTTGGCAGTAGGGGGGGGCGGTTAACTCAACTGTTTCATCCTCTGGAGGATGACACAGGGACTATCCACCACTTAGTGTTCACTTCATGCAATGATTGCACTTTTTTCAATACTTACCATGTCAGGTGAGCCCTTGACTCCAGACCATTGCTGAATTGTATCACTACACTGGAAAAATTAGACCTTTTTTATTGAATTTTACTACAATTTATATAATGTCCTGAATTGCACAGGTGTGCAAGTGGCCCTTGAGGTTGTTTTTTATCATGTGTGTGGTTTTTGATGCAGAGGAGTAGGGTAAAACAGAGAAAAAACACACTTTGACAAATGTGTTTTGCAAACCCAAGGAGTGGTTCGGAGTCACTTGATCACATGACATGAAAGCTATTGAATAATACTGTTGAAATTTCATGAAAAAATATCTATACAAAATAAAAAATGTACTGAATTCCAATTTTGTAATGAAGTGTGTCTCATTTGTCCAGCGTAGTAATACAATTCAGCATTGGTTTGGAGTCATTTGGTCACAATATGGAAATCATTGAAAACACCTTCTGAATTTTCCACTGATATCAGTTATAAAGAGGTGTGTCTCATTTGCCCAGTGTAGTGATGTGTGGTATGGGATTGAAATCACTTGGACACTACCTGGAAGCCATTAAAAAATGCTGAAATTTCATTCATTCATTTTCCGTAACCGCTTATCCTCTTCATGGTGCATAAAGCGAACAGTAATTTGTTGATAGTCCCTGTGTCATCCTCCGGAGGTTAAACGCGAGGTTCCTGCATTTGAGTTAAACGCCCTCCTGCTGCCAACACTGGGTGAAACACAATCACTTCACCGCGGTCCCTCACATTCAGTTTGGTCAGCCCTTCACCTTCCAGTGGCACAATTCGCGTTGTATAACACTCTGGTCTTAAGGCTAGCTGGAATAAGCTATAATTAAGCTAGTTTAGCTACTTTTATTTCACCGTATGCAGACTTCTAAAGTTACAGACCAGGCCAGGTTTAACTTGCCTGCTCTCCGGCAGCGCAGTATGGAGCGGACCTCCTGCACCGTCCTCCGGTGTGTCAGTTTTTCGTCCAGCACTGGGTGTCTGTAACGTTTCGGGAACCTTTCTTTCACAATAGTCGGCTTTCCCAGAAACTCTGTCCGGTAGACCCGAGCTTCTGCTCCTTGTTTTAATAACTCCGCTTTCCTGAGGAGCTCTGAGACCGCCATGCTCTTCTCCTGGGCCATGTTTACTTCCGGTCTCTTTCTACTGTCTGCTGTCCTCCTGCTTCCTCAGCTCTGTCTCTACAGGCTGCCATCTAGCGGCCACCAATGGTACACACAACCTTTAGAAGGAAATGTCACACTGACACGGGGAAATGAAAAGAAAAGTTCTTCTCCCTTTAAACATCTCTAAATCTCCGTACAGATATATTTATATAAACTAAAGCTCCCTTACTTTATCCAGTAGCAGATCTAATATTTCCTCTATAATCAGGTATGTTATTTTAATACTCATCTGGGGAAAATGACTAATAATTGCAAATGTCTGTCCTTTTTGTCCCAACAGACTAGATAGTACATTTACAATCTACTGATAGGATAATATATATGCTATCTGCCTACCTCTGTCCTATGTACATCTGACCTTGATATTCATGTGAAAAATAAAAGGTATACCATAAGGCTTTTTCTTCTCAAGTAAATTTACTATCAAATATGGTTTCTTTAGATCTGAAGTGATCTGACTTTTGTTTTTCTTCCATCCATCCATCTTCTAACCGCTTCATCCTCTTGAGCGTCGCGGGGGGGCTGGAGCCTATCCCAGCTGACATCGGGCGAGAGGCAGGGTACACCCTGGACAGGTCGCCAGACTATCGCAGGGCTGACACATAGAGACAAACAACCATTCACACTCACATTCACACCACAATTTAGAGTTATCAATTAACCTAGTCCCCAATCTGCATGTCTTTGGACTGTGGGAGGAAGCCAGAGTGCCCGGACACGGGGAAAACACGCAAACTCCGCACAGAGGGTCTCCCACACCCGGGATCAAACCGGCAACCCTCTTGCTGTGAGGTGACAGTGCTAACCACCACACCACCGTGCCGCCCCTTTTGTTTTTCTTGACAACCATATTTCTTTTTATTAGACACACTACCTGTTATTATACTGTATTTGTTTGACTGTCCTTAAGGAGGAACAAGAAGGACTTATTGCTGCTCCATCGCTCTTCTGTTGCTGAGACCCTGACCTCTGACCTCCCAAGAAGAAACAAGAGGACAGAGAATGTCACGGCAGAGCAACACATAAACTAATAATATTGATTACTTTTATGCATATTATTTAAAATGACAATTAATATGCTTCTGCTACCTCTGGAGTTACTGTAATAATTCAAGAATACAACTGCTGCTGTTGTATTCTTAGTATAATACTACAACTGTGCTCTGCTTCTGCTGTTGGAAGAATTTTAACCAAAACTGTTTTATATGAAAGATGTGCATGCTTTAAACCCAGGTTTTGTTAATAACCAATACTAGAGAGCAACTAAATCTAATCAAAGGTCTCATTTAAAACAGTAAAAATGTGGGCAGCCAGTAGCTCACCCGGTAAAGCGAGCACCCCATGTAGGTTTAATTCCACCCTGCAGTCCTTTGCTGCATGTCATCCCCTCTCTCTCCCCCTTTTTAACATAGGATTTATACTTCTGCATTGAATCAACAATGCACCTACAGTGTTTATGCCATAACCTACACCATAGACTGACATGCACCTCCCCAGAAATATAACTACATATTGTGGCGACGCAGACCTCCTGTCTGTTTTTGTAAGCAGAAAACCATTTCCCTCAGTGGAAACAAAGCTTTTATTTACTTTTATTTCACTAATGAGAAACAATAAATTGTCAAGATTACCTTTATTACCTTTGTTAAATGTTGCTATTGTCCCTGGCTTCATATGAGGAGAGGAAATCTCTGCTAGCCGCTAAGGTAATTTATACAATGTATTATGCCATAGGCTTGTGCTAATAACATTAGTATGTTGTATTTGTGGGGGAAGTGTGTCCAGCAAGTGTTTTGTCTGGTTATTATGAAAGCTGATTTGTGTACTTGTGTTTGAAATTGTTACTATGAAGCCATGTTTAATGTGTGTTTTGGGTGTGTTTTAAATCAATTAAATTTAACAGCACTTCACAGAAACCCCACAGTCTACCAGTGTTTTGGAGGTGTAACTGCAGAGTGACACAGACTCACCACTACCCCAGTATAAATGCTCACAGTGGCACAGGCCACATGCGCATGCTACGGCATGGGCTCTGCATAGAGCTGATGCACAAGTACAATTCCGGTTGGTTCTGGTTCTTTAATCGTGCCGAGCTGTGAGCAGTGTGTTCAGCCTCTATAGGACTTTTCCTTCCTGGGAAAATTGTACAACGAAGTTGTCGACCTCTGGCGTCAAAACTTCGCCAACAAGTTTCTCCTCCTGCAACTTGACACTGCTGCCACGTAGCTCAGACTTCCTGAAGAGCCACAAGTTTCCAGGAGCATCTTCCACGGTGAGTCCTTTTCTCTTCCCAGATGTTTCAATATAGCCTATAAGTCCACAGAGGAATAAAGTATCTCTAGAGCTCAGAACAATGTTACAAACACAGCGATGCAGCTGCCTGTTGTATTTGCCTGTCCCGTTAACAGCAGCTTGAACTCCTGGACGGACAAACTGTGTGAGTCGATGAATAACGGGCTGTTGTCCACAACACTAAGTGTTAACTCTTATCAGGAGCTGGGAACAGGGAGGACTGGGGAAAGATTGTAACTGGTCAAGCAAAGAGTCTGTTGTTCTTTCAGTCTAAAGGACAAAACTGTAATGTAGCTGAGTACTGTACAGTTCTGACTGAGCACCACTTCATACTTTTACTCCACAGCAGTGTAGTGGGAATATTGTGCTCCACCACATTTATCTGATGATACTGGTTACTTTGCAGATGAGGAATTTCTGTACAAAACATATAAAAGCTAATGAAAAATTATGCACTGCGATATAAAACTGCTCAGCAGTATACAAAGCACTTAACTAGCTCCCTCTTGACCTGACTTGTTATTTATGGGAGGGGAGAAGGTGGGAGGCATGGCAAATATATTTCAAGCACTAGGGAGGGACTTGTGATTTAAAAAATATATATATATATTTTTGGTTTAGGGGAGGGGGCATACAACTTTAAATGACTGTATTTTGTAGTTAGTTGACCGCCACTTTTTTTAAAAGCATTTTTTTGGGGGGATTTTTTAAAAAAAACTTTATTTCTACATGTCATGGCTGTATTTGAACTTCAGAAATTTAGCTTCAACTTTCAGCTTTTAACTTTCAAACATTAAAGGGTTAGTTTTAAAAACCTAAAAACCACCAACTGATTGAGGGAGGGTCATGTATTTTCTGCCAGTCACTCAAGGAGGCTCAAGGAAAAATATTTGTAGCTTGGGGAAGGGTCGAAATAAAAAAAAAAAAAAAAAAAAAAAAGCAACAACAAATAAGTCACACCCAAGCCACCCCCTCCTTTGATAAATAACAAACAGTCCTTTAGAGCTTTTTGAAAACATGCCTTTCAAAGTCATATTTCACCAGTAAAATAAATACAAAATACAGCCATTTGAAGTTGTATATCCTTCCCCTAAGCCACAATAAAAAACGAGTCAAAGAAATATTTGACATGCCTCCCCCTTTTTGCACCACCCATCCCCCCTCTTATATGGCAAACTGTCATTTAGGGCGGTGGGGGCCATTTCTGATGGAGTTTTATTTGTGAAAACAGGATTTTTATTTGAATAAAGAATCTGAATGCTTGCTGCACCACTGGATAAACCAGCTTCCACTCTTGACTTGATTCGGGGCTTATATCCAGTATGAGCACTGTAGCCTACAAATATTTGCCTTGCAGTTTCTGGATTTAAATAAAGCCAACTGTAAACTTATTTTAAGCACTCAATAAGCTGTTGCGTATATTTCATGGATTATAAAGACAACCACTGTAATAACAGATTCACTATTCAATTCATTTACCACGCAAATGTCAGACAGATCTGGTTAAACTTCTGAAATGTGAGAATTTTCTGTTTTTCTCAGTTTCGCAAGTATATCATTGTGAGTTGAATATTTTTGAGCTTTAGACTGTTGGTTGGATGACACTAGCCTTTTGCAGATGTCACCTTTGAAATTTAGATGGCAGTGTGATGACAGTTTAAAGGTGAATTGGATCCCTGGTTGTCACCTCAACATAAACAAAATGTTAATGTTATTGCTTCACTGTATCAGCATCAGAAAACATTAGTAACTCATATTTAATTCTTCTCTTGCCTAGGATCTGTATTGAAGATGTGACTGCTGAAGTCAATCCCCTGATCAGTGGTGGAGACATCTGGATCCCAGACTGGGAGAGTAACATGTGAGGAAATGAATGACAATAATAATGATGATGTTAATGAGAATAATAACAATAATGAAACAGTGTAGTCTAATACATTTGATAAAATAGATGGCGGTTAGTGCGCTGCCTGTTTGGAGGAACAGACGGGACTAGCACCCCAGAAGCTCAGCAATGTACTGCTGTGACTTAGGGTCAGCAGCAAAACCTATTTTAGCCACTTAAAAGGCTTACCTAAAAAATCAATACCAGTTGAAGTGGAAGCCAAATTGAGGATAATTTCACCACCCTACCTTGCCATCAGATAACCCTGTCCTTTGGCATTACATTTTCTCAACCGTATATGTGTTCCTATGTAAAAGCTGTTTGGGTCAGACTTTGAACAGTTTATGAAAGAGACAACATTACAAAAACAAAAAACCTGACTCACAGCAACAACGAGATGCCTCTCATTGTGGAGACAAAGGAAACCTTTGTGAACCAGGGTATAGAGAAAAAGAACTTTTGCAGAGGGAGACTGAACAGGATGAAAAAGGGGGGAACGGAAGTGAAAGTATGAATGTCATACAGCTGAGCTAAAGCGGTGAAAAATCCATCCATTTTTGTGACTGATTTTGCTGAGCTGTCTGTATGTAAAACACTGGCTATAGATAAGTACATTATACAGCCCCCTTGTATATTGTGGCTGACCCCTCCCACCCTGGACAAAAACCTCTCAAACGCTCACATGGTGGCAGGAGACTGTGGTCCATCAGGACCAAGACCTAATGCCACAATTACAGTTCCTTCCTGTCTGCAGCTGGTTTCGTGAACAAAGCCCAGGATCCCCACTGACATGACATGACATGACATGACTGTTATCCCCAACAAACAAACAAACACTGCTGAAAACTGCACATTTTAATTCAGACACACTGTACATATTCTTTAATATTTTTTATTATAATTTAATTCTTGTCTAAATGTCTTGATTTTTGCAACACTTGCTTTTATTTTTAATTTCATTTTCTCTTACTGTGTATGTCAATGTACCACTACACGCCATCTATGAAAACCTACTCTGCAATAAATCAGATTTTGATATTAAATCACTGGTTGTTGACACAAGGGTTCAGAATCAGAATACAGTTTATTACCAAGGAGGTTTTCACTTACAAGGAATTTACTATGGCTTTTAGTGCATACATTAAACATACAATAAAGATATTAAGAGCAAATAAAGAATAATAAGGCTAAGTACAGCAACACTCAAGAACATAGATATAGATAGAAAAGTTGTAATAAAAATATGACTGACAAAGGTACTTAAAAAAGACATTACATAAAAAATATGTACAATATGGTGGTTTCAGAATTTACAAAAAAAAAGAAAAGCTGTTCAGTTGTGTAGGCTGTGCAAAAATATTAGTCGGGGAATGTGCAAAAGTTCACAGTAGAGCAAATGTGTGCAAAATACAGAGATAATAGTCTAAGATGTGTTAATGTAACACGTAAAGTCAGTATCAATGGGGATGGGGGGTAAGAGTCCATGTCAGCAGTGTTCCAGGACATTGTTGATGAGGCCCACTGCAGACGGGAAGAAACTGTTTTTATGGCCTGAGGTTTAGGTCCTGCCCTTGTCCTTGATAGTGGCATCAGTGTACCAGATAGTGATGGAGGAAGTCAGGATGGACTCAATGATGGGTTATTTGGCACTATAATAACAAGGTGCACATCATCAGGACTTTAAAAGTTAACCATTACATTTAAAAATAAACTCCAAAAGTAACTTAAAGTCACTGTAGGGACACAGTGATTAGTGATATAGTGAAGTTTCTCTGTTTGAGTTAAAATTGTTTGAATTTTGAACCTTTACAGTAACAATTGATTTTTTGAGTGCATCCACATATTGTTTTCAGTTTTAAACATAGGAATAGAATGGGATTATCATATTATTTCTAAGGTTTTAAATATCCAAAGCTAAATTCCAGTCAGTACTGAACCAAAAAATGAAAACGAGGAGTTTTCCATGTAATTTCCCCGTGGCCTTTAACTTTTCCATCACTTCCAGTTTATTTCTAATAGTTCCTTTGGTGAGTTGTGGAAGTGGCGCTTTTCATCTCATTGGTGTTAATTCCTCCTTTTGTTGTTTCAGATGAACACCAAATCCCCACTGCTCTGTCATTATCAGGCAATGGGATATTTGGTTTTGATATAAGACAAAAAACACTGACTGATTGCTACAGAGCCATGTATTTTGTTGAGTCCATCTCAAGTGGACTCCCTAATGAAATAATGGCAATCAACAATAGGGTTGTCATGGCGACAGGGCTGCAACAGGCTCTTGTTGGCCCCCTTGTCTTTTCTATGAGCAGGACACAAGACTCCCAGTGGGTGCCAGACCAGGAGAGCACAGTCCATATCATTATTATTTTCTGATGTTTTGCTTATATTTCACAGAGGATGTCTTCCAAGAAATGAATCCAGACCTGCACTGCCAGACTGAAATGTGAATATATCAGGACAGAAGCAATGGGTAAGTTATTTTTCATTGTAAGGCAGTTTGGTAAATTGTTACCTTGCAGTGTTTAGTTTTGCTCTAATGTAAAGTAAAGCAATGTCAGTAACAAATGAACGAGGTTCCCCTGTAGGGCTGACTATGTGACCTGTTTAAAGTCAGTGCAGATACTCATACTTTAATGTCGCAGCTGCTGACAGCTGACATTTTCTGCTGAAACCTTTGAAACTACATTTAGACCAAGAGAGGTCACTATTAAAAATATCATATGTGCAAAGATATTCTGCAGTCAGTAAGGAACTGCTTTAAGCTTCGTTTTTCCTCATATCAATGTAAGACAGGGTAATTTTTAATCAGTATTGAAATTCAGCAGCTTTCATTTGGATTTAGGTTGGCCTCATTTGCATTTCTGTCAATAGATAGTGCGCATGAAAGACTCACAGGTTCATGTTAGAAGCAGCTGCAGAGCAGTTGGAGTGATGAATGTGTGATTCATTTGGAACTAACCAAAATGATCCATATAAAACCATTCTGACACTGGATGGACTTTTTACAAAAGTTGAGCTTTGATACATCAAAAACAGGAAGTCTACAGACTGCAATGACTTTATTTTATCTATTTGTAAAGGATCGTGCACAGTATGAAACACATATGCTATCATTTCATGTATTGGGTGAAGCTAATTTACTTCTCTACAAAAATAAATAGGTTATAGTTTGCCTCACTGCAATTCATAGTCAATTCAGAAGTCTGGCACTCTACATTTTTAAGCATATGCAAACTCAATTATCATCTGTATCTCCACAAGTTTTCATTAAAATGCAACCAAAATGGACACAGACATTCTTTGGATGCTAGGTAGGATATTTAAATGGTGGTCAGATCAGTTTAACAGTGAGTCTGCAGTGATATTCAATATCTTGTTTGTACTGTATGCACAATATTTCCTATTCATTCTGTTCATTCACTCTCATTTTTAACCAGATGTCACCAAAATATCTGACACCACACCTAAAACCAGCAGAATGATTTGAGATTTTTTTCAGAATTTAATCACCAATGCTTTGACTGTTGTATGTGCGTTAAGACTAAAAAGAAAAAAAGCTTTGCATGTGACATCATTGCCTCAAGTTGTCAGAGAGAATATGAGAAACCATGGCTTCCTGGTGGCACTGTGAGTAAGTCACTTGTTCTAGGGATACAGAAGTCAAAGATTCAGACCCCTAGTTGGGCCAGTATCATGCTTTTAACTAAAGCCTCAGACAGAAACCAGCAGGTTGGTGTGTGATTTTTGCAGGGTTGTATCCCCAGCTGTTAAATCGTTGTGAATATTTTTAGTTGTGTGACCTCCCTCTCTCTGCCCTCGGCCTCTGGCTCATCCTGTGCTGCTTAATAGCCTAGTGAGCGAGTAAGGTCATCAGGAAACTAGATGCACCTGGGAAGATGACACAAGTTGTGTGCATCCTCCTGTTCCTGCCCATCTTTTATGGACTGTTGTGGTTAAAAGTTGACATGTGTTATCCTGTGGTACTTTATCAGTTCCAAACTAAACCTCCCAATCTCCTGTCACAAGATACCCAGCTATCAGGTGCTTGGTTCTGTGGTTTAGTGGGAAGGTGGATGACTTGTAATGTGAAGATTTCAGTGTGTAAATGTAAGTCATTAGTTACTTTTCAAAAAGTAAACCATCTGAATGTTTTCCTTTCTCCTAGGTAACTCCACCCTCCTGTTGGCCAGTGTGGTGTCCACTCTGGGGGGCCTGGTCTTTGGTTATGAGTTGGGAATTATCTCAGGTGCTTTGCTGCAGCTCAAGGCAGAGTTCAGACTCTCATGTGTCCAGCAGGAGGCTCTGGTCAGCTCTTTGTTAATAGGAGCTCTGCTGGCCTCCATCGTGGGTGGCTCTTTGATTGACCATCGAGGCCGAAGGAACTCCATCCTTCTCAGCAACGTGTTGATCCTGACTGGCAGTGTGGTCCTGCTCATCGGCTCCTATGCTGCACTTTTGGTAGGCAGGATGACAGTTGGCTTTGCCATGTGTATATCATCCATGTCCTGCTGCATCTTTGTGTCTGAGATGGTTAGCCCACACCGCAGGGGCTTCCTGGTAACACTGTATGAAGCTGGGATCACTGTGGGCATACTAGCAGCTTATGCCATGAACTACATCCTGTCTGACTCGAAAAGAGGGTGGAAGTGGATGTTTGGATTAGCTGTAGTACCCTCTGTGATTCAGCTGGTCTCTTTATGGTTTCTTCCATCCAGCACTCAGGAATCTTTAAGTCAAAGAGAGCTCATGACTACCAATGGAAACCAAGAAGCAGATGACTCAAAACTCAGCTCCAGCATGGAAAACAAGATGGTTAAGTACAACAGCATGTACCTTTTCCAGCGTAAGGACAACATGAGAACTCGGACTGTCATTGGCATCGGGCTGGTGCTCTTTCAGCAGTTCACAGGCCAGCCGAATGTTCTCCTCTACGCCTCCACCATCTTCCACTCAGTGGGGTTTCAGAGTGACGCTTCGGCAGTGCTGGCGTCTGTGGGCCTGGGGTTGGTTAAAGTGATTGTTACTCTGACCTCCATGGTGTTTTCAGACAGGGTGGGCAGGAGGCCTCTGCTCATCAGTGGATGCTCAGTTATGGCACTGTGTCTGATTACCATTGGACTCCTCAGTGGACATTCATCAATGAATGCTAAGAGGCCTTGTATTTCTGAGGACTTTAACGTTAACAGAACAGATCTACCTCATTTAACTGTTGGTAATCGGTCAGTTTTTGACATGCCTTTAGATGAGAGCCAAAGACTCCTTGCTAACAGAACACAAGATGAACATATACTTGATAAAGTGACACAGAAAGCAGCGGACATTCCTCTTGCATCCTCCCCTAGCGTCCACGGCACAGTTGTGAACTGGATCATTCTCATCTGTTTGATGGCTGTTGTCAGCGCATACTCCATTGGATTTGGACCAAGTTTGTATTTACAGTTTGTATGATATCCTACGAAAATGCACACAGTTCACTTCATATGATATCCTAATTAGTGCCTAACAGATAACGTCACATCCTTAACGTAAAGTTGTGTAATTAGTGTAAAGTTACGGAGGTCAGGTATAGGAAAAGAAACATGATGGGGCTTAAAATGACTCAAAATTTACACAGTTCCAAACAACAGTCTCCTGGGGAAAGTCTTGTGTCTTGTGACCCATCCATCACCCCAACCTGCCTCCTTATGGACCGCTCAGAACCATTTCATCCTTACTACCATCAGTATATTGGTCACGTGATTGCAGCTTTCCATAACATATTGATCATACACATCCTACTGGCCCATCATTACATGGGATATGTATGAATTTTGGTGCATTCTTTTTCATAGGAAAACAGTGTATAAACATACAAACAGTGCATGTGAACAGTCTGAATACTACACCTGTCCCACGACCTGCACAAATAACCAATTAGTTGTGGAACTCGACCCAATCCGTTGACACAAGATCTGCGCCCGACCCAAAACCACAAATCCGATGATGACCATGTGCTGTTCAAACAATACGGTTAGGCAGCACGTTTAAAATGACAATTTTGGGTCATTTCATACAATTGAATTTAAGATAACATATTTTAAAATGAAAGTCATTCAGGTAATGCAATTTAAATTAATATTCTTTGCAGCGCATCTCCACAGTTAACATGCCGATTAGTAACGCACCTGATTGAAGTTACTCTCGTGTTCCAGCTGTCATAGAAGACAGAGCTGACACACAAGTCAAAAATGTTAAAACATCAAATTCAATTATAATTATTGTCAGTTCATTTTAAAATATATTAATCATCCAGCCTGCATGCTCTTTGTTTAACCCAGAACTGAACCTGTACATAAAATGAAAACAAAATACCACCTGCAAAAATTACCTTATTTCGGGTCACCCGCCAGGTACCCAACCCAATGCAGGACTCTGATTTAGAGCTACACAGGGCAAGTTAATACAGCCATACCATCAGCCTACATTAATAAGCATTGTGGAGTTGCAAGCACGCAAAGTTGCTGAATGTAGCTTTACCATCTTTAGAATGACATTATCCAACATGGAGCCTCACTTTTCAAGTGGATTATTGGAGCTGGGAAATTAAGCAGTTTTTGTTTGTTTGTTTGTTTGTCTTTGACCAGTGACCTGGCTTCTCCTCAGTGAAATATTTCCAGCTGCTATCAGAGGACGGGCATTCGCATTCACCAACTGCTTCAATTGGGCTGCCCACCTGTTGTGCACATTCACCTTCTTAAATTTTGTTGGTGAGTCCCCATCTACCATTTTCACAGTTTTGACTAATCCCAGTCAGAAAAGCGAAGGTGTAACTAACGACATTAATGAGGGTTCTGTTCCATTAACATTTCCCAGTAAGCCAGTGGGTCTACAGTAATAATACCAGCGCCCTGGAACTGGAAAAAGACACAGAAGAGAGCCAAAATGATTCATCACACATGCTTTCACAGCTCAAAATGTTTGCCATGTAAAAGTCCTGTTGAAGTTGTCTGATTACTAACTTGGGCACTAAACATTATCCGCCCACACTGGTTATAAGTAGTTTGATTTGTGGTCTTTATAAAGGCCGATCCCATGAGGCATAACAGAGAGATGTCTGAGCCCCATTTTAACATCACACTTTGCTGCCTCATTGTATCCCTGCATGCACCGCAATTAACAGAAAGCAGAAACATCTGATTGGTTGACGCTTCACCACATTATTAGAGCACTGTAAAAGCTGTGGCACTGTGATGCAGTGGTTAGCATTGTCACCTCAAGGCAAGAGGGTTGTATTTCTATGTTTTGCATAATCAACTGAAACTAAGAATCTTTTTTTTTTCATTAACTCAGAATGAGCCATTTATATCTACATAGGACGTGGGTGCTCGTCCACCTTGTTTTTTTTTTACAGTAGCCCAGAATGGACAATCCAAACACTGGCTCTAGATGGGGCCATTCGTGTTTTCATGTAAGCTGCTGTAGTTCTGCATACTTGACACACGGAAGAAGTTTCAGTTGGTTGCAATCTGTAATTTACCACTAGATGCTATTAAATCCTACACACTGGACCTTTAGTGAAAACACTTGTGTGGGTGGACCACTGTGTAGGACTTAAAGCTAAAAAAAGTATTTAAGAGCAGTCTAAAGATCTAAATAAACATTTCTAATTGAGCGATCTTACAAAAATATGATACGCTTGAGGTCATAAAATCAGTTTGCCAGATAACTCTGTCATTGATAAATTCATTTCCGTTCCTACTTCAAACTCCCAAAATGGTTGAGTCATATTTTCTCTCATGTTGTTCCTCACAAGTGAAATGATGGTCAGCAGAGAATGAACTATGTTTTGAATCAACAGATGCGATTGGTCTGTCAGGGATATTTCTGCTGTACGGGATGACCGCTGTGGCAGCTGGAGTTTTCTTTTATGTCATGCTGCCAGAGACCAAAGGAAAGACTCTGGAGGAGCTCGACAAGGAGCTGCGTTTAAACATGTAGGATCTATACTGTCTCATGAAATACATATAATCATGTCAGATGGTATTCTGAAGCACTGATGTGTGTGTGTCCTTGACCTTATTTTGCAGGTTTAACCACAGGGAAGACTACTGTTGCATCATCAACCGGAGAAACACATCCCCACAGTACCAGAGAGTGCACTGTCACGTCACCTCCTCTGAGTGATTCACTATATGATATCACCATACTGACAGCCACTGGGGTATAAAAACCATGATAGTTTTAGATTGACAGTAGGTTTCACTCTGTTGCACTGAATGTTGGGATATACAGTACAGGCCAAAAGTTTGGACACACCTTCTCATTCAATGCGTTTTCTTTATTTTCATGACTATTTACATTGTAGATTCTCACTGAAGGCATCAAAACTATGAATGAACACATGTGGAGTTATGTACTTAACAAAAAAAGGTGAAATAACTGAAAACATGTTTTATATTCTAGTTTCTTCAAAATAGCTACCCTTTGCTCTGATTACTGCTTTGCACACTCTTGGCATTCTCTCCATGAGCTTCAAGAGGTAGTCACCTGAAATGGTTTTCCAACAGTCTTGAAGGAGTTCCTAGAGGTGTTTAGCTCTTGTTGGCCCCTTTGCCTTCACTCTGCGGTCCAGCTCAGCCCAAACCATCTCAATTGGGTTCAGGTCCAGTGACTGTGGAGGCCAGGTCATCTGCCGCAGCACTCCATCACTCTCCTTCTTGGTCAAATAGCCCTTACACAGCCTGGAGGTGTGTTTGGGGTCATTGTCCTGTTGAAAAATAAATGATCGTCCAACTAAACGCAAACCGGATGGGATGGCGTGTCGCTGCAGGATGCTGTGGTAGCCATGCTGGTTCAGTGTGCCTTCAATTTTGAATAAATCCCCAACAGTGTCACCAGCAAAACTCCCCCACACCATCACACCTCCTCCTCCATGCTTCACAGTGGGAACCAGGCATGTGGAATCCATCCGTTCACCTTTTCTGCGTCTCACAAAGACACAGCGGTTGGAACCAAAGATCTCAAATTTGGACTCATCAGACCAAAGCACAGATTTCCACTGGTCTAATGTCCATTCCTTGTGTTTCTTGGCCCAAACAAATCTCTTCTGCTTGTTGCCTCTCCTTAGCAGTGGTTTCCTAGCAGCTATTTGACCATGAAGGCCTGATTCGCGCAGTCTCCTCTTAACAGTTGTTTTAGAGATGGGTCTGCTGCTAGAACTCTGTGTGGCATTCATCTGGTCTCTGATCTGAGCTGCTGTCAACTTGCGATTTCTGAGGCTGGTGACTCGGATGAACTTATCTTCAGAAGCAGAGGTGACTCTTGGTCTTCCTTTCCTGGGTCGGTCCTCATGTGTGCCAGTTTCGTTGTAGCGCTTGATGGTTTTTGCGACTCCACTTGGGGACACATTTAAAGTTTTTGCAATTTTCCGGACTGACTGACCTTCATTTCTTAAAGTAATGATGGCCACTCGTTTTTCTTTAGTTAGCTGATTGGTTCTTGCCATAATATGAATTTTAACAGTTGTCCAATAGGGCTGTCGGCTGTGTATTAACCTGACTTCTGCACAACACAACTGATGGTCCCAACCCCATTGATAAAGCAAGAAATTCCACTAATTAACCCTGATAAGGCACACCTGTGAAGTGGAAACCATTTCAGGTGACTACCTCTTGAAGCTCATGGAGAGAATGCCAAGAGTGTGCAAAGCAGTAATCAGAGCAAAGGGTGGCTATTTTGAAGAAACTAGAATATAAAACATGTTTTCAGTTATTTCACCTTTTTTTGTTAAGTACATAACTCCACATGTGTTCATTCATAGTTTTGATGCCTTCAGTGAGAATCTACAATGTAAATAGTCATGAAAATAAAGAAAACGCATTGAATGAGAAGGTGTGTCCAAACTTTTGGCCTGTACTGTATGTGTGATATCTTTGTGAAAATTTGTTTTGTGTGATCATGTGTGATGTTGTGTTGCAGTCATATCAAACATTTTTACAACATAGAGGTCTATGTTGTTCTACTTTACATAACTGCAGTTTCACAAAGCAGAAAGTGACTGTAAAGGACATTTTGGGTGTGTTCATTTACATTTTTGCTGAAAAGTAATTCAGTTTGCACAATCACCTGTGGAGTTGTTTTTTCGCCTGTATGATCATTTCACCACTCTAGTGTGTTTCCCCTTCTGCAATGAAATTGTATTGTTAATGGGACAATTACAAATGAAACAATGACCCTCTGAGTTTCAAATGATTCCTTAGCCTTGAGCCCTCGATGTAATACGCTATTTCTTCTTAGCATGGCCACACTGAGCTGTTAGGGGATGCAGGGGAAGGCATTCACTGTTGCTTCCAAGTTCTCTGGAGGAACGGTGTGCAAATATGCAAATCCTAATATTACTCTCCCTATGATTGTCAAGTATTTATTGCCTTCATTGGTTGGATTGGGCTGTGTTAAGCCCTGACAAAACATAGCGAAACATTTAATTAAACAGAAACGGTGGTGCGTTGAATTCTCTGTTGTTGGGTGTCATTCAGTTCAGTTTAAAGGGGCTTTATTGGCATTATGGGAAACATATGTTACATTGCCAAAGCAAGTGTGAAATAAACACAATAATTGTATGTACAATATGTAAAGATCAATTAGAATTTAGTTTATATCCATGTTGCTGCTGATTGGGTAACACCTCTGACAAACTCACAAAACGAGAAAACAAACGTCAGAGCCCGTTTCACATCGTTTTACACCCTTTCCAGGAAACATGTCGTTCAGTCGGGAAATAGCAAAACAGTGCACACATTTTAAGATTGAATGTGCCTTTGGTGAGGTTTAGGAAGGAGAAGTGGGGTTGGTTAGGGTAAGGGTAAGAATCTGTGCATTCCAACACCTTTACTACCATACTATATAGTATGGCAAAAAAAATACTTTGTCTCAAAATATACAATGTCAAATGCTGAACAACAGAAATATGAGGATGTCCTGCTACGTGTGGTCGTATTTTGCAGTAAGAAAGCCAGCATGAGAGAGAGCTCTGCTGTTGTTACCTTGCGATGTATGTAGTTTAACTTTTAACTTAAACCTGCATGTAGTGGTTATTCTTGGTCCCATATAACCACTATGATGGCTGAGCAAAAATATGTCTGATTCGATACATCCAAAAAATCCAAAAATCAATCATTATTTATTATAAACAAAAAAATAATACAACACTCAGAAGGCATAAATTTAAGTCTAAATAAGGATTGTTAAGACAAACTAAGGATTCTATAAAAATAAAGGCAAGGACAGTCTCTGCATCCGGCCCTGAGGATGTGAGGTTGAAGACTTTCCCTCCTGCTCCAGCCACACCCTCCAGGCAGCCTCCCTTTGCTTTATCCTCACTCATACACAGCCACAACATGTGGTCAACTCAGGCAACAGAAAGGGGTCAGAGTTTGCTAATATAATTTTGGCTCCCACACTGCATACATTGTAGAGTCAAATATTCACTATAATATTCACAATAGTAAAATAACATAGGCATTTCTTTGTCAATTATTCTCATCGTTATGTCCTTTTGTTGGTTATCTTTATGATGATTTTGTTCACTTTAACAATTAACATTCCTATTATTACTAATTGACTGCTCATCTGTCATTGCAGCTTCTGACAGCTGTTAAGAGCTATCATCTGTTCGTGGTTCATTCGATGTGACTGTGCAGAGAATTGTGGGTCAGAATAGTCGGACAAGCACGTTGACTTGAAAACTGCAAAATACAGCCAGATGTAGTAGGACATCCTGTATTTTGGGCATTCTGCATTTGACATACTATGCACTGGGACATACTAAATCTTTTCTGGCATACCATATAGTGTGGTAGTGTAGGTACTGGAAAGCAGTGACTTGCCATACCTTGAGCCTTTTTCTTAAAACCAAGAGCAACATCTAGTGGGCTCAGAAAATAAAGGAAATGGTTCATAGGGCTTTGTTTGCCATAACTACTGGCCACAAAGTAATCCACTACTAATGTGTCTCTTTGGAAGACACTGGCAAAAAAAAATCAGTACAGTCCTTGTTTTATGCAAAAATGCATCCTTTAAATACAGAGGTGATTTTGTAGTAAAAGACTAACATTTGGCTTGAGAAACAATGCCTTTAAAGACTAGAAAACTTTCATTTCATTATACACAACAAAAGTTCCATGACTTTTCCAAAACTTTCATTTTTTTTTTCTAATTCCATGACTTTTTCAGGCCTGGACAACAATAATGTTAAATCCGTTTATATCTATATAGGGAGCAGGTCCTCCTCTACAGAGACCACAATGTTGCAGCACCATGTTTATGCAGTAGCCCTTAACAGACAAACTAAACATCGGCTCTAGGTAGTGCCATTCATGTTTTCACGTCGACCAACATACTTGGTAGCCCCTCCGCAACATGCATCAGAAAAATACTGTATATATGTTTATTATGGTTTAAATCACCTGATCCATTTGTTTTGAGAGGAAGAGACCTCTGTGGATAATTCACCTCCCACTAAACACCTCCTGTACATCTGGATCTTAAGTTATCAGAGAAAAAGGTAAGCACAAATTAGCAAGTGCTAAGATAGCAACCTGTCTTTGACATGCCAAACAGCATAGGAGAAACACAGATTTATAAAAAACAAACTGCTTTATTCCATGATTTTACTGGTTTAAATCACCTGGTCTGTTTGTTTTGGAAAATAAGAGAACTCTGAGGATAATCTGGCTCCCTGTAAAAACCTCCTGAACAATGAACACAAGGAATTCTAAACTTAAGTTTCAGCTCTTGGAATTTGCAGTCCTCACCGCTAGATACTACTAGGGGCTTATTAATACTCCACATTAGATACTGATACAGTGGAGTACGGAGCCTTCTGAACATTCACTTGATTCATTTAATCCGTATTTGTGCACGTTATCTGAAAGCCTGCAGATACAGATGAAACCGAGCAGTACCACTGGAGTTCGTGGAAGCAACCGTTGGAGATGACAAAGAAATTCAAATGTTGGTACATAAACAATCAGTAACATAGTGAAAAGCATTTTCCGTCCACATGTTGTGATGTATATAATGGCTGCACTGACCACTGCTTTCTATAATGCTGCCTCTGTTTATAGGTACAATATTACAACCTCCTTCTTTGTTGAATGAAACTTTTAACTCTGCCCTCTAGGGCCATCTCTTGGTCGTATCTATGCCATCGTAAAGGAACCATGGAAGTATGAGGGTAGTGATGTTCACAAGCGCATCTATTTTCGTACGTAAAGGGAGTATAATTGAGCCTTAATTCTCCCATAATCTTACACACCAGACCTTCTATAATTTGCATTTTGTAACATGATGCAATGTGATCTGTGTATGTGAGAAGGGTGGTCTGTGTGAACATGACAGACATAAATCAGTCAGATGTACCTGATAAATAAAACACGTGTTTATTTACACAAATATTTTCAAATACTAGTCTTCTACATAAGGACATAAAAATATATACAGTGATGTAGGGATTCAAACTGCTCCGTTCTCAGGTCAATGTATACATGTTCTGATTTATTTGCATTTTTCAGGTTTGGAAATGAAAAAGAAAAAAAAAATGCGTATGTACAGCAGGGTCTAAAACTTACACTTTCAAACTCTGGCACTAAAACACAGGGAAAACTCTACCCTTCAAGTGCTATGCAACAATTCAGCTCCAGTATTTCCCTCAACATGTTGGTGAAGGCCAGTAAGCTGTCTTACTCATCACAAAGCTTCCCCATGTCACTACACAAGAGAACTTTCCTCCAATACTAACAGCACTTCAGTCACCTGCAGAGGATTATTCTATCATGTTGTCATCTTTTTTCACTAGATCCCACATTGTCAACCTGCAATACAGTATCTCCATGAGTAACTCCCACTAAACAAAACTAGGTTTGGTCAGTCTCTTCTTCCAACCAACTGAGTAAACTTTGGTTATGTCTTGAAGTAATTCAAGAAAAGCCACTTGAAGTAATTCAAGGAACTGGAAAGCAGCACGTTTGAGAAACCATTTCTTTTGAGAACCTGAATGAACCTTACCTGGCTTCTTAAGAGATCATAGTACAAGACTAGAGTCGATCAAACCACTTGATGGTGATGAACCTTATCCAGCAGTCCAGAACATTTCAGTACAAAACTAATTAATAACGGATGACTTGACGGAGAGTCGCATATCAAAAGAAGACTGGTGATCCGGTTTGGTAAGAAAGGCAAGACAAAACTACTCAGGCAGAGAAAGTGTTGAAGTGTCATTGTGTTCACATATACCTGGAGCACTGAACAGCACCAAACACTTCCAAAATGCTGTGATCTGGAGGGTGTTTAGACTCATCTGGGGAGGTAAATTAAGTGTCATCAGGTCTTGTTTTTGATGATGCTGCAGTAGTAAACTATACAGGATGTGCTCCTTTTGGTCCTGATAGCCAACATCTTTCTTTTGCCTTCTGCTGATGTACATATTGACCACTGCCTTCACAATCCAAACTAAACACACACGGGGGGGGGGGGGGGGCTGTTGAGGCCCCGAATCAGCCCTGGATGACAATTGCTCTCTGACTCATCACACACAAACACACACCCCTTTGTATTCACTACGGCTTGTGGGAAAATGAAAGGAATACCTGTATATTTCAGTTACACAGAACATTCATTTCAGATGTCAGGTTAACAAGTTCATTCAAGGAGGAAAAGGAACGGAAAAACATCGTTCTCTTCTTAGACGATGGCGTCCTTCAGCCAGAAGGTGGGTGAGGCGCGGTCACACTGAGTTATGTTGGATGTGGTGAGGGCTGGTAGAGTGGCACCTGTCTAGTTTCCCCCTCCCCAGGCTGGGTGGTGATGGGGAGGGAGAGCCTGGGGAGAGGGGGTAGGGGGGGTGAATGTGGGGTGGGGTGTCACTGCGGGGCACCAGCAGCAGCGGGCACCGGGGCGCTCAGGACATTGGTGGCAGCAGACAGGACCGGCGAGCCAGTGAGAGGGCCCAGGGCAGTGGACGCTGGCAAGGCAGAGATACCTGAGGAAAGGAGAGCCACAGAGACAGTTGGAAAACTGATCCAAAACACTGTGTTCAGTCACCAAACAAACATGCAAAGAGGGTGTGGTTAACTGGGGCTGGGCTTTTAATTACACTTACCACACCAGACACTGCCAATCTAACTGACCCCATTAAAGTCACGTCAATATATTTAATACATGTCAACTTCAGACAGACTGTCAACTACTCATCAACCTCAACATTCAATACTAGTTGTATGTCACCCTATGTAGAAACAAAGCACCACTGCATGAAGCTTCACTCTGCATTGTTCCACCTGGCATTTTTTTGATGATGTGAATGACCATGAGTGCCCTCTATGTGAAGCTCTGCTGAGACCACAGAAAAATAATGGACGTAGCTACCGTGACGTCACCCTCTTGTTTTTAAGTCTCGAGTTCTACCTTTCAACCATTGCCGTCTTGGAATTTATAAAAAAATATATATAAATATATATAAATATAATTAAAATCGATACTTGGCACTGTGTGACAATACAAACCAGGAAACAGCTCTGCAAAAATTGAAGGATGTTTTTACAACAACTTTAATGTTAGCCTTTGTTCTTACTTCTCAATCAGTGGCTTTAATAATCTGATTAAACAGAGCAAATATTCCAAACCTGTCTAACCACTTGTGAGCACTTTGTTGTAAAGCTCTGCTCCAAGATCTCAATACGTAGGTAGAATAAAAACATGGGATCAGCGGGCAGTATAACAATTTAATGATGTGTGCGTGTGTTCTCACCAGTGATCATGCTGGCTGTGCTAACAGCCGTGTTCCCACTGGGCAGGTTGGCTGATCCGGCCACACGAGACTGATCTTTCACGATGGGGACTGCAGCAACAAAAAAAGAAAATCAATTATTTATTTTTTCATTACTATTACAGATTGTGATTTCATTCTTGCTAACAAAAATACACTGGCCATTTATGAGGGCTTACAGAAGTAAGGGTGATCCATGGCCTCGCGGGCTGTCAGCCGGGCCTGGTGGTCATAGCGCAGCAGCTTGTCCAGGAAATCCAAAGCCTCAGGGCTGACCAGGTGCTGGTTCTCACTGTGGACAAACCGCTCCCACCGCTTACGAGAATGCCTGAGGGCAAGAGACACATTTAAGACTACAAGTATCTGATTAGACTTTTTTGTGAAATTGTCTGTCATAATTAGTAAATACATTATTGAGTTATGGCCAAAAGGTGTTTTGAGAGGTCACATTGACCTTTGACCACCAAAATCTTATCAGTTTATCCTTGAGTCAAGGAGTCAAAAGTCCTGGAGAGGCTGCATAAGGTCTCCAGCCATGCCTGTTGCCAGCGCAGAGGCATAAAAATAGCATTTGACAATTTACAAGAAGAAAGTGTACCGTGGACACAGACAGAAAGTTCAATGATCACAACCACAGAGCGGCATGCATAAAGCAGAGATGAACTTAAGCTGTTACATTTAAAATACTGTAATTTGGGCCAGTTTTTGGGTTCACTATTGATAGTATGTAGATCTTTTTCCCCAACATAAGTGCTGAGGACAGTTACAAAATAAAAGCCTGCATACCAAAGACCCTATTATCATCATGTGATAATGGTAACCGCTCTCACCTTCCCAGAATGTCGTTAAAGCGAGGTTCCAGTTCAATATTGTACTTGTCAATGTAGTCGTAGAGGTCCTCAGTACCCAGAACCTTGGCTATTCTCACCAACTACAGTAGCACAAACAAGGAACACACAATTTGTCAGCTCTGTAAGACAGAATTTAACCCTTTCAGACACAAATCTACTCAAACCCAGAGAAGTCAGCTATAGAAAATACTGGCCAGTGACCACTCAAATGAGATCTGTGGCCAGAAAAGCCATTCCATGTCATGTGAATACTATTAAAAAAAGCAACCACAGTAATCATGGAAATCATAGCTTGACATACGTGTAGCTGCTTCTCAGCCCATAGCCTTCCAATAAAGAGAATTGTGTTGTGCTGCCTTAACAGTAAAGTAGCTGTGGACAGCTAGTAGGAGAATTTGGCCCTGTCAGCCAACCTTGCTTTGTGTTTACCTGGTCATAGTTGTCATGGCCATGGAAGAAGGGCTCCTTCCTGAAGATCATGCTCGCCAACATACAGCCCAAGCTCCACATATCCAGACTGTAGTCATACATCTGAAACATACACACAAAACACACACAGTTCAAGTCTCAAATGGAGCACAGATAGAATGAAAGCAAAGACCAACCAGATACAATTTAAATGAGCACTGATGTATCATGAAGAACAAAAAGATACATTAACAATGCAGTTCGTCTCTGGCAATCAGAAACAAGCATGTAAGCTTGTTTGAGCCTTCAACTGCAGCAGGGATAGTTCAGGTAGTGTGGTTCTGTTGACACCCAAGAAGATGTGGTGCATATCAATAGGGTTGAGCTGAATAATCAGACAAAGTATCCAGAACAGATAATGTTCTTTTTACAAGTATGAGTACCATCCAAGTAAAATGTGCCAATACCCGTACTTATGATGAAGGAAAATCCTCATTTGGTTAGCTGTGTTCAGTCTCTTAATCTTGTGATCATAAATGATCTGAAGCTCAATCTTGAGCTTGTTCTATAAATAGATTTATACTTAGAAATAAGTAAAGCAAGTTCTGATCAACCCATGTCAATATCAGGTTTTAATAACTACTTCTGGTTGATCCCATCCATTCTTAATTTAAACCCCACCCACTTCCAAATTAAACCCACCCATTCAGAGTACAGATAAAGAAATGGTTGAACAGACACAGACAGAGATAATGATGTACTCACCCACCCCTACATATCACAAAGATTAACTTTATCCAGTGTTTCCCCAACACAGAGCTGCCTGTGGTACACTGACACAGATTTGTTATGGCTGCATGATAATCATAAATGATCTGATTCTGATATCTTTAATCAACTCATAAAGGTGTGTCTTCACGTGCACAGGTAGAGGATCAGGACTGTTACAAATATTGTTCAAAATGTTTCTAATGCTGTGTTCAGATGGTTATTATTACCTGAACATTACCATCCATGAGGTAACATCAAATCCATTGAGACAGCAATAATTAACTGTATATCATCATCAATAATATAAGAATGATACTTTTAAGTGATCCGTTATGGATCAAGCAAGACTACTTTGCATTTTTTTCCGTTCACCTCACGATGGCAGGACAATCATACAGTTTGTAGACATTCACCAAGTAAGAACTACACTGGCTGAACTAATGTATTTTTAGACAGATGGTAAACAAGCAAATGAACAGTTAACTAGCAGCAGGTATATCATGGTAGCATATATGACCACAGGGCTGCTGCTTCCAAAAGCTTTGGAAGGTTGAATACTTTTTCACTAAAAGATTAAACAGTTATGGTTGTGTAATTTGTACGGGATTTTTTTTTTTAAGCCCATATGATGTGGAAGGCAGTTGGCCCCCAGGTATTTTCATATTATCGAATCTGGCCCTCACTCAAAAAAAGTCTGGACACCCCTAACCTAAAGCATACAAGCCCACAGCTGTACCTGATAGTCCACCAGGAGCTCAGGTCCTTTAAAGTAGCGGGAGGCGACTCTGACGTTGTACTCCTGTCCTGGGTGGTAAAACTCGGCCAGACCCCAGTCAATAAGGCGCAACTGTGGACAAAGAAAAGAATAAGTTGGCAACTACAAGCAGATGGTGCATTTATTACTGTTTAATGCAGTAAAGTGAACAGAGTTACTTATTTGTCACACATTACTGAATTGAGTACACAATGGGAAAAAGGAAGAGAAGTAGAGACATAGCAGCCAAACAAAAAGCTACATAACAGCAATAATCATTGTCTTGTGGCTAAGGTTGGAGACAGTGACTGACGGGGTCACTCACCTTGCGGTGTTCATGATCAATCATCACATTATGTGGCTTCACATCTCTATGCATGATTCCCATGCTGTGGCAGTAGTCCAGGGCCTACACACAAGGGCAAAGACACTTTGTTATTCATTGGTCACGCAACTTTTTTCTTACCAGTAATTCCAAAATCGCAACAGATTACAACAAGATGGTGCCAACACACACAATGTTGATGGCCTCAACAGAATCAGACTACACGAGAACTTGTTTAAGGACATAATACCTTGCCACCCGCAGGACATTTAGAGGTTAGAGATGATGAGTTTAGAGGCAGCTGAATCGGACTCACCTTGAGGATCTCGTACATGTAGAATCGGATGTCATAGTCTGTCAGGGTCTGGTACAGTTGCTGGAGACCAAAACAATGTCATTAGTGGGAAAACATGAATAATTTGACTACTAAATATCATCGATAAAATCTATTTGCATTGAAGGTTTGTTTAATGTATATAACTGTATATGGTGCACTGTGTTTCACACAGCTGATTTTTACTGTAACACAAGATGCTTATGCTGTGGACAGGTGCTTTGAAGGTGACACCTCAAAAGACAAGATGTGATTTGATTGCAAAATGAAGAGACAGAAAATGATGCACAGTGTCCTCAGTTTGGGATCACTTCAAGCTGAAACAAAACGAGAACTCTGTACAGTGCATCTACTGTAAAACTAAACTAGTCTACCAAAACAGCACAGCATCAATGCTTCAGCGTCTTAAAAGAAAGCATCCAGTCTGTGGAGCTGATCCGCAAAAAGGTCCAATTAATGTTAGCATTTAATGTAAATCAATATGATTGCTCATTGAGATGAAGGCTCATGAAGAATGTATGATGGTTAAATATGCCAATTTTCAAACAGCTCTGTGTCGTTGCAATGTGGGCAGTAATGTTAAATGCAAATGAACAACGCTCAGCCCGCTCTGGTCTGCAAGCACCTGGAGCTGCCCGCTCATCCCCTAGATGACACGAAATGTGGGGACCCCTGCCGGCAGATGAGTGGGCAGCCCCAGGCAGCTCGTAGAGAAGACAAACACCTTTGATCTGAACAAACTGCACAAACTGCCCACACTGTGGTGACACAGAGTTGGTTTAAATTCATCAGTTTCCCTTGTAAGAACGTAAACCAATATGGTGGCTGGTTAGCCTTCCAGAAATTGACTGCAGCATTTTATTTTCTGTCGCAAAACTAAGCTAACTTAGGTAGCCAATTTGTGAAAGCCTGGGCTTTCACAGGCAGCATGCTTTCATGGATCATGCATCACTCACATAAACCTGTGGAAATGTGCCAGTGATTGAGGATAGAACCAGAAGATGGTCAACTTTCTGGCACCGAAGACATAGCACTGGACTTTCATATTCCTCCATCACATACACACACGTGTACAGAAGAACGACGAGTATGCCAAGAAAGGAGGTTTCTATAATCTTACACAACAACGTTTTATAGAGGACAGAAAAAAGTTTAGTTCCTACCTTAAAGTCCGTGTTGTTAACATGCTCAAAGACCAAGGCGGGTGTCCGGGACTGGGGGGGGGGGGGGGACGACATAAAGGTTGTGTATTTAATGTGTTGCAGTCTTAACCAACGATATCTACCAGCAGGCGCAGTTCATTTTATCTGTTTGACTAAAACAGCAACACAGTTAAAAAGGTATGGCCCTGTACAACTCTGTACAAACTAATCAGGCAGCCACTAACTAGAGTGAACTACAGCTACAACTAACCAACCAACTTTCACCATCTATTCATTGGTTTATATTCTATTAATCAGCCCCTAAACTCAAGTTGCCAGAGCTCAAGTGATGTCTTAAAACTGTTGTTTGTCTGAGCAGCAATCAAAGGGTATTTTAAAGTGCATTTAAATAACAATGATGCAAATAGAGGAAAGCAGAAAATTTTAAAGTGTTCTAACTTCATGACTGCTTTGCGTTTATCGGTTTTGAGCATGTTCAGCAATTTCTCTTTAGTCAATTGGTTAATCAAGTCATTGTTTAAGCATTTTAAATGTGTATAAAACGGTGCTTCCTAAAACAGAGCTCTCCCCAGGATCTTTTATTACAATGGGGGAAGATGAAAAGTCTAGGTTTACAACTAAGGATAAGAAATTGCAAGTCTATCAACTGTCTTTACAACTTATTGTATAGTTTGTTATTGGTAGAAGATTGTAAAAAAAAGTCCTTAAAAAGTTCTCAGTCCAAAGTGAAGTCTTTTAATGTTTTGTTTATCAACTATCCAATCCCCAAGATATTTAAATCAAAATGATATCTAACAAAGAGTAACAGAAAAAAACACATACATTTAACAAGCTACAGCAATACATTTTTGACATTTTTACTTAAAGAACCACTGAATTATTAAAACCATAGATTGGCTAATTGTTTTGGCTCAGAGCACATGTGAATTCAAGATTTATTTGCTGATCGTTTCGTTGCTGTAGGACTGCACGATAATGGCCAAAATGTTTATTATGTTTATCAATATTGAGATCAGGATTATTTACCACAATTATTCATTGTTTTAAGGATGAAAAAGTTTTAAATGATAGAGCACTGCTTTCACTTCCATGTTATGCTACATTCCTGCTAATGCACTATTCTTTGCATCAAAATAAAGCTGGTCCTTATTTAAAGTGCATCTCAAAATGTAAATTTAATTGTACCAAAAAGTTTCACCAAAAATGAAATCAACAGAGCACTGCTTTCATATTCACCTTGTTCCTGTTAATTAAAGGAGCTATATGTAAGAAATCTAAAGCAAATAGTCGTAAAATCATCCTAATATGTCACAGAGACTAAGGAATAATGTTCATATAACATACTGATCTCACCGACAACAATAGTACAGCCAGAATATTCACATTTAAAAAAATGTTTTACAGTCCGCAAATCATGTTTATGTTTTGAATTTGTGTTTTGGCCTATTACGTTTTGCCACCCACTGCCGTCTACCAGTCACGCAGTCAGTAGAGTCTCAGCATCGGTTACAGTTACGACTGAGCTAAAGCAGCATGGCAAGCAGCATTAGCAGTGTCCCAGTACATAGCATTACCAGCCAGCTTCTCCTCAGCTGTATCCCGGTAGCAGCGTTAGCAGCAGAGAAGCCGGACTTGCTCCAACAGTCCGCTGGTAAAGCACATCCGTCTTATCTCGTCATAAACTAAAGTCATATTATTTTGTGCGACGGACTCTTCATATAATAACATAACAATATACTATTTATCGTGTTATACGGTGAAACGTTTCACCTTATAACATGATGACTATTGTTTACAAGACAGCATGTCATTTCTGTCTCTACATGGTCACACCTTTACAATCCTCCTCTGCTCTCTGTAACGCACACGGCGGAGTTCGGCCCCGGTGTGTGCACATACACAGACAGGCAGGTGAGCGCACACACACAGACAGACAGGTGAGCGCTCACACACAGACAGACAGGTGAGCGCACACAGACAGACAGACAGGTGAGCACACACAGAGACAGACAGGTGAGCACACACACGAGCGTGGCTCGGGCCGCATTTTTCTGACCGACAATTATAAACGGCACAATGGAGCCTGTGTTGCATTCAGATGTTGTCACATAAATAACAAATTCCAGCACTGGAATAGACTGTAACGCAACACAGCAGCATGTCAAGTGGGCCGAACCCGAACCGAATCCGAGCAAATTTTTAGATTTTTCTCAGCACTGTCAGCTGTTCATTTCATTTGTGTTAGTGGAATTATTAATCAGACTCTTACACATTCACGCCAACCACAAGTCTCTGTGATGCTTAATACTTAAAACCAGTCCAATATTAATATACAGTAGACTACGAACAGTTTATGATACAGTTAAAATGGCCAAAGACGTGAATAATTGCATTGCAGGACGATTCAAGGTTAGCCCCTAAAGTTTCTGCTTGTGCTCCTAAAATTTTCTAAAAGGTTAGTCTGGAGCCCTGCATAGTGAAGCCTACTTGTGTACTTGTAATTGAAATTGTGTCTATTAAGCCATGTTTAATATGTGTTTTGAATCCACTAAACTTTATAGCACTTCACAGAAACCCTGCTGCCGACTAGTATTTTGAAGGTGTAACTGCAGAGTGATACAGACACACCACCACATAAGTATAAATGCTCACAACGGTGAAGGCCATGTGCGTAGGCTGCGGTGTAGGCTTTGCATAGAGCTGACGAACAAGTATAAATCCGCCTCACCAAATCTTGCATCAAAATAAGACTTAACATAAGGGTCTTCTTAATAATAACATCTAAAATAAAAAAATTGCCTCTGAAATGTGGGGCACAATGAACCTTGCCAATTATCAGACAGAAATGATAGCAATTCCCTTTTAACTTAATAAAACAACATCTAATTTATAATTCCATTTCAGCTGAAATGAGAGGCATTTTGTACCGTGCAGTACAAATATAAACCCTGCATATTATCTGACAACAACTCACATCCAGTTAACAAATAATATAACTTCTCAAAAAAGATAATTTGCTGCAGAATTCATTTTCTAGATCAAAGTACTGCCAAACCGCGCTGGTTTGGCGAGAGGACATCTCACCAATTTCCCACCGTGCTGTTTTTAAAACTCCAGTCTATTCAAGCATTACCACGGGGAAGGGGACTGCTGTCTGACAGCTCTGTAGCCCCCACTAGTGGTGGGCAGCTGCATGACAGTTAAGTGACCTTGAACATGAATAAAACATTAACTGGTTTAACCGACTAATATTTCTAGTGCCAACTAGCGAGGGGCGGACGTTTCATCGTTTAGACGGCTAATCGTGCTAATCCCTGGTTATGAATGTCTAAATTGATGCTAGAACAGGGATTAGGGGTAGCGGTCCAGTAACGTTAGAGACATTATTCTGCAGGGCCTTCATCAATCACCATACTGTGGATTGTGGTGTTTTTTCAGGTGGATTAACAAGTTTGTTGTGTTGCTTTGTGGCACAGACATTTTGCACTCTTTGCATTTGAATTGTTCGCACCCATGTCCAAACAACACATGATGATGGTTGATGACAGATAATTTTGGTATTGTCTGTCTGTAGTTTCAACATTCAGTACAGTTTTTCACAGGCTGAGCTCCAGGGTGCATGCCAGCCCTTCAAAAGTGGAGGCTGCTAGTACAGGGAGCGCTTAGTTTGATACAAAGCAAAGTTTTCTATGAGCTAAGCACACATTTTAAACATCAATATTGCAGTTGATCATGTTCATTAAATTGCTGGAAACTCGTGATTAATATTTGATTGATTGTGCAGCCCTACAGTGCAGTTACCCTTTAAAGCAGAAATATGCTTTGGAGACAGGTGTTCTGGAGTTTCCTTCTCCTTTTCCACAACTGCACACCCCCATTTCATTAATTCACTAATTCAGTCAACCATCAGTCAATAGTAAATGCAAAGAAACACAAGATGACCCCCTGCTTTTGTCCCTGGGTGTGAAAGTTGTGTTTCAGAAGCCGCAGTCATTTTTAATTCCAAAGTGAATCTAATTTGCCTAATCTTCGTGTTTCATGAGATGCACTAAAGGGAAATTTACGTCCTACTTCAGTTGATGACTTCACTTTCTCTGGTTTCATAGTGTCTGGGACTTGGTGACAGTAAAGGAATAATGAGCTTTTGAGGATCACCCAACTGAGAAAAAACTCTGGCTTTTGTTCTTCCCAACAGTTTGACATGCAATTCTTAAGTACCATGACGCAAATGCATGACAATAGTAGCTGCAAGGTACGACTGCAAGTGTCTGAAATTAACTTTGACTCGCCAGTTACAGGGACTCACCAGCCAAGCATATTTTATATCGGCAAGTGATAGTTTTGTTTATATCAAACATGCATATCTTTACAGGCCAAAATGTATGCATATTGGGCGTAAATTCAGTCAAATAATTTCAAAAGTGATCACAGCAGTACTTGGGGACTTGTTGAACATTATTATGGGGTTTGCTGATGACGTGATGAACTTTTAAACCTGTCAATGTAGAAAATAATGGGATATTGTTATAATTTCAGTACCTAATCATTAAAATGTTGTAGTGAAGAGACAAGAAAGTAATGCCATGTATTTAACAAAGAAAAACAAGAAAAAAAACACTCCTGTTTTAAACAACCTTTTTAGCTATTTGAAAATCAATAACTGAGTTCACAAGGTGAAGTTAAATGCACCAAGGTCAGCTATGTCAGCTTTGTATGGCTTTGCCATATAACAGACAGTAAATGAACATTATAAACATTGCTGCTGTTTATAAAGCGCGGCCAACATGTATGTGTCACACTAGAGACTGACGCTGTTATGTTACATGTCACACGTGTCACGCCTCATTTGATTCCCTAATGCCAGGATGCTGTGTAAAAATCACACACTGGAGCAGCATGATGTCGCCGTTGTTTGGTTCTATGTATATATTAAAAAAAAAAAAGTAAAGGTGGCATTAAGAAGGGACTTCATAGTGGCTCTATGGCATGATTTCTGTTTAGAAAGGGCTACAGATAGACAGCAGAGAACAACAGTAGCATTTGGCGCTTGGCGGCTGTTAATTTCGGACTGTGGGCACAACGTACGTAAAGTGGATCAAACTATCATCTGCTGAGCAGAGGCTTATAGATTTTATTGGAGTATCATTTGTCATCAAAGTAGTTATAGGTTCAAGTCAGTCTTGAAAACAATAAAATAAAAAAACAACAATAATTTCTTAAAGCTCAAAGCTGAAATCTTAATTGGAAACAGGTTTGAAACCATGATGGCACACTATCTCATAATTAGTGATGTTCCGATCTTTTTTTTTTTGTCCCAGATCCCAATCCGAGTTAATTAATATTGAGAATCTTCCCATACCGAGCCCTGATCTGATATTTCTATTTTCTTAGATAATACAGCCGCACAGTGCCTGTACGCTTGACAACTGAATAAGTCTGCAATGCATTAAGAAAAAAAAATCCCTGCATCCAAACTGTTCCTTCGGAGTTTCTTTTGTTTGTTTGTTTTTTTACAAAATAAAAAGTATACAATAACAAACCCTCCCCTTTTGGCCTTGTCATTGTCTCAGAGGAATTTCTCTGTCCCTTTAAGAGGGTATGCTTAAGTGTTTTGTTGCTTTGGTGCAGCCTGTGTCTGAGCTACCTGTATCAGCTGTGTTCTGTTGAGTGTTTATTTTCATCATCTGGACTTCTATGCAGGAATAATTAAGAAATTAATCTTATTGGCTTTTTGGTCGTGGGGCTTTTGTTGATTTCGCAGTGGCCTGGTGAGTGTGGTTGTCATCAGCCCTACACCACTGTCCGCCTCTCCCGTCTCCCCCCGAGCAGGGCAGGGAAACACCATGCGCCATAGATGACAAACAAGCAGTTTCTCACACTGAGCTCAAATGAAAGGAGTACTAACAACTTTACTTTAGTAAACAACAGCGTTTCCCCTACCATTATATTGGGGGGGGGGCACCACGAAAAACTGAATAACATATATAAACAGTGTTATTCTGCCTTTTGCTTTATGACATGTAGTGTTTCGCCACAGGTGGGGCTCAGCCCCTGCTCGTGTGCAGGAGCTCAGCAGATTTCAGGAGAGACAAGCAGAGGAGAGTTGATGACAGCTGCACTCATTGCATTGCTGTGCATGAAAGCTTCATGGGTATATATATTAAAAAAAAAATACCAGCTGACGTAAAACAAGGGATAGGCTCTGGCTCTATATAGCTCAGTAGCCGATCCCAACCAGTTAAAAAATGCCTTGATCGGCTCTGATACCGATCTTTGAGACATCCCAAATCATAACATATTCAGTGTTGTGCTGTTCTTTGGAGAGAGCCCTGAAATTGGAATACAAGGCTATGTAACTGCTTAGACACATTTATCTAACTTACAGCCATAGTTGGCCAAGTACTTACAGACACATACTTCCCAAGCAAAATCGATAAGCTTGCACAGGTGGTGGGCTCGCCACGCTATTGATACAGTAATGATATTTCAGAATCCCCAACATACAAGTTGTTTTCACACAATATAAATTGTCATCAGGAAAATGTGGCCAATATGGCCTGACTGTACTCATAACCAAAGTATCAAGTGTTCTTGTCAATCAATATACTATACTTACTACAGGGTCTTTCACGATATCGATGAGGGAGATTATGTTAGGACCTCCACGTAGGTTCTCCAAAATCTTGATCTCACGCTTGATTTTCTTTTTCTTCACGGGCTAAAGGGAAAAGGAGGAGGCAGAGGTTGGCAGATGGGATTAAAGCATTAAATCATTCAATCAGAGCCACTGACTTGATCCAAGCCCCCGTCTCTGTGTAGATTTACCTTAAGTATCTTCACAACCACCTTCTCATTATTGGTGATGTTGATTGCCTCAAACACTTCACTGTACTTGCCACGCCCTAGTTTACGCACCAACTGGAAGTCATCCTGGTTTCTGTGAAGGAAAAAAAAGACACCGTGACCAGACATTAGCTGGGTTGAAGAGTTGTCAAGCAGCATGCTGCATATGTTGTGTAAGGACTGACAAGGTATTTACCCCCACTCAACCACATGGGACTCATAGTCCCAGTACTCCCTGGGCCGGTGAGTGTTGACCTCGGTATACACTCGGGCCCGGCTCGGCACGGGTCCTGACATGTCCGACAGCTTGGCAGAGATGGTGGGGCGACCTCACTGAAGCAGAGGATGGTTGAAATAAAGGGAGGATGGGTGGGTGGGAGGGAGGGAGGAAGAGGAGGGAAGGTAGGGGTTGAGGGAGTTGATCCCAACAGGGCAAGGGGTTTGGGGGGGGGGGCTTTGCCTGAGGACGGGGGGAGGGGCCACCAGGGGCACGGTGGGATAGCTAAAGAGGACAGTGACAGAGAAAATTAAGGATAAGAGAAATTAGATTCCTGATTGATACTGATGCATCACAGATGTCTGCTGTGTCTCTGTCAATCAATTTAAAAGGACATGGCTCCAGCCCACAGAGTCACAGATCCTTAAGACTCTGAGTTGTTGTCCACAACTGTGGTTAATGCATGGTCTATACTGACCGATGTGTCCCTGGTCAAGCTTTGTGTGCCAGAAAATGACGTAATCACCCCTTTTGCAGCGGTCTTAAATGCTCCAAAAGTTGTCGCAGCCCTTGGTCTTGCACCTTTAAATTTTTGTTACCAGGCGTCCTTTGAGGGACGACTGACTGAGTAGGTTCACATCAGGGATAGACCGATATGGATTTTTTAGGGCCGATGCCGATACCGATTTTTTTCCATCATCCTTAGCCGATGACCGATTATGGACTGCCGATTTTCTTGAGCCGATATTTGGGGCCGATACTGCTTTTGCTCCCTCAATTTACATCAAAAAAATGACACCATGATAACAAATATTACAGGTCTCAAGTTTAAAATAAGAAACATTTATTGAACACTAAAAAATACTAAAACAAGATGGAAAGTTGAGGTAGAACAGGTAGAATAGTATTATTATTATGATTATTATACATTCAAATAAAAAAAAAAAAGAGTTCAGTGCTCTTAAATCTTCCAGTAATGTCTTTATATAATAAACAAATATTTAAGCTGAAGCATAAATAAAACAACAACTACTGTACACAGTAGGATTCGCTGCATGTGCGCTGCAGGGTCTTCCGGCAACACAGAGCTGCCCGTGGATGCCTATCTGTAAATCATGCCAGGGAAAATAAATCCGCGAACCCACGCGCATATCGGCCGATGCCGATACAAGTAAAAAACTCAAATATCGGCCCGATATATCGGCTGGCCGATGTATCGGTCTATCCTTAGTTCACATGTACAGACATATTGAATGATCTTTAATAAAAAAAACTCTTCATTGAGAGACCACAGGGACAGTCAAATGGCCTTAACTTCTTGGAAAGAAATAGCAACCAAATTGGGGAAAGAAGAGGCTTTAAGCTGCAAGTGGAAGAACATGAGAGATCACTGTAAAAGCTACACAAATACATTTTTGGCAGTATGTGGGGGTAGCCTAGTATTCCAATAACTTTCTGCCGGTGATGCTCATTGACTTCTTGCTTGTGCAGGAAATACTTTGTTTGTATAGCGCCTTAGTTTTTAGAGCACACTGCAATGAGCATTGCATTGGCCATTAATGCCTCTGTGCATGTTTGTAGCTGGTGCACAACTACAGAGGCCCTGGCCACCTTGTCTCGCACAAATATGAATAAAGCTTAAGATGGAGCATCAGATCAACAGGCAGATTGTTGCAGCATACAAAGGCACTGTGTCAGGCTGTTGTAGTGAGGAGGGAGTTGATTCTGAAGCTCACAAAAGTGCTCTAACCTTCACCTATGGTCATGAGCTCTGGGTGGTGACCAGATAAAAGAAATTAAAATGGGTCCAGCTCCAGCTGTACATTTTGAACATCACCATAGATTCCCAAAAGTACTGACAGCCTGTTGAATTACTAGGGCAGGGATATGCTGTGTAATTATTGATCTCATTCCAACAGACAAATCCATTCTTTAAATGACACCACTGACAGACCCACCAGAGCAACTCAACAATTAAATCTATTTCCATCCGAGGTCAAGTAAGGAACAATGAACAATGGAAACCTTTTCATATATATGTGAAATAGTGACCTGCATACACTAAGCCAAGTTGGTCCTTGGCGCTAATGCCGGCTAACTACGCTGCTGACGAATCAGAAATGTGCAACAACATTTTTCCCGATATATATATATATATATACACACACACACACACACATATGTTAAAAAAAGTCAGAGACTGTATTGTATGAAGCTTCTGTGAGCTGTAAATTTACCACTCCTACACAGAGAGCAGAAGGCAACATTATCTCAGAGCCTGACGGGCCAAGGCTTCTCTTCCTCCAGGCATCTGTCTCACTCAGACTCCCCCCTGGGTCTGGGTCTGCAGCTGCCTGTACCTTAGAGCAGCATTAAACCAAGGAGAGCTCACTCTAATGCTAAATCTGGGGACCCAAACGTCCTCAGAGGTACACTGCATACTGACTGACAGAAGAAAAAAAACAGACTGGTGGACTTGAAGACTCTCAGTGTCTGACTGATGATTCAAATCTTCAGCTTTCAGGGGGCGGCCCTACATTCAGTTACCTGTTCAAGAACACCAAGATAAAACCAATGCAGTCTAACATTTCTGCAATAAATCCTACCTTCAATAGGTTAGCATGTTCAATTTTTGTTGAAACTTATTCTGAAAGGCAATTCTATTATTTTACAATTCCATTTGAATCAATGATGGATGCTTGATAGCAAAAACACCTCTGTGTAATTCAAATTCAATTCAAAATTCGACAGCACCACAAACTACAGCCTCCAATATTATCATACAATTGAATGAGAGCCTCTCTAACACAGTTCCAACAAAAAGTGAACAAAATAATCTTTGTAAAGCAGTTTCCTCCAAATAGAATTTACTTAGGCCGGCTATCCGGGTATATTAACGACCACTAGAGTATATGTGGTCACCCACTTTCGCAATTTTTTTTTTTTTTTGCTTTGTCCAAGAACACAGCCATCCTGATCAATTAACAACTGAACCATCTTCCCTCGCTCTATCCCTCCTGTACCCTTCTGCTGCGGTGGATAGGGCAGAAGCACCAGTGTTGTCTCCAAGTCTGTTCCTACCTGGAAAAGTGTTTCCCTCCTCTTAAAATAATGCTTCCTTTAGTGCCCCCTTCTGTGGTTAGCATTACTATTAACATTTGATTCACATTTACGCTGGGGGAAACACCAATGGGGGAAAAGGCTTTGACACAACACCAGTTTGTGATCTGCTGCAATAGTTTCACAATGTCTATTTTCTCTGTCAGCTAATCTGACAAGTAAACACACTGATAATCTAAACGATATAAAGGACATGTTATACTTGATATAAATGATACAATTATGATAAATAATAAAATACACATCCCATGGTTGCCAACCATTTTGATTTCCCGCCCCTCTCCCTACTGTTCTCCTGGAGTATTAGACCATTTATGTGCTGGAAAGTATTGCCAGCCCTTTCCACCAGCTTTTACCACAGGTATATTTAAGACCTATGGGAAATAGTGATGTAGGTAGAGTTTATTGCAGCACTGACCAGTCTGCATTAGTCTTAATTAGGTGGCCCTAATAAACTAGCATGCAGCTAATCGTACGCTTGGCCAACACGACACCAATGACATTTGACAAGAACACGACTTTCATAAGACAGAACCGAGAGTCAACCCAATGTGGCTTTCTACCCAGGCGCAAGAATATGAGGCTCTGTGGGGCCAATGAGTTAAATATTGAGACGTTTGTTACGCCAGATGTTAACTTTGCCAGGTTACCCGCCAGCGTTAGTAATGTTAACTTAACCATCTTATTTCCAGTTCAACTTGACACAAAGGTTTACGTTACATGCGCAATTTTTGTCGTTCTGTAGGTCGTTTGCCTCGTAGCGTTTGCTATGCTAGCTGATAACAGCCGATTCGCACTGTAGCTAATGTTACTTTACTGAACTACACATTGTTTGCTGTTGATTGACATTATAAATTAGGCTATCCCCATAACGGACAAGTCTTTGGTTAACCAACGATAACTAACAACCCACCGTTACCCCGAATCAACAAATAACGTGAATACATCGATGACACGGACTGATTTGGCAATATATCCTGAGTCTTCTTCTTCCGGTAGGAAAAGCAAGGACGTAATTGATCATCAGGTGTACGTTAACGTTGATAACGGAATACTTTATGATTATAATCCCCAAAAGACCCCGTCTTGCACCGTGAATGAAAACCTTCCCCGAATCAACACCACAATTCAGCATTCATTCAAGTCAGCTAGCTAGCTAACGTTAAACCTATCAGCAATACATTTAATCGAAACCTAGGTTCCCCACAGTCGTCTTAAATCAAAAGGCACCAGGATGGGTGCAAAACTTATGTAGACAGGCTTCGCTAAATTCAACGTTATTCTTAAATTGACGTTACACATTTAACGTTACTCACTCAAAATTGTACGACATCCATAATGTTAATTTTGCGTCGACATTCGCTCGTAGACTGAGGTGTAAACGCTGTATGGAGTTTACAAATTTGTTCGGGCAGTGGCTTAACTTGCTATATTTTCAGATAACTTATTAGTTAGCTAGACCACCCAACTGGAATGGCTTTCGGTGTGAGCAGAAGGTGCTGGTAACTTATCGGCTCTAGGCGGGCCCAAATAGCTAGCCCGCTAACCTTAGCATGGCTAACGTGATCGCTCGTTGCTTCCCACAGACAATAGGAATCTGCATTATCAAATGTAGACAAACACTGGAGTGGATATTTACCCCCTTGGTCAATTCGACGACCGAAATGCTTCCCAGTAAGCTGAGTTTCGTCAAGCCAACGGTCCTCGCCTCCCTCCGTCGCCGGTGTGTCTGTGCCAGTGTGTGATTTCTGCTGTATCAGAGACAATATGGCTGACCACCGCCACCTAACAGTTACGTCTCCGAGTACTGCAATGGGGGCCATGGAGGGACAATCTATTGCACATTCGCCGAACAATGCGATCCACTAAATTGTTGCTGTCATCTTGGCATAGCTGAACTCCAGCACACTGACCATGTTGTTATGGTCAAACTGTGGAGTATTCTTGAATGGCCAGGCTAATCATCAAACCCTTATTCAACTACCCCCACCCCCCATGATTTACAGCCAAGTATTAAATAAATGACTATTTAAGCAGTGGTGGATGAAGTAGGCCTACCTGTGCCACATTTGAGTAGAGGTAGCCTACACATGAAAGTACAGATATCTTAGGGACTGTTAGGTGGTGCAAAGAGGAGGGGGACGTGTCAAATATTTTTTAAGCACTGGGGAGTGACTTCTGTTTTTGTTTTTTGTTTGTTTTTTGTTATTGTTGTTTTTTTGGCTTAGGAGAGGGGCATTCAACTTTAAATGGCTGTAATTTGTATTTATTTTACCACTGATTTTTAGACATGTTTTCTTTCAAAATTGCCAAAGTTACACAATTTATCATAAAATAAATTGATAAATCATACATTTCTGATGGTCCTTGAACACATGTTAGACAAATGTTCTGTCAGAAAAAAGGAGAGCTTAAAATAGTCACATTTCATCAATTAATTTTATTTTGTCTCATTTAGAATTTGGCCAAAAATAAACGGTTTCCACAGACTAACCAGCATGCATTTCAAGAGTGAAAAACTGAGACTTTTGTCAGCTCCAGGATTTTGTTTTGAACTTTTAACTTTAAAACATCAAAGGTTAAGTTTTTTGAAGCCACCCCTCCTCTGATAAGTCCCTTACCATAAAATGACTTATGTAGAAGTTAAAGTTACTTGTTAGAATATTTCTTGAGTAAAAGTCTTAAAGTATCTGATATTTGCTGTACTTAAGTATCAAAAGTCATTTGTTAGGATATTAAGTATCAAACTTAAAATTACAAGTAAATGCAGTTAATAAAAAAAGCAAGTGGTCAGAATTTTGAGAATTAAAAAGTTTATTTCTTCTTAACATGTACACTCCCTTAAAAATAGAGCCTTTCATTACACTTGAAGAAAAACAAGATCCTTTTCACAACTGAAAGGATTGAAAGCACAAATAGTTCCTTCTCTCCCATTCCTTCATTTATCCATCCATCTCTCCCTCCCTTCCTTTAGTTTACATAAATAACTAAGATGCTTTGGTGAAATTCATTAGAGTAAAAATATCCATTTTATTCAGGAACTGTAGTGGCGTAAAATTGAAATGTGACAGAAATATAAAAATTCAAATAAAGCAGATACTCCCAAAAAAGTATTATTACGTGGTTACATTACCTCACTGTATTTAAGTTTATGTTAATATGTCCCATTACTTTACATGTAAGTGGCCTAAAACGGAGGTACTACGTACAGTACTAAAACGGCTACAATTCCGAGATTGTACATCAGACACAAGCCAAGCATCAGCCACCATACTGACATACTGACATACAGCATACTGACCACTAAGCCTGTGTTAGAGTGGAACAGAAGGGAATTTAAAGGAATACTTAACTCATAAAATAATCACTTGTAAATCAATTAGTCATGTCGTGTTACCTTAAATTTGTGAAAAAAAAACTTTGTTCCTCACATCTCAGCGAACATATTGATGTATATATTTACTGGGGGCCACGTTTTACAACAGCAAAACCATATAGACCCAATCACAGTGTTTATTTACAATAACTTCTGAGAAGAAAATCCACATACATTAAATCAAACAGCACTGAGCAAACTCTGCCTCAATTAGCCTAGTTTTTAGCCTCCTTAAAAGGTCCACCAAAAATATATATCACTTTAAGTGTACACTATATGTAGAATATTTCACTGCTTTACCTTGACATTAGACAGCCTTTTAAGCAAGCTCCATAAACAAAAACAGTGATTTAACAGAACACTGAGTTGCTGATCTACCATGGTGTCAGTCGGTTAGTGTGTAAGGTAAAGCAGAGCAGATGTTCAAATATAGCGTACACTTTCACTGATATTGATTGGTTCATTGGCTAAAATATTTTTTGCTGCAACCCCGTCCACAACAGTACATTGCTTAGTTTCTGTGCTGGTGGATTTGGTTAATCAAAGATGATAGCAGAGTAACAAAGTGTATAAAATAAACTCAAAAGAAACATCAGATAGATCGGACCAAAGTGTTCGCGGAGTGGGTCTCGCCTTTAAGCCCCCACAGGAAGTAGCAACGGCACCGAAACAGTGACTTCATAAACAGGACAGACAGCCTGCAGGAAGGGACAATGAGCAGCACAAGTGTGATGAACAATCAATTAATCTTTATGTTCACTATTTGACGTGGAGGCATGCGAGAAAAACAATGTTTTCTTTACAATTTTAAAGTAACATAGCATGACTAATTGATATACAGTTGGTCTATGTTCACTATTTGACGTGGAGGCATGCGAGAAAAACAATGTTTTCTTTACAATTTTAAAGTAACATAGCATGACTAATTGATATACAGTTGGTCATTTTGTGGGTGAAGTATCCGTTTAAAGGGACAGGAAAACCCACAGTGTCTCCCTGTAATCATGATTGCTCCAAAGATTATTCAGCTCTCAGTAGCTCTTTTCACTTCTAGGCTAAATGTGTGCCTTCTGTGTTGATATATACAGATTAAAGGGGGATAGTGGACATTGCACCCAAAACACAACTGACAGAAGTATATTTGGGGGAGTGTTTCCCTTGATTGACAGGTGTGTTGATCTATCACCATCAGTTGTGTTGGCTATGGCTTGCTTGCCCAACCTCAACTCCAACCAAACTCACTCTGACCATATTTGGATTTTCTGGCTCTAGCAATTGATAGAGATGTCAGGCATGGATTGGTTTACTGCTTGTTGTACTTTTATAAGGTTGAGGATGACATGACATTACATATAAGATTTGTACAGTGTAAAATTATAGGCCAAAGCAGTACCTTGGGCCTCGGTGGGAGAGCCAGGGCCCAGAAAAGCAGTCAGGGAAATTTATAGGCTTTTAAGCAAATTTTGATTTTGAGCAAATGATACACTGTATTACTGCCTGGCAAAAGGATGGCTGCATCATTTATGAGTGAGAATATGGCTGTTTACACATCTTTATTAGAACTACAGTTTCTGCAACTTTGACTAATATAAAAAACAAAAAAAAGAAATAGCATTGTTATATATTGTTTGAACGTCTTAATTTAAAATCAACATTGTTTTTAGGGAAAAAATTGAGCTGTAAAAGATAATTTTAAGAAATCAATTGGGGGAAAAATCCTTAATATGTCCAGAAGGGGGAGCCCCAACATTCAAAATGCACATTGTACTTTAGTCTGCTCATTTTTTAGGAACCCATTTAAAAGACTATTTGAAACATGCATTCACAATACTATACTAAAACATCACAACATACAGGGGAAATATATAAGTAAGAGGTGACCAGGCTCTGCCACTCAGTCTTCTTGAGAGTTCTTGGACATGCCTTATGAGCTCAATCCCTGCTGCCAGCTTTGAAATCATTTCTAAAGACATAAAGACTTAGATTAATCATATCATGTTTTATTATTCTCTAATCCCCTTGTACAGTTCCACTAAGGGTTTTCCCTATATTTCTATCTTCAGAATATTTATGTTCTTGATCTTTGCTCTTTAAGGTATAAAATGTATTTTTAATATAAAGAACAATACTACAACTACTAGTCTGAGGTATGAACTTGAGTCACATTACTTCGGCTCAAGTGAGACTTGAATCCCACGTTTGATGACTTTAGACTTGACAAAATAAAAAACAAAAAGTCTTGCAACTTAACTTGGACTTGAATGCCAATGACTTGTTTTTGAATTTAAAATAGGCTACTTGACACCTTCCCCCAAGCCCAAAGATTA